CTATAACATTCTTTAGGTATCCAAAATTTAATTTATTTTGCTTTTTAATTTTTGAGCTGAATTTTCGATTTACTAAAATATTTAAAAAGTATTTAGTATATTTTAACAGATATTAGCAATTTTCTGATTTCTCTTAAGGGGGGTAATCTATCAGTAATTCCATAAATTTATCTCCTGAGTAAATGTGTAGTATTAAGTAAATTTATATAATTAATATATTTTTTATTCAAAACCTAGTTCAATTACACTAAACACTTGAATTAAAAAAAGTAAGTAAAACTGAATTATATAAAAATATTGGTTTTGAAGATTGTGGGCAGTGTAAGATCAATGCTAAGACTATTTTTGATAAATCTACAATCTTATAGAAAAATTACATAATATACATCATTTTTAAAAAAATTTGGAAGCCATATATTGTATATTTTAAAGAGCATCTTGAAAAATGAAATTTACGAATATTTTAATTTTTTTTAGTATTGGATAAAAATTAAGTAACTTTCTTTGAATTAAGAGAAAAAATTAAAAATTGAATTAATATAAGATAATTATGAAATGTAGCACAAAATATATTCAATATTTGACTTTATTTTATTTATAGACATGGCATAGAGACCACTAGATAGATTTATTCTTTTAGGCAATTCTATTTTCACTGTAACTTTGTTTCATTAATTTTAATTTACTAATTTAAATACGCTATCAATAAATAATTTTTAATTTTGTTTGGATCAGTTGAATATACTTTGTCAATATTTAAGATTGATTTTTGTTCATTTTTGAGTTTGTTTTAAAGTTATCTGGGGACCCAGAACGAAAATTAAATCAAGAAAGGAATAACAAATTCTTGCTATGATATCACTATTTTTTCAGTATTAATTTTCGAAAGTACCTTTTCCTTCATTTTCCTACCCCATATTTATTTATTTAAAAGTTTTATAAATGAATTTTTTTTGCTAACTACTTTAACACCGAGGCCTAACATCAAATTTATAACAGTTGATCATAAAAAACATATTCTACTAAAAGCAATTTTTAGTACATAATTTTGAAGAAACAGGCAGATTAATTACTACTTTTTCATTATAATCTTTCATTTACTAAATTCACATTAATTGGAAACTACTTTTAAGGAATTAATCAATAAATGAAAACCTTGAGTCGAATAGAGATTAGTAAACAAGGCAATAAAACAAATATAGAAATTACATTGATATTCTATCAATCTAAATGGGCAAAATTTACTAGAACTAATTTTTTTTTTATTCAGTAATAATTGTAAGCAAAATATAAATTTTTAGCAAGAAGAACTTTTGAAAACCTAATAAAGGTTTAAAAGAGAAGTATTTTAAATAATATTTGTGCAAATGAAATATTAAATTTTTTTTTCTTTTAAATATGAATAATAAAAAATTAAAATTTTCTTTTAAAGACCTTCTAGATTAGTCAAAGTAAGGTCAGATAACTAACCAGAAAGTCTATTTTTTAATTAGGTTACAAAAATTTATCAGCTCTGAAAATACAAAAATTTTCTTCTGTTTTTTGAGACTTACTTTTTTTTTTAAATTTCTAAAATTTACACCTATAAACAGAAGTAATTAAGGAAAATACCAGCTCTTATTTACTTGTGAAAAAATAAGATTGATTATAAATTTTTTGCTAAGACCCTGAATTAAAAGGGTGTAAATGAAGGAACTATGCATTAATTTAAATTTATTATATAATACAAGGCTATGTAAAGGAAAGGCTGGTAATAGATAGATAGAATCAAGATAATCATTAAGCAATTAAATGCTATTTTAAATAATTAAAAGACTTTTTTACTAGCTAATTTTTACTTGATAATCAATAAAGAATAGATAAAAATAAATTTATTTTGAAACTAAAAATTATCAATCAATTAAAAAATGAACATGCATTGCTTAAGGAGTGGAAGTGTAATATAAATATTAAAAGAATTTTTAAATATTTTACAAAAGGTATAATTTTAAACAAAATTGTAATTCTACTTGGTATTATTTCTCATAGCCTAAGTGTTAAATTATTAAGTCATAAAATTAATACAGACAATTTTTTTTTTGGCTCATATATTTGTTAGATTTTCAACGGTTTTCCTAGTATTTTGAAAGATCTTTTACTTTTTACCATTGGAGTTTTGATTGATCTAATCTTTGTATCTTTTTGTTTATAGCTAAGACCGTTTGTTACTGAATCAATTTTTTATTAAAGCCAATATAGACAAAAATCAAATTATAAATTTCTTTAAATCGATACCGAGCCAGTGAGTTTATAACGTTAATAATTTTGTATCCAAGCAGTAATTACATTTTTAATTTTCTGTTATAAAAGGCTTTAGTTTGTGCCTCTTAGCTAAAATACCTTAGATGATGCATTAAATTAAATATCCTTATAATATATTCAGATAAGAAAATGTTTAGTAGCTATTCTTAGAAAAAGATTACTATAATTAATTGATTTGCTATGAATTTGAGTAAAAAAATAAAAAATAGAAAGGGTGAATCTATATCAATTGTAGAGTAATTTAATGATATAAGAATAGAAAATATCTATATGTATAATCTAATCATTTAATAAAGACGTAGCATTAATTTATTTTAAATTTAGATTACCTTACATAAATTTATTTCATGAATAAAAAAATACTTCAATAATTTTATTTAAAGTATTTAATAATTTGCTTTAAAATTTATTTTTTAGCTTACAGATAGCAAAATTGAAATTTTTCCATTTTTAATGCAAAAAGCTTTTAAAAAAATATTTGTTTGCAACCTAAACTGAGTCCCTAACTTATTTTTTGATAATTACTTAAATGTATAAATCTAAGATTTTTCTCAAGCAACAATGACATTTAAAAAGAAAAAATTTGTTTTCTTACTCAATAAGAGCAATAAATTCTTATCAAAACTCATTATGATATGAAGTTATATCTTAAAGTTAGGCTATTCAATTGTAAGTTTGAGCTCTGTAAGCACTATCGAGTGACATATTGATACTCCTTTTAAATAGATTTATCAAATGTAAAGATGCATATTAGCCATAAAAAATAAAATACTATTCGAAAAAATGTTAATAAGTTTTAAGGAAATATTAAATAAAATTGATTAGAGTTTACAAATGCAAAAGATTTGAATAGTTAGAGTACAATAAAATTGTTCTATCTAATAAAACCTAGCAAAGCAATTTAGTGTAATTAAATATTATTAATTTTCATAGATACTTTATTATATATAGCCTTACTTTAAAAGTTGAAGCTATCTATACTTTTGAAATTCCGAATAAAACACTAAGTTGAGAGATTAATTATTCAAATAGGTTTTTATTATAATAAATATATGTAAATGTAATACTAATTAAAAAGAAGTCTTTACTCATAGATTTGTTAAGCATTTTATGTTACAAATAAAATTAGTAATTAAAAATAGAATAGAGCTTAGAAATACGTATGTATGTACTATAATATTATTTATACAAATAAAATCTGGTTTATTTAATTTATGTAAATTTTAACTTACAAAAAATTTAAAATATTTGAATTTCAACCTATTATTTTTGGTGTAATTTGTAACATTATAAATTTGAGGCTGTAACACTAAGTATGATTTTATTTTCAAGATTATTTTTCTTTTTAACTTGTGCTTTTCTAATCAATATTGCTAGAACAGTATGATAAAATTGGATAAGGAGAATAATTGCTTCTCCTAAATTTTCTTGAAAATTCAAAAGTATTCGCTTCACCGCTACTTAATTAGCAATTTTTAAAATTGTAAAGTAAATCTTTAAAGTGCTTGAATAAGCCTTATAACCATCAATATCAAAAAAAAACTGCAACATAAAGCTGTGGTAAAAACACGATAATATTTCTGCCAATATTTCAAACTTTTTTAAATATATAATTCAAATTTATTTTCACTTACTTAAAAAATATATTCTATGTCTAATTACAGAGAGAAAAAGTAGTTTTCTAAACAAAACTCTATAATTTTATTTGTTTATAATTTACTAAAAAACGATTTTAATTCTATTTTGATTTTAGCTTACAAGGTAGAAAAAATAGATATGTGCTATTGATCAATTTACTGATTGACGATATTTTTAATTTATAAAGTCAAAAATACAAAAAATGAGTGGATCAAAGTGATTGATTAAGAAGATATTAGTGATTTAGCAAGTATATTTAAATTAATCATAAAGCTTTTGTTTACAAAATACAGTTCTAGGATTTATTTTAACTTATATTTTTTAGTGATAGTTATTTTAGGAATTTAATTTCAGGATTTTTCTCGACTAACTTCTTAGCTTGTTATTTATAAATAACTGGCGTTGAAAAAATGTAAACTAGTTGATTTTATTATAGAAAATGTATTAATATTTTTAACGATATATTAATTAATTAAGATTTTTAATAAAATGTAATCAAATAAACCCAGTAGAGTGTTTTTATATAGATATGGACAGCCTGTAGAAACTTAAACTAAAAATTTACCATAGAATTATTATTAAAAGCAAAAAATTTTTAAAGTATTTATACTTTTTAATCGTATTAATGATATTCAAAGCTGATCGCTTTTTCTTACAATCTGGCTGACTGACTTACTCACTAACTTAGTGTTTGAAAAAAATAATGCAATACTTTCTAGTTCAATAAAGTTTTCAACCTAACAAAGTATGATGATCAATTAACCTAAACTGAAGTTAATTTGTATATTAAATCTAAAGTAAGTAAATAAGTGAATAATTAAACTCATTTGTACAACAGTTATTACACTTTTCAAAGTAAAGATGAAGTTGTTATTAATTTTGAAAATATTTATTCTTTAAAACTTCGAGAGAAAGGGTTTACAAAAAATCTTTGTAAAGCTTTGAGAAATTTAATCTTGCTCACTAATAAAAATAAATAGATATTTAATTATAGATAGTATATAGATCTAATACTAAATAGCATTTTATATAAATATAGAAGGCTGTCTCTCATTTGAAGTATGAATATGCTCATGAAATTATCTAAAAAATAGTAGATCTTACTGTTTATTCTTTTATTGACCACATTGGCTATTATTTCAATTTGTTACTAACAGAATTTTGACTCAAATGACTTGTTTTTTTTCCGCCTCAACAAATTATAATTATCAAGCATCTCCAACTAAAAGAATAAATAATCATCAAGTCTAAGCTAAAAATAGACTTAATTAGATAAAATCTTGATAAATTATGTCAAGGCAAGTATTGGAAATTAATCTAATAATAACACACAAATTTAAAATGCTAATACAAGTCCTTTAGAAAGCGGCTTGATTGTATATGAAGAAGGAGACAGTAATTATTTCTACTTTGAAGACTCAAAAATATTAGAAGAATTGAGTAAATCATCTAAATTTGAAATCAGGGAAGACACAATTAGAAAAAATCCAAAGGATGTTTAAAAGCTAATTTTGAAATCTTAAAATAATATTCAATTAAAAGAGTTCTAGTATGGAAATTGGTGTGGACCTGATTATGGAGGATTTGAGTCTAAATGTAAAGATGTTTGTCAGAAAAATGAGGATGAACCTTCTGACAAGTGCATAGATTGTAGACCATTTATTGATTATGTAGACAGGGTTTGCATGGATCATGATTTTTGCTAACAAAAATACTAAAATAAAGTTAATAAAGAAAATACAGGATTCATTTGTGCTTATAGAGCTCTTAATGTTGGTCAGTACTTTTAAACAAGATGTGAATGTACTTATTTAATTATAGAATCTCTAAGAAAAGAAAATTTAGTCAAAAATTGTGACTCTTTAAAATGCCTAGCCTATGGCTACGCTGCCGAAAAGGCATTCAATAATGTTTTATTTGACTGTGGATGCTATTACATTGAATATCACAGAGATGTTTATACAGGGAAGATGTATCCTTTAGAAACCCAAAAGTGTGTTAGTCCTAGTGAGTGTAAGAGTTTTAGAGGTAAATGATAGATTTTAAGTAAGATCCTATAAAAATAACAATAATTAAAAAGATATAGACTAAAAAATCTAATATTTATTTTTATAAGCTCAAGCAAAAAAGCAATGGTTTAAACTTATTTTAAATGTTCAAGATGCATTAGAAAAGGCTTTAAAGGTTAGTTTTAAAGTTTTAGAGATTATTATTGTAAAAATTTTAAAAGCATATACAATGTTTGGTGATAGCTTTTAAAGTAAATAAATACCTAATACTCATTTAAAAAAAGTAATAGAATTAAATGTAAACATTGTATGTAATTCACTCATTATTGTTCTGTAACGATTAAAATAGCATTTTTAAAAAATATAATTAAATAGTAATTAAAATTTTTATTTATTAAAAATTCCAATCTATTTTTATGAATGTGTTAATTTATTGTATTATCTATTATGTATATATCTACTGTTTAAATTTTTTGATTACAAATATTTATATCAGGTTTGGTTTTTATATACATACATACATATTTTATATACGCCTAAATTAAAAGAGTCTAAACATTTAAATAATCTATGTTATAGGTTGTATTTTTCTTGATTTAAACAAACCAAATTGAAAGCAAAAAAGGAGGCAGACATGTAGGTAAATAGACAAAAAAACAAACAAATCAGAGAACACCGAACGATTTTTTTTGATATTTGTTAGTCAAATACTTATCATTTGATACAAATTAAAATCATAGTGTCTTATTTTATTTGTAAAAATATAATTGATTTAATTTGCTATGAATTTTTAAAGATGAAATTTCAGTCAGTCTTAACAATATCACTGATAAACTTTATCTAATAGCTATTCATTCCTTCGCAATTTTATAATTTTTTATAAATATAGTTTATTTTTGACTACTAAAAATCAATATTTTTTTGTTTAAATAGATAGACAGGGCATTCCTTTAGATTTTTATAATTTTTCCTAATTGGTATTTAACCCCCCCAAATATTACTTTACATATTTTATGAAATTTATTATTTTCAAGTATGCTTAAATATTTAAATAGGCTTTTAAATTTTTTCATTTATAAAACTAATGCCTAAAATTTAAAATAAAATGATATTTTAAAGTTGTTACAGAAATGGATTTTTTTCAAGCTCAATTTAAAGCAAAGAGATTATTTTAATTTAAATTTATAGACAATAAAATAAAGACTTTTTTATGCCTAAAAGCTAGTTTTTTGTTGCATAAAATAAAAAATAAATTTATTGTATTTTTATTTCCAAATTTTAAACATAAAAAGTTAACTAAAAATAGAATAGCTGGTTGTTCTAGATGAGCTATTTATTCTATTACAATAGCATTATTAAATTTTAAATGATTTAATGCTCTATATTTATTTTGAATAGATAAAAAGCTAACCTGACTGTCTATCTGTCTTTAGAAGACTTTAACATTAATAAATTGTGAAAGGAGAAATATCTATTTAATTTATTGGTAATCAGAATAATAAATAAATAAATAATTTATTGTAAGCGCAAGACATGTAATTTAATAAAAGTATATTAATTTAATAAATAAGTGAATTTAATAGTTCATTAGAACTATCTATTTAAACCGTTATGACTTTTATTCAGTTTGTATAAATTTTTGCTTCAGTTTACATTCTTGCTTTTAGTTTAATTAAAATCATACAGATTCATAATGAATTTAATAAATTTGTTTATAACTCATATTTAGTAAATACCATCTTCACTTATTTCCAATTTTATCAATTATTTTGTATTAAAGCTACCCGTTCATTTAATTTAAATATTAAATTTACCTACTAAATGCTATATCATTAAATATGAAAAAAAAAAAATTTTGCAAAACACCTAATTAATCAATCTCTTTGCCATTAAATGCATATGCTTTATTTTCTATCATAAATAAATATTTAGACTAATAAAATTCAAACATTCTTCACAAGTCGCTAGATTTGAATTTCTTTATAAGCAAGTAAACATGCAGAAGATATGCATAAATAATATAACAACAAAAAACAATACATAAGTAAAGAGATTCTTTTCTATCAAATTACATCTGCAATACTTGGATAGAAAAGATATTCATTTTATATAAATTTCAAAAGACAGACTGTATGAAAAATAATCATACTGCTTTAAATGTATTTTGATAGTAAACACAAGTTATTTAAATTATATCTGCTTGAATTCAATTTATACTTAAATACTTTTAGTTCTATGTTACCAACTCTCATTAAAAGCACATTTCTATGCTTGAGATATTTTATTTGTGCATATAATTAAACAGGATTTAATAAAATTTAATTTTAAAATACAGGATTAGCTTTGTAAATTTCTTATTTTTTTTAATTGATTGAAAGTAGGCAGAAGAAAAAAGTTGAATTATTAAAATTTGTATTTTTTATGGGTCATAAAATCAATTTTTGAAAGATAAACAATCAACGAAATGAAAATTTGAAATTTTATTTTCACTTTGAAAATATTTTGGTTGAAAATTTAGAAAGATTAATAAAATTAAGAGATATTGCTGCTATACTTAATATTTTGATATTTTAAATATCAATAAATTTAGTAAGTAGAGCTAATTATCTTTAGTACCATGACAGCTGATGAAATTCCAAAAAAAATTTCTACAAATAAATATCGAAGCAGATTACTAACTACTATTAATAAGAAATTTATTTTCAAATTCAAAGATATAGCAGCTTCAGTTTTCAGACTTATAGTTGCTTGCTTCTATTTGTATTTAATGAGGACAATGTGAGGGAGGGCGTTTCTATTGTCAACAGAATATAGATTCTCTTACAAATATGGAGAATATTTGCACTTTTATTTTTTGAAAATGAGTAGTTAGGATATGAGTTTTACTTTTTATCCCCAATATTTATGTTTGAATATTAACTGAAATATAGAAGAGCCTATTAAAATAAAAAGTCCCCATATTTAGTTATGAAAAAAAATTGGTCCATTAACTGAATTTTTATTTCATATCAGATGGATCCAAAAGTCTAATTAGAAAGTCAATTATCTATTATAGTCTGTTCCGTATTAGGAATTGTTTTTGAAAATGATAATAAAATATTTAAAACAAGAAAGAGCCTATAAGTTAACTTGGATGAAAATAACAACAAAACCTTGCATAAACATGCTTAAAAGAATTAAATAAATGAATTAAAACAAGCCATTTTATATTATTTTATGAATGAGAAAGTGAAATAAATAAATTATGATAAAAAATAGATGGTTTTTATCAATATTTATTTACTGCTATTATAGATATGTATATAAGCCCTATGCATTATTTATTTACATATTAAAAGGGCAAATAAATAAAAGAAATACAGCCAATTTACTAAATTAAATTTTATATCTTGTTTTTGGTTACACTCAATTAATATGCGTAATATTGTTCAATTTCACCAATTTTCTTTCTAAACCAGACTTTACTCTCAAATCTAAATATCTAATTTTCAGCAAGTCTTTTTACTAAAGGATTTTTTGCTAAACTAAAATTTTAGCTGTTTTAGTAAATAAATTTTTGTGAAAATTCGTTTTAAGATTTTAAATATTAATTAATGGGATTTTACCATCCATTCATATAATATCCAGTTCAATCTATTTCCTTTAATAAAATATAAAGAGGAGATACAATTAAGATTTAATTTTAATTGATTTCCTTTTTACTGCATTCTTTCATTCATTCATTCACACACATGCATTCAATCATTTAATAATCATACAAAGTAATTAAGAACTTTTTACTATGGATTAATCTTCTTCCATTTAAATTGTAATGCTAAATTTATTACAGAATTTCAATACCTGATGCCAGCCAATCAGCTGAGGATTTGCTTAAAATTCATTCAAAATTCAATTTGAAAATGCTAGTAAAGGATGAGATAATTCTGTTTTTATACTTTTACTTCAAGTGGTAGTGAGACCAAATTAGGTCGTATATATTTATGGGATAGAAATAAAGATTTGTGCAATGTCGAATAAAAGATGTGTAAGACAGATATTCAAATACTAAAAAAGTAATAGTGCTGATCTGAATGGGATTATGTTGATTGCATTCTCCTGAAAAAAAATTAGTAAGATCTATCTAATTAATTGATATAAATACTTCAAGTTTTTCTTTGATACTGTTCAAATCACTATAAAATTGAGTCCAGTAAATTAGATTTAGACTATTGATTTGAAATAGTAGAGCCTACCCTCTTATTAATATAGATATTTAAACCAGCCTTCTTTCTATTCTTATAAAATAAGTAAATAATATCTATCTATCAATTAATTAATTATGCATGTACTAAAAATTCAAATGCCTTCCTATTCCATTACATTCATTTCTGCATTTATGTATTCATTCGTATTATTGCGGAAATGAATGGCATTGAAAAAGTGCTGCTATTATTTAAATATTTATAATTTGCTTTCTATAAATCCTCCTTAAAAAGCAATCAAAAAGTTACAAATTTAAAAATAGATGACAAGACTTCATTCATTTTAATATATATAACTTCTAGGCTTCTCATATTTCCTTTATCTTATATGAAAAGTTGAAATTTTAATTTTCTAAGATCCATCCACATTGGTCTTTATCTAGCTTTTAAATACTTTTTTAAGTGAAACAAAAATATGTAATTGATAAATGGAATTATTTATAAGTGGTAGATTAATAAAATTAAATAATTGCAATTTGCTGAATTTAAACATCTTTGGTATTTAAAAAATGTCTTACTATACTATTAAATTGATTATTTAATTTTTAAAATAAATATTGTTTTTCTTAAATCTACTATTCATGCATTTATTTAAAAAAGATGAATTAATTATCTGATAAATTAAATTAATTAAGTAATTTAAAATTAAAAGACCTGCTTTTAATCAATTAAAAATATAAGACTTTTTAAGGAATGTAATAACTTTTTATTAATCACATGAATTAAATGGAAAAATTTTATTTTAAAATAAGAGTTAAACAAGCACATATATCAAAATTAAGCATTCAGTTTTTGTAATAACAATAAAAAATGAAGTTGCAATATCAATATAAGTTTCCATTATTAATGAAACAATCATTTCGTTGAAGAAAAAAATGTTACTGATTTAAAATTTATGAAAATATGTGCTTACTAACAGCTTGAGATTTTTATAGTATTTGCTTGATTTTATGTTTAGTATTAGGGAATCTTTAATATTATCTTAATAGGATTTTTTTATAGTACAGACATAAACTAATAAATAAATTTTTATGTGATTTGCTTATCAAATTTCTAACAACTTTGTAATAATATAAATTGCAATGATAATCTATTTTTTTTGTATATTAGAATTAGAATGATAGGTTAAGCAATTTCTATTTCAAACACGTACCTTAGTTATAAAAACAGGACTTTGTAAATTATAAAACATAAACAAAATATTTTTGAAAGTGTAACTAAATACATTCAGTGAGAGAAAGTTAAAAATATTATAAATAATTTAATCTATTAGAAAAAATCTAATTAAATGAAGAGTCAGTCTTTGGAGTTTTGTCTATATTTTTGTTTATCTTTTTTAAATGCAAAAAAATTAAATTGAATTGTGGTGTAACACCAATTATTTTATCATATAAATATTTTTAAAAATATAATATCTTACTTTAAAAATCAAATTTTTTTACTGTAATATTGTAAATTTAACAAAATTTTGTAATTAAAAGCAATTTACTTATTTATTTTCAATTTTATACTCCACAAGAATATAAAATTTACTCCTCCTTTGATAATATTTTAAGAAAAATTTTTAACTCCTATCCCTGATCTTTAAAAGTTTTTTAAATGTAATGTAAATAGAAAATTAACGAAAATAATTACAATTTTTCTGACTTTTGAATCAAATCGTTTTAGTAAAATAATTAAAATGATTTGAATTTCTAAAAAGCAGCTTTAGAATATCATCTATTGTTACTTGATCAAAAGATTTGATTGAATTATTTTTTACTGAACCGCAATGCTTTTTAATTATAAATGATGCAATGTGATTAATTTGTAGCTTTATAATGTAAAACACAAATAAAAATAATAAATAACTAACTATTTTCTTTTCTCCCATTGTAAATCTATAAGTTTTGATTAGGATTTAGAATTTTAGATTTGATTTTAATTATCTAATAAAAAAAACTAATTTCTTTTTATAACTTAGTCTATGAATGACATAATTACAATAATTTGCAAAATGTTTACACAAACTAATTGCGATCTAAAGAAGATATTTATCTTCATTGTTTTTTTAATTATTTTATTTATTGGATTTGTAAAGTTAGTGATGCATCATCTCTCTAAATGCAAATTAAAATGTTTAGAGTTAGATGTTTTAAAAAGTAAATTAAAGATTCTGAGTGAAAGTAGAATAAGATTTGTTTTAAATAATTAGATAGGATATAATTTTAGCAATTAGGACTCAAAATAAACTAGATATAAAATTAGCATTAGATAACTTGTCTTCTACATAAAAAAATTAATAAAAGTTACACTAAATAACTCAAAAAATAGCCTTTTCAATTACTTAATTTCTAGAATATTTGTAAGTTGTGTATTTGCTGATAAATTTGATTATCTCATATTTCAGTTTTAAGTAAGTAATGTTTATTAAATACTTAGCCTTTATTATAAAATGACTGAACATTTTTAGTTTCCTCAAATCATTTTTTTTTGTTTAAAGCTTATATGACGCTGGTTATGATTTACGAATTTAATATGCAAAAAGAAGATAGAAATAATAATTTTTTTATTTTGAGAGGGGAGAAGTTAACAAATGTTTTTTTAATTTACTATATTTAAATTTTTAAGAAGTAAATCTGGATTATATTATGATGCAATTAATTAAGGAATTATTTATTTTCCTTTTTAGATTCATTATGTTAAGGAACACATTACAGTAGTGGTAAAAAGTATGAAGTTAATATTTAATGTTTCTTTTTCATTTAATTATGTGGTATGATCAGATTTCTACTTATAGTTTTCCTCCATTTAAAATAATGTAAACCATTTTTGCTCACTGTAATATACATAGAAGATTGTTTAAGAATTGGGATCTTAATTAAAAGAAGTTTATTCAGGCTATTTTTTAGATTATATAAAAATAATTCAATTATCAACTGCATGATAAGATAAATTCACTAACCAAAAATTAAATGCATAGGAAATGTGTTTTGCATTTCTAATCGAATTGAGCTGAATTAGTTTAAAAAAGAAATTACTATTTCGAAACGTTAGGATATTTGATGCAGGAATCAGATAAATTAAAAATTTAGGAATTAAATGACTTAAAAATAGCACTGTTTGCTTGTTATTTGATATTAGAGCTCATTCGAGGGTAAATTAATACTGAATAAAAATTAATGAATGAAACACTTCTTTTTAAAAATATAAAAAAGTATAGGTTCATAATTATCTCCTAACAAAATGATCAGTGGAGTAAAAAGAATTCTTTTATACTTTTTTTAAAATATAATTTTACATAGTTTTTATCTGTCAATAGCAATAGTCAATATATAATATTTATAATTTCTATTCGTGCAATTTTAATGAAATAACTAATTATTTTTATGAACAATTTCTAAATTTTATCAAGAAAATATTTGAAAAGAGATGCTGATTGACTAAGCTAAAATATCAAATTTTTTAAAAATAAAGAGGGAAATCTATATTTTCGATATATTATATTACCAGTGATATTGCCTTTTACTTAATTTTAATTAAAAGTAAACATTTTGTAATCAATTGTATTGCTTTGAATAACATTCAATGTTAGTCTGTGATTTATATCTCAATAAAAAATTTTGTTATCGAATGAAAAACTCTAAATTCGTTTTTGTAAGCTTGGATTCGTTTAAAAATTGTCTTTAATCAGAACTAAGTAGAGGAAAATCAAGCACTATATCAATTAGCACGATTGATATATTTAAGGTTGATTTGGTGATAATTTTTTTAAATTTTAAAGAGTAAAAAATCTCTTTTATTTCAACTGCTGTTTGCTAAATTGCAAGTAACTATGTAGGATATAAATTAAAATACATACAAATTAAACCGTACTTCATTTCGATCATATTAGTAAATGAGAATGGTTACTTTTGAGAATCCACTTTAATCATGTAATCAAAAAATTTTAGTTCATTAACGCACTACTTAATGTAATTTATTTATCCCTTTATCAGATTGTTTAGTTTTTAACAAGTATATCAAACCTAAGAACTGGAGAAACAATCTATAATCTAGAACTATATTATTAATTTATTTAATAGTATCAAATGCAAATAAAAATTATTGGGCTCTTTATATTAATATGATATTTACATACCACAGTATTTCAACCAAAGATTTACATTAAATGCTGTCGTTTTGCGATAAATTTTTAGTTTTGTACACATTTTTTTGTTTTTTCAAGCAAATTCTAACAGATGCATTTTTAATCTAAATATATGGTTAACATGTTTGTCTGGATAAGACTTAAAAAAATGTTACAGTCATTTTAAAAGTGCGAAATTTGAATAGATTAAGCTGTAATAAGCAAGTAGATACAAAAACAGCAATAGATTCATTCATCCATTTGAAAACAAATTTTAAAATAAGCTAAAATCGCAAATGGTCTTTGAAATTGTGTGAAAATGCTTTTAAACACTTGCGTTTGCTTTGCTAAAACATTTTTAACCTGCGATAAAAAAAATGTGCGAATAAAATTTAAACATAGGATAATTTAAAATTTAACGCTAAAAGTAGTGAGGTAAATTAAATTAGATATAAAATAAAAAGAATTTCACAGAAACCAAACAAACTCTATTTTTGAATCACCCCTGCGGTAACAAAAATAGAGTTTTGGTTTTATGGAAAATTTTAATTAAAATTGGGATGGGGTGGGGATTTAAATTATCTTAATTTTTTTATTCAATTTCAGAATTACTCACTTCTATCTTTTGCTTTATTTAGCATTAAATCATTAAATCGATCTATATTTAAAAGCAAGTTGCTTTAATTTGTGTTTTGGGAATAAAAAAAAATTGTTTATAAGCTGAAATCTTAAATTTTTTAATAATTATTTATCAATCAAAAAAAAAAAAATCACTAAAAAGCACAAAAAATAAGAAAAAAACATTATTAAAAATCAGTGCAAAATCTTGGCAAAACAAACAAAAACAATAATTACTAACACACTCTCATAATTGACATCTGTCTGCTCTAATTCTACTAAACACATACACCAACTATAAAATATCAATAAATATAATTATTATTATTACTCAACTGAAATGGACGGTAATATATTATTATCAATAAATGATTTTTTGGTTTAATCTATCTTGAATAAAACTCTGCTTGATCTTATCTAATGCAAAAATAATATTAGAAGATTAGCAAAATATTAATAGATAGAATTTATCTCATATATAAATATACTTAATGTTTATCTTTAAAAAAAGCCTTCACTAACTTTATGGATTTATTGGGTGACTTAAGAGAACAACCCCTCAACATGAAAGAACTTAAGAATGAATTCAAATTGCCTAAGAAGAATTTCCCTAAAATCTCAAAGATGATTCATTATTTCAAGACTGAATTTTCAACGTAATTTTAATTTTTCATAGAAAATTTCCCAACAATCTTATTTGTTTATTTATTTATGTGCAGTCAGTGATATCAAATAAACAAAGAATTTATTAAATATGTTAATTACTAATTTGTCGTCCTAGTAATTAATAATCATAATTTAAACTGAGACAGTTTATTTTAATTAAAGATAAAATTGAAAATAAATAAATAAATAATTAATTAATTCACTGAACCATTTTACAATTAAACTGCGCTGGATTTTTATGAGTCTTAAAAAAACATCAATTACTTTAATCTTACCTAAATTTCTTAATCAATATAAATAGCCGCACAAGAAACGAAAGCAGAACCAAGTGGCACAATTATGACAAGCAACTCCTTTTCTGGGTAGTTTGCAAATACTGTCAAATAAATTAAAAATACATTGTTGCTTCTCTTTCCAAGAAAGGTCAAAAATCTATGGTAATTGTCTTATCTTATTTTCTTTACTTATTTATTTATTTTTATTATTCCTCAATTCTTTGTGTATTTTAAATTAATCTTCTCCCTTAAATCAATTATAGGATGACAATGACTGGGTTCACATCTCTGCCATTTTAGGAGTTGAAACTAAAATCTTGAAAAACAAATGGTTAGTTATGGTCAAACCTCAAGTTAAAAATGCTCCTTGGACTCAAGAAGAAGACTCTATTTTGAAGAGTTTAATAGAGTAAATATCATTTATTTTCTTTTTTTTAATTAGAGATATATTTTCTTATTGCTTGCTATTGATTGATTGAATTACCAAAAAATATAAATAAAACTAACTCTCTAACTATCTTTTTGATCATCCATTCATTCATTAATTCAAATGAGTTTGAGATAAGATAAAAAATATAAACCAACCAGCTTATTTATTAATGATCACAACCTAATTTATACCCATAGATAATTCGCCGTTCATTTGAATAATCGTTATTTACACCAATATCGATTAAAATTGAACTCTTTATAGCTTGCTTTTAAGAAAATATATTTTTTAATTAAATTAATTAATCGTTTTAAAATGTTAAAATAATTATTTAAATATTATAGTCCTTCTGAAAAGAACCACAACTGGACTCAAGTTGCCACCAGATTGGCTGAGCTCACTCAAAACAGTTCCTTCAGAAACGCTAAGCAAATAAGAGAAAGATGGAACAACTACCTCAATCCCACTCTTAAAAAGTAATTATAATTTCTTACTTTAAAAAATTAAGAGTCAGTCGACTAATTAATTAATTTAGAAACTTAATTTGATTAAATAAAGTTAGCATATGATAAATATATATATATATATTCAAATTAAAAGATCATTTTTTAAATTCTCCTTTTATTATTAAATAGATCTGAATGGGAAGAAAGCGAAGACATTCTCCTTCTTGAGAGCGTTCTCTCTTAAGGCAAAAAGTGGTCTCAAATTTCATAAATTATGGGATGCCGTACTGAATCATAAGTTAAAAATAGATACAATTCCATCTCTAACCGTCTCAAAAAGACCTATGGTGAATAATACCCTGAAGAAACTCTTATTTAAATGGAAATCAGCTAATTAAAGGGATATAATTCTGGTAGCTAATCAACCAACTTCGCCTCTCATAAGATGATTGTTCCTTCTTCTAACATTAGAATCAAGAAAGAAATGGTTTCTCCCTTAATGTCAGCTGTCCATTCTAATGACATGCTTGCCAAGAAGAATAACAGTTTGAACTCTTCTGATACCTTATAAGTAAATTTAAGAAGACACAAGTCATCTGCTGATAGCATTATTACTGAACAAAATCACTAATCTCCTGCTTACTCTTCTTCCTCCCCTTAACTTTCTGAAACTTCTTACTAATAGGATGCTACTTCAATTATTCAATTAGATATGAATACAGTTGCCAAGTAAGAAATGGTTAACTCAAATCAAGTTTTATCACAGTAATCTTCTTCCACTGTCGCCACTCCTTAACATTCTCACCATTTCTAAATTCCCCAACTCCCAGCCTTTATTTCTCATCCTTAAGCATACAAAAATACATTAAATTAAGAAATGTAGCCTGTTTTCCACTAAAATGTTTAAGAAATCCCTGAATTCAATGCTTAAAATCATCTCTAATTCTAAGAACCTGTTCAACCTTAATACATCACCTTAAATTACTAACAATACTAAGCTGTTCACGGTCAAGAAACCTAACAATAGCAATAATAGTAAAATTCTACTTAATAACACTAGACTCAATAACCAACTCTCCCTCCTTCTATTAGCTACTTCTATGACAACTACTTCCAAGTCAATACTCCTACTCCTGCTAACCAAAGCAATAATGGCACTGGAAATCTCTACGTAGAAGATTGGGGATTCACTCAAATGCACTAAACATACAATGCTCCCACTCCTAACAATCACTAAGCTCACCCTTACTATAACAATACTAACACTACTACTAACTAATACGCTACTTCTGGAGCTGGTAACCTTGACTTTAACACTGCCTTCCATGGTTTGGAGCAAAATGAATTCTTTGCCAGAAGAAATAGCGCTTTAATGAACGACTCATAAAGACACTAAAACTACTAACCTACTCCCCACCACCAAACTAATAACTTTTTCACAATTCCTACTACCCCTTAAAACTAAGCCAACGCAGCTCAATCATTCTACTATGAGGAACAATACTGAACAAGATCAATTAAAAAGTGACTGGCTGACTGACTGACTGACAGACAGACAAACAGACTGGCCAATCGATCCAAATTATCTAATAAAATTAATAACCTCAATAATCAATCAAATTCCTATAAAAATCTTACTACTTTGAGTATTCTAAATTATTTTTCCCCAAATTAATATAAATACAAGTAATCAATGAAGCAAACTATCCATCTAATTAATTATCTATTTTTCAGAAATAATTAAATCGCATAGTAAATAAAATAGTATAGAGGATATTAATAACTAAAAGAGTGAATAAATGAATGCTCGGAAGTGTTCATAAATGCGAAGGCAATTAAAAAATAATAAATTAAAAAAACAAGCAATCAATCAAAAAATAAAGAATTGCACCTCTATATCAATTTACATAAAAAAAAACATAAATATATTTATATCTATCTATTCTAATCTAATCTAAAAAAAACTAAATAATAACAATAAATAAACCAAATAGCTTACCTACCTACAAACCAACCAACCAATCAACATCTTATTATTTGCAAGACTCTTATTTTGTAAAAAAATTATTATCTAAACCAAAAATGTATTTTCATTTTATATTTATACCACAATGCAATGCAATTTAATTTAAATATTCTTAATAATCGCTCTGCCAATCTTCAAATTAATGCTTTATTTTACTCTTTTTTATTTCTTTCCTATCAAAAATATATGCGATCACATAAGCAAATGCAAATACAAAAAAATCATTTAATATCTTTAGTTTCATAAATATAATCGCTTCTCTGTTTAATGTATTTATAATATACATAAATGTTACTACTTTTATTTTTCATACTAGTTATAAGAAATTAACCATATACTTTTGAAAAATATTAATTTATACTTTTCATAGTTAAATAATTCTTTTTCTTAGATTGATTTGGCTTTAATCATAAAATCTAATTATATAAAACTTTCTCAGCTCATATAATTCTAAATGTTTTTAAATTAAAAATAATAATGTTTTTGATCTATCTTTTTTCTATCTTTCTTTTTAGCCTTTTAGATGGGCATTCTTAAAGTAAATATATCTATCTATTTATCTAGTGCATTTCAAATAAATAAATAAATCCTACTTGAAATCTATCAATATGAAATAATTTTGACTAAATCTCTAACTAAAAAATTTAAATAGCACCAAACAAAAATTTACACTAAGAATGCACTGTACTATTTTATTCAAAATCCTATTTCTTTTTCTTAGTATTATTCTTACAAATATTTTGTTTTGAGAGTAATAATTTTAGAAACAGTTATATTAAATAAAGGGTGAAGCGATTGTCAGAGTTTAGAGGGAATAAAAAAAGAAAATAATATTTTAAAAACATTTAACAATCTATTTCTTAATAATTTTAAAAGATTTAATTTTATAGTCTAAAGTAAGTGGACATTATCATGCTCTTTCTTTTTTTGATTAGTGATTTAAATTTCTTATAATTTTTCTAAAAATTTTCTGGATGATTTTATTTATTATTTATTTACCTGTTTTGTTTTTTAACTTTCAAAAATCTAATCAAAATTTTATTATCCTAGTTATTGCTCGTTCCTCAATGTTTTTTTTAAGAGGATCCTAGCTTTTTTTTTATTTTCGAAGGTAAATTCTTAAAAGTTATCATTCATAAATTAGATTTGGTCATGTATTCGCTTCTGGGGAATCAATTTTAAGAGCTTTTAAATGAAATTATACTTACTATCAAAAAAAACCATTTAAAATGCTCTGCTAGGCAATTTCGATTTATGAATTTAAAACTATGAATTAAATATATATTGAGTTGGATGCAATAAATTTAAAAAGCATTAAAATTTGGGAATAAAGTAAATTGAATATTTATCAATCGATAAGAAATACTTTAGCTTACATTAGATTATTATATTATCAAGATTTGTTTATTAATTTATTTAAACACATCATGCTTATATCTATGTATGCTTATATATTTATGCTTCAATCGAAAATTAAAAAAATATAAAAATTCAATAAATTTAAGCACTTGATAATGGGATTTTCAATAAAATCCTTAATGAACTGATAACTAACATACTATAAATTAATAATTTTGATTAGAGTTATTTTTATAAAATTGAGACATTCAAAAACATAGAAAAACTGTTATTGTTGCATTTAATAAAATATTTTAAATATAAACAATTGTAAAGTGAAAGCTTAGTAAAATTTATGGTGAACAAAAGATTGATGCAATTTAAAAGGAAAAGGATACTCACACAAGCTAGAAATTGATATGTAAATTTGATGTATAAATTAAGCAAATAAATTTGAATGATAATGCTTAAATAGCTTTTTGTATCATAATAAATTACTTTTAAGCTATAAATTTTGTAATCTTTTGTTAATATTGAATAATAGACCTAAAATATTTATTTCTTAAACAGGAATTCAATAAATTAAAAAAATTATGAATCGTTTGAATGCTTGAAAATTTGATTACATTATAAATATTTAATTATTATAAATAACATTACTTTCCTTTTTTTTTTCAAAGCACAATCTTACAAAATCTATAAATGAGCAAACTGGATGTCTTATATTCAATTTTAACATATAATTTTAATTGATATTTTAAAATCAAACATATTCTCAAAGAATAAGTAGAGCATTTTGCCTACTAATTTAAACTAAATTTTCTACTTAATCGAGTCTACGAAGTTTTACCCTCTAAATCTATTAGAAAATGCAAATTAATAAATTCAAAGTAAAGCTTTACTTGAATAATTGGGTTGAAAGTTTTTCTTAACTTGATAAATAATAATTTGCTTGATTGATTAGTTGATTAGATAGAAAATATTATTAAAAAAATTAATTAGAAGACCTAATTTATTTATTTAATTAATTAATTAATTTTTGTGATTGAATATTTTTGTAATTGAATGCTTCATTCAAATCCTATTTTTTCTTTTTCTTATATTTCTTTGAAATTCTTTAAGAGGATGGCAAATTTATTAAAGTAGTATTTTTTATATTTGCCTTAAATTTTCCTTTCTGCTATAAATATTGAAGCTCTATTTATAATATTTCTTCTTTATTTAATCATAATTTCGGAGATAGAAAAGAAAGGTAAAAGTTTGTTTTGCATAGATATTTAAATCTTCTTTGGTTTTTTGAATGGTAAATATTCCAAACAATTATATTTATAGTTTGATTAAATGAACTAAATAAAATAAATCTTTTGTTATACTCAAAAACTTTGAATCTTACATTTTACACAGACTGAGTTATTATGCAAAAAAAAAAATAAATATTAACTTGTAATATTATTCTAACGACATTTAAAAATAAATTAAACTTAATCTTCTTTGAAAAGAAATACTTATTGATAATTTCTAAGCAATAAAAAGTAAATTTAATAATTTGCTAACTTTATTACTTATTTATTTAGTTTTGAATGCAATATTACATAAATTCTGATTAAATACAAATAGGTGTTTCAATAAATTGTTTGTTTTATTTATTGTTTGTTGTTACTTTAATTTAATCAATTTTAAATTTGTTTAAAAGCAATACCCTCTAAAATTCTTACATTTTATCCTTCCTCTAAATTTTTTTCTCGTTATATTTATCATTCATCATTAAATAGTTTCAGATTTTTTTTGGCACTCAATTTTCTAAAGTTTTGTATAGATATTTTGTTAGGTGGTAAATAAAATTATGTAAACTAAAATACTTACCTCAAGCATAAATTATTTATTTATTTATTAATCGATTTGTTTCTTTAAAAAAATACATGCTTAATTGAATATAACAAAACAAATAGTACTATGATACTTAAAAGTCTAAGTATTTTTTTTATATTTTAATCCATAAATATTACAGTTTATATCATATTATTAGCATAAAATTTCTTAAGATTTCATTTCTCTTTTATATTTTAATATAAGTTACCTCCATGAAATGAAATACAAAAAAAAATAATTTAAAAATATTTCTGTAAAGCCAAAGCTTTTTTGTGACTAATAAAAAATAAAAATTAATTTTTAAAATACACGATATTTTTTTAGCCCCTCGATTTTCATTCATATGCTTATTAAATATTTTTATTTTGAAATGTAAAGAAAGCAATTCATGAATTGATTATGCTAAATAAAATTTCTAAGTAAATCAATCAATCAAATTATTTATCTTATGTTTACAAAGAGCTATAAATCAATCAATCAATCAATTTTAACGAATTTTTATGAAAATTTGAAAGTCAAAGACTATAAATTAATATAAATTGAGATATTGCTTAAACCATCAATTCTAGTATTTTTAATAAAAGAATTTTTTTTTGAAATTTGCTTGAATACTTTAGATAAATGCAATTAATAAATGTTGTCCTCTTTTTACTAGTTAATGATCAATTAAAATTCAAATACTTAAGATTAAAAATTAATACATATACAAATCTCTATACATGCATAAATATCAAATACATTTAAGGATCTTAACAAACAGAATAGAAGAAAATATCATCTTAAATACAAATTGTGAAATTAATTTGGAATTTATTTATTCAAATATTCTGAATTAAATGTGTTATTTTTAATGTAATCTCTTTCTCAACCTTAATTAGGGGAAAGATTTTTCTACGAGAGGTAAAAACTTTAAAAATTAATTATGTAATACATCTAATGTGAATAATAATTGATGCACTTTCCTAAAATTTAAATTATTAATATCCTACTCTAATATTCATATTTGTGATTCAAAACAAAATATTTTTGAAATTCTATGATAAAAATAGCACTCAATATCTTTAATATAGCTAATTTCTTTGAGTTAAGCTAGAAATGTATGAGCTTACTCTTATTTCACTCTAACTAAAGCCTTTAAATCAATATCTTCTTAAAGAGAAAAGTCTATCTGTGTATGTTTATGCATTTGATTTATGATTTATGTCGTCAGACAATCTATTCTGTTTCAACTAAATAAAATTACATACTTCCCCAATTCAAACGAACACCCTTCAACTTTACAACTCTTTATCTATAAAATTATCCTATTTTTAAATAAAATTCTTACAAATTCGGAGCAATTTTAATTAAATCAATAAAATAGACTCTTACTTATTTATTACCAACGCAATTAAGTATTTAAAAATTTAAGCAATTTCAAAATTTTTAACATCACTTGCTTATTTGATATTAGCAATTAAGATAGGTAATATCTAGCTTCGAAGCAGCCATAACTTTCTTTCAAAAAGTTTTCTTCATATTACCACAAGCTGTCAAAATATATACAAGAGAGCAGCATTATTTTTTAATATTTTTTTTATTAAATAATAGCTCGAATGATAATTGCATATGCAAAATACTTGATATAGACAACTAAAAGCAACAAACAACCAAAGTATAAGTATATATTATTTAAACAAAAGAGATTATTATATACTTTAGCAGAAAGCTCACTTGCATTTAGTTAAAATGAATTTCCTTACTGTAAAACGATACGAGTTGTTCTTACTATAACCCGTTTGTTTAAGTAATTAATTTGATACAAATAATATTTATAAACTATAGTAATATACCCAAATTTTAAAATATAATAAATCATTTCCTGAATCTGAAATGGCTTACAGAAAATGCACAGTACACTTAATATTGTGAATAACTGTAAGTTTTTCTTCTCTGAGTCATTGAATAATTAAAATTCACATATATTTTATAGTCATTCTTTAAATGTAAGCAGATCAAGTTATTGTCTTAAAATATGAAATTGAAATATTTTTTTAGATAAATATTTAAATAATATTAGCAACAAACAATGCGAATTCGAACCAATTCGAAGATTATTTATTCCCTACCCATAAACTCATCAATTTAAATGAAAAATTTTGATTAGAATCTCACAAATTTCTATATTAATAAGCCTTTCATAAAAGCTTAACATAAGAATAAATATCACTTAATAATTCAATTGTTTGACTAGAGTTCAATTTAAAGATATGCCTTGTACTATATACTAAAATATGTTAACATGGCATGTTTGAATTTGAATTAAATAATTATATTTTCACAAAAATCTGCTTAAAATAATTTAATGCTTTTAGGCCAAATTTAGAATTGAAAAAAATATGAATTAATTACTTAATAAAATATTGAAGTTATTTAGAATTTATGTTAATACTTAATGGACTAAATATTCATCAAACATCTCTATATTTACACTTTCTATCAAATTGAATACCAAAATAGTATTTTATTTAAATATTGATATAAATAATCTATCTATTTGAAGTAAAATATTGATTTTTATTTCTATTAAGTATTAATTGTAAATATATAAAAAGGTCATATTTTGTATTTTTAAATTATTAAGCTTTTTAGGCGAAGTACTCACTATCTCTACAACAACAAAAGACTTATATTTTTCTAAAGTAAAAATCACCAAAAAAAAATACTTCACAAATAACACTTTCCATAAAAATATGATGATGGAAAGTGATGCTTTGATGAAATTCTATTAATTTTGTTAAAAATTACATTACAAACAAATACTTAAGTATTCAAATATATTTGTAAATTAATCTAATCAAGTAAACCATTTATCCTTATTTAAATTGATATGTTTGTTTTAATATCTTGAAGTATATCAAATTTTAATGCATGTTTAAGAATATTACTTATAGTATTTATGCATGTACATCATGTTATTTATTAATAGTTTTAGTAATATAATATCTATGTATACTTTTATAAAACAACCACACACTTTATTTGTCATAATTCACACATAATTTAAATTAATCATAATAAATTTAAAAATTTGAGATTACATTACCTACATTCATAACTAATTTGATATAATTTCATTCATGCATTGAATAAACAAATAACTTTAAAACTATTCACTTTTAAAAACTGTTTACACTAATTAATTTGATATTTGGGTTTAAATACAAAATCCATACTACTAGGATGGGTATTTTAAAGAAAAATTATAAGATAAGAGGAAATATTACTCAATTTATCCAAAATTTATTATTATTCACAAAATTTTTTACCCTATATGGTATTTAAAATTCAAGATTTAAAATTTATAAGATTATTTGCTATTTAAAATAATTAGTCTATGAGGAAGTGTTTTTTATTGAATATTTAATCATATTTATGTTTTAAATAAAAGATAATTTGTATGAAACATCATAATTTATTTCAAAGGTAAAGCAAATAATAGATGATTTATTCTACTATGCTCTTTTAATTGATCTATTTTTTGATAGTATTCGCATAAATCGATTTTAATAAACAAACATATTTTACTATTTTAATTTAGTTGTCTATAACGATTTTTTTTCTATCTCTTTTTTACTTAGAAGCCAAGCTAATTAAAAAATCATATACTTTACTTTCAAGTTGTCATATTTTATATAATGTTTTAATATCTACCATTTTTAAATTTTTAATAGAATTTTGCATGCTTCCTTTATGAAATTAAATTAGTAAGTTATTATTGATAATAAACTCTAGGTTTATTATAAAAAAAGTTTTTTATTTACTTACCCTTTTTATTCATGTATGATATAAATGTAGGTATGTATTATGATTAAGATATTTTAAATTTGGAATTATACATAAAAATATAATAAGATATATTTGTTAACTATTTCTCCCACCTATTTCATTCCATAAAATTTTTATTTATTGGATTATTAAACTAGAAATTTTAATTCTAATAACACAAATTGGGTATATATTTACAGATATTACATTAAGCGAATATAAATCAAACGATTTATTAGTCGTTTATCATTACACAATTTTTACGTAAATAAATAATCTAATCAAAGCAATTTATTTGAAATAGAGAAATCATTATTTAATAATTTTGTAATAAAATTTCAGTCTACTAATTATGGAGTAACTTAACTGGACTTACAAAAATATGATTTAATGAAATTTATACTCTATTATATTATTTTTTTTAATTGTTTGGGTGTTATTAATGAGAAACAGGTTAATGTTTGTAGATATAAGAGCTATTGAAAAAGAAAGTGATTGTAACTCTATGAAATAAGTTAAGGAAAGAATGAAAATCAATCAATGAAATCCATAATTCATATTTAATAAATAGATTTAAATGTAAAAGTTGTTATAGTTGTTTATTTTTCATCATAATAAATAATAAAAATCAATTCAAGTAATGTATCTTCATATCTTCCTATACTCGCTTGAAAAGCAGTGGGAAATAATTTAATACCATAATTTGTGATTAATAATGTTATTAATTATTGATAAATTTTCTTTTTCATCAATCAATATATATATGTATGAATCATTAAATTTCTGAATTGAATGAATGATTGATTGAGTGAGTGAGGAACTGGCTGTTTGATCTATAGATAGATATATTAAATGATTGATTTATTAATTAATTAATTGATTGATCGATCGATTGATTGATTGACTTCAAAGAAAATTAATTAGAAATAAGTTGGGAAAAAAGAAGGAAGAAATCTTAAAAATAATTAAATATTTTTCTTTAATTATTGTTCATCCAATCTATTTAATTTTGCTGATTATTTTTTGATTTCTACTCATATATTTAATGATTTATATAATCATTTAGTAATATATTCAACTCCCTATTCTATTTATGCTTCAAATTTTTATAATTAATCAATTTGATTAAAATCACTATTTTGCAAATTTTCTGTACTGGACCAGCCAGTTAAAATTGTAATCAAGCCTTCTATTTTCATAAAATTTAATTTACTCTTTGCAATTTAAATACTAAAAAATCATTCTGTTATAATCTGTTAATATGTCAAATAATCCTACAATCCAATCAATTTATCAATTACCAATATATCATTATCTGTGAACATATATTTATGCTTAGATTCTATTATGGTAGGCTTACTTGAAATATCTAAAATTTTTATATCTTAAGTATTCACTAAATTTCAAGCTTTGTAAAAAATCGTGTTTTTTTTTGTTTGTTTATTTATTTAGTTTATCTGTTAAAAGAAATTTTGAAAGTAATCTCTTTTCTGTAAATATTCTTGATTAAATATTTTGATTGATTGATTGATTAATTGATTAATTGACTCTGAAAGAAAGAGTTTGGAAATTATATTTTATTTTTACTTTTTCTCAAATAAGTTTGAAAATTTGAATGAAAAATTTATTTTTTCTTCTAATCAAAAATCTTCTATTTTTTTTCTAAAGTCTTCTTTATTTGCCTTTCAATTCCTACTATTTTTAAGTTTAAAGATATCTTAATATTTTCTAAACAAGACTTCCATATGAGCAGTAAAGCCTTCGAAATCCTAGATAATTTAGGATGTAATGCATTCATAAACACACTTTCGAATTGTTTATTTTATTTCCTTACCATTTTGTGGCTAAATATTTTACTTTTTTTTATTTATTTCTCAAAGGTCCTCGAATAGTCTGCGGACATCCAACTTAGTAGGTTATTGCTACAGAATCAGGTTTGTTTTTACCCCTTAATTTTCTTTTTGTGACAGATTACAAAAGTTAAATTATTTTAAATCATAAAATTTTTTAGGATGTTCTCTACTGTTTTGCGATTTAGCAAATGATAAAAAAATAAAGATGCACAGACATGAAAACAATGTAAAATTTGGTTTTGCTTTAAAATCACTTCACATTATTAAATTATTTGTTTTAAAAACGCAAATTTTAAAATAAAAATTAGATTTCTGACATATTGATCAGCGAAAAGTATCTCTTTTCAGTTGATTAAGGTCCAAAAGTGAGTGTCTTAATCTCAGATATAAACACTCTGAAAAGAATTTATTAATTTTACTTACCTCCTCACAAACTAAGAGGAGATAAACCCACCCATAGTGTTCTATTGGCCTACTCGGACAAATTCTAAAGAATCGTTTTACTTGAAAACGAATATGCCGGAGGTTACAGAATAACTGGATGGGAGTTCAAATAAGAAAAGCTAGTTAAATTATTTTTTGTTGCTGATATCGAAACAACTTACAGATGCCTTTCAGTAAAATATTTAAAATACAATATAAACATTTTTCAATAAAAAAAAGAGTAATGTATGTATTTTGATCAAATAAATAGCATAAATAAACAAATATTGTTATTAATATAATAAATTGATAATTGTTCGCTTGAATAAAGTTATGATTTCTTTATTTTACAAATATCAAATAAATTTATTTATCAATAATTCACTAAAAGGAATTTAAGTACTTTGATTAATTGATTGGTTCGTTCATTTATTCATTAATTGTGTAAAAGAGAATTGAAGAAAATAAATAACTTTAGTAGATTAGATTACTAAAATATTTAAAGTTATAAATTAATCTATATCTTATTTTATTAAATTACTTTAAAATGTTTGCTTTTAAGCCCATAATTATATACAATTCAAAGTTTTTCTTAATTTATCTTACACTTATAAATCAAGATATCTATCTAGCTTTTCTCATATTATGAATACAAACCGGAAAAATAAACAATTAAAATGATTTTTTTTATAAAAAAAGCTGTAAATTTTAGAAAATGCTAGCGATTTGATTGTTGTTACAGCTGAATAATGTATGATTAAATACTGGAAAATAGAATCTAAGCAAGCTATTTTGACTAACAGAATTCATATCAAAGAAGAGATAGGTTAAGTTTTATCAGATAACAACTACAGAATTATCTTAGCACTAACTAAAACAGGAAAAATCATATTACTAAATTCATAAGTAAATATTTAATTATTTTAAGATAAATCATAAAAAATAACTTTAATGCTTATTACAACATTTTATAGAACAATCATTATTATTTAACTATTACACCAAGTAGAACTAATACTCTATATCACGTTTAAACATAACTCATACGTTAATAACCTATTATTAGTTCAATAATTTAACTTCAAATAATTAACTATGACAAATAATTACATTTGTAAGTCTACACCAGGCATTAAAGTCAATTATCTTGAAATAGTGCTAAATAATATTTGCCCCTAAATCAAAATTTAAAATAAATTTTAGTTACTTACAATAAATAGATATGCATCTCCTTATTAGTTCTCATATACCTTAAAATATCTTACAAATATTTTCTACTTCAAACCTTATATGAATTTCATAGATGATTTTGATTTTGATGTCTCGAATATACATTTGTTATGTTAAAGATAAGTTTTTAAATGAGTTCATGTTATTAAATTTCAAATTTAAAAATAATTTTAAGACTCTTATGAAAAATTAACTTGAATAAATATATTATCTATTATAGAATAGATAAAAATAAATATTAATATTTTAATTTTAATTTATGAAAATTTATTTTATGATAATATATAGGGTGATTATTTGGATACGATTAAAGGAGAAAAGCCATTCAGTTGCATGGCTGCTTTCTCAACTTTTTGCTTTTTTGGCACAATATTTGGAAGCATTCAAATATTTGATTTAAAAAAAAATCAGAAAATAAATGAAATTCCTTATTTGTAAGAAATAAAAGACAGCCTTTGTCTAGAAAAAGAATTAGATGAGGTAGTTGAAAGAGAGGATGGTCTAGAAGCGAATTATAATAGCTTTAGTGGGAAATCATCCTCTTTTAATTAATCTTAAATTAGCAATGTTATAGAACCAATAACAAAAAAGTCATCTAAAAGTTACTTAAAGCTGCTGTAACAAGGACCACCTGTCATAATTTTGAGAATTTTAAGTAATAAATTAAATCAAAGATCATACTTTATTTAGAATCTAAATCATTTTTAAAGATTTGGTTTGAATATTGAAAGAGTTAGTTACTCTCAATAATTCTAAAATTTCTTAATTTAGTTTGTGAATTTTAAGATATCTAAATTTAAAGAGATATTATACTTTCATCATTTATCAACGAAAGAAATAATGTGAAAATGAATGTTTTTTACCCACAAAAATTAGAGCTATTATGATTAATTTTATTTTCTTCACATGTTAAGATTATTTTATTTAAAGAAATTGAAACCAGGCAGGAGTAATGAAGTATTTGATTTTATAAATAAATTATAGTCATTCATTTAATTAGAAAGTTTGTTTCAAATATTTAAGAATTTCATTCAATTATAATCATTCATTTAATCTGCTAACAATCAAATAAAGTATCTTTAGCCCATCATAAATCAATCAATTAACAAATAAAATCACTGGGCAGAATATAACATTATCTGATTTATAAATTTTATTCTTGCATTTCTTTTATTTCAAAAAAGAACCTCAATCCTTTTATTCGCCTTATTCAATATGGTATATTCTTACATCTTTTAGATTATTTTATAATAAATAATAAGAGATTTTATAATTTTTATAAAATTTTTCTTATTCTTAATATACAAAAAAAAAATTCAAATTTAAAAAGAATTGAAATCAAGCGAAAAAAAAAAATTTAAGATTTCCTGGGTAGAGTGATAAATACTTGTTTATATTAGTTACTTATTTATATTTGTAAATATACTTATAATATAGAGTAATATAGGCTTTTAATTTGGTTTTGCTTATTTCTTGCTTTTATCATTATTCTTATTTGAAATTAAACAAATCAGCAATACCCCTAATAGTAGTAGTAACAATATAATTTATTAAATTGGAACTTTATATAAAGCCACTTGTTTTTTATTGGCAGAACAGAGCCTAACTTTTAATTTATTTTGTGATTATTTCATCAGCCATAAAAAATTTACAAGAATTTATTTTCTAATTTAGATGAACATTTTCTTAGATATTTTCATCAATAACTATCACACAAATTAATTTTCATTTTAGTTTAAGCTTACTTCCATAATTAATGCAATCTGAGCATTTTTCATTCAATCATAAATTCCTCACTACAAATGTTAGCCATGTTACATCAAATTTTTAATACCAACAAACATTATTTTTTGTAATTAAAAATAAAATTTTTCCAGAGTTGCTATGAAATAAAATTTTCTAAGCTAGCTCATAAATTTATTCACTCTAAGTCTCCATAAAAAATTAATAATATTTTGCTGTTTGATAGTGTAAATCCATAATTTGAATTTTTCTGATGAATAAATATTTTTTTCTAATATATTATTGAAAGAACCACTACTCAAAAATACTTAACTTTAGCCAAAATAATATAGATAATACAAATATAAAGCATATAATAGGAGTACCCACCATTAGAATCGATTAGTAAAGTCTGAAATATAAGAAATGTATAATACAAACTTACATAATCTGATATTTAATTTTAAAAAATTAGTGAATATTAGGATTTCTTTCTAACAAATAATTAGAATTTATAAGATAAATGCGAATTTATTTATTTTTAATTATCAAGTTTGTAAGGTTATTGTTAGCATCATAAATTAATATATTTCACTCAATGTATCAACCTAATCTATATATAAATGATTCAATTATAATTATGTATTAGGGTAAGATAACTTGATTCAGAGAAGACTATATTTTTACTTTACTATCAAAATTTAAGACATATTTAACTAAAAATTATTTTTTTATTTTGGTATTTTAGTTTTATTTTAAAGAAGATTAAAGCTCTTAATGAAATATTATTGTCAGTTAATTATTGAATAACATAAATTTTTGTGTAAATAAATAATATGATTAATATAATAATATAAAGACTTATAACATGTACAAATTATTATCATATATTATTTAAAAATGAATACTGTTGATTTTTAGATTTTGATCTCTATTTTACTATTTTAAAAATTTATGAATCATATTGGTAATAAATCTTTTTTTTATATGAATAGATTAGGGAAATATGATCAATATTACTTATGCTGATGGATTGCAATTAACATATGACGTTTCCTCTAATAAAGTGATATCTTAGTAAATAGGCCACTACGAAAAGATCAACCAAATTGAATGGGTAAGCTTTGAATACTATTTTAATTTTAAAAGTAATATCATAAATGTTTGCTAATTTGTTAGATCAAATTCTTATGAAATATGTTTTGGTTAATTAATTAATGACTCATAAATCAACTGCATGAATCAACTATTTTAACACTAAAAATTAGAATTACTCAATCTTTTTTACATTTTAATTTGACTATTCATTTATTTGACCTAAATTATGGTTATTAAACAACATAGGATTTAGAAAGTCAATCAAGATTTTTTTCAGTTGGATCTGAAGGATATTTTGCTGCCTGGAATCTTTATCAAGATAGATGGGTAGGAAAAATTTTAGATATTCACAAGACATTTGATAAGTAAGCATATAATTTAGATTATTAAATAGTATTTTTTTTTTGTTATCCGTTGAATGACAATCGATGTTGTTTGTCACTAATTTACATCATAACACAACGATAATCTTATCTGGTAAATTATTACAAAAGTTATATTAATAAGTACAACACAAAGTAAAAAGAATTTTAAAAATTAAATTCATCAAAATTTAAAGAGAAAGAAAGTAACCGCTTCTCAATTTACCACATTTATTCTTAGATTAAAAATCGTATTAATTAAGCATTGTATTACGTAATTCTTACAAATTTTCTTTCATCTCTCAAATATTTGATTTATTCTTTTAGCTCTTACAGAGCTATAAATTATATCATTACATCAAAATAAAACATAAAAATTCCAGTAGTTATTAACTGGAAAAAGTAAAGGAGCATAATTATGAATACTAATATAATAAAATAATACAATTTTAGAAAACTCATTTTCTTAAATCTACAGAATTTTAAATAAAATTTGTTCAAAGATAATCATAAAATTTATTTTTTTGTCTAATATTTACTCAAACGCCTTTGATTTTAAAACTTTACATTTATTAAAATACCAATCAAAAAAATTTTTAGTTGTCTTAGTTACATAATTAATTTTTTAATCAACGAATAATTCTTTAATTCACTTACCTTTTTTAAAATAAAAATGAAATAAACTTTAATAGACTTACAGAGATAAATGAATATTTTATATAAAAAAATTGAAATTTTTTAGGATTGGTTTGATATTTTATAAAATTCATAGTATTTAATGCAAATTGAGAAATAATATATTATGTAAAACATGTAAGATAAAATTATAAATTCAAAATTAAACTAATAAAAATAGCTTTTTTTAAAAAGATGTACAGCCTTTTAATCTTTTAATAAATGACATGAAATATTTATCAATAAATTTACATAGACTAGTGTAAATTAAAAATTTTGTATAAAATTAATTAGGGAATAGTAAACATTATGCAGCTTATCAAGAAAAAATCACTTTATTTAACTTACTGGTTCTTAGGATTCTATTTTATCTTCTCAACCCAAATAGACAAACAATATATTTAATAAAGAACCTCAGTAAAAAATAAAGCTTACTTCGATAGTAACTAATTATTCTTACAAAGAAATTTATATTGGAGACAGTAAGGGCTATATAACAACACTGGATTATGAGACATTGCAGCCTACTAAAAAACATAAAGTCTGCAATTTTAAAATAAAAAAAATGAAACTATGTCCTCAAAGTTCATATCTTGCAGTGGTTCTTTCAACAGGAATGAGTATCCTTTTAGATATACTCAATTAATTTTAGTTAGTCTTAAAAATAGAAGACCATATTCATTCCATCTCTCCTACAAATCAAAAAGGTTATTTTAGAGGTAATTCTTTAAATTCTAAAATATTTCTTTAAAAATGTTTATATTTTCCCCATAATTAATATGTTATTTTAAAACAAATATATAAAAAATTTTTAAATGAATTTTAAAAAATGAAATAATTAATTTTAATTCTCTAAATTTTAACTGAATTATTTAATTAAGTTTAAATAATTAATTTAGATAATCTTCAAATTAAATTGAAAAATTATTTTATAATAAATTAAAATACATTAATAATATTAAAATCTTTCAAAAGAAAAATTAAACATTCTTTTTTTTAAATTTGAAAGAATTTCAAAGAAAATTCATTTAAAAAATTTCTCAAATAAAAAAATCTATTATTAGAAATAAAATTGAAAAATCGAAAATTAAATAATCTAATTAATAGAAAAATGATTTTAATACAATTTTTGTCGTTTAATCATTTTAAATATTTTAGTTTTTATTTTTCAAATTTTGTTTGGTATAAAATTGATTATTTAATTTAATAATATTATATTACTGACTTTATTACTATTAAAGAAAACATATTTTAAATAAATTTAATATCTTGATCAAAAAAAACATCCTTTAATCAATTAATAATATTATTTCTTAATAATTTAAATATTTTATTAAATAAACTCTCAAAAGAATTTATATTTTTTAATAAAAATAAATCAACAAATAAATTTTTTTAAATAAATTTCAATTTTTACAAAAATTTTAAAAATTTAAATTATAAAAAAATTATTTTATTAAAATACTTTTTTCACATCAATCCTTGTTTAAATAAAACACTTCAATCATATTAGTCAAAAATTTGACATTTTTTGATAATAAAAATTTCTGAATAAATAAATTTACATTTTTACTATTAATTTTAAATGATAATTTATAATAGAAATAATATAAAATACCTTTTTCTAAATAATTATTGATTAAATTAATTATTTTATCTTATTCAATAAAAGCAATTTTAAATTAACACTTTTAAATTCAAATATTTTGAACTAGACCATAATTTTTTATGATTTTTTTAAAAGTGATAAATTTTTTAATATTTTCTCAAAGAGTAATTTTAATTTAAGATAAATAATTAAACCTGATAGCAGCATAAATAATAGTTAGTAATTTTACTGCTCTAAAAAATGTTAATTAAGATCAAATACTACTTTTTATTTACAAAGTTAAGATGTTCTATTACTGAATATTAAATTAAAAGTACATAATTTAAAGTGCATTAAATCAGGTATAGTTTTCTAAAGTTAAGATATTAAAATTTAAATCTTTTCATTAAAAACCCTTAATTTTTTTTCAATTATTTAAGCTATATATAAAACATACCTTAAACTAACATCTCAGTTCAAGTATTTTTAACTATATCATCTAAATTATGTACTGACATTTTTTTAAAAATAATAAATTGATTAATATTTTTACAAACAACAGTAATGAATTTAAATTTAAAATTAAAAAGTAAATTTGATTGTAATATTAAAAATAATGATAATTCACTATTCTTATAAAACCTAAATACTATCAAATATTACTTTTCATGCACGTAAGTTAAGATGTTCTACTAAGGAATTTAAAATTAAAAATTCATAATTTAAATAAATTTAATACTAGTCGATAGGTGTATTAAATAAGTAGAGTTCTTAATAGTTAAGAAATTAAATTTTTATATAATTCCATGTAAGTATTTCTATTCTTACATAAATGAATAAATAGATCAAAGAACAAATTTTATAAATATAAAACTATTTTTATTTAAACAGTCTTAAGCACTTGGGATGTTTTTAAAACTATCAGTAAATTATTTAAACCAAAATTAAATATTTTTAATTAGTAAATGTTTTGAGATAATTTCAGTAATAGCTAAATTTCAAGATTATGTTAAATATCCTTTTATAATTAGACATGCAATGAATGACAACACATTTATTTTATTTATTTATTAAGCTTACTTATTTTGTTAGTTAGTTAGTCTATAAAAAAAATTACTTACTTATTTAAGGAATTATTTGCTAAATATTTTAGTAAATTAATATTCTCATATTTTTTTAAGATTGAGTGAAGGATTCTTATAAAATCATAAGATCAAGATAAAATAAATTTATGGTTATTCAAAGTATCCTTTGGGTATAACAAATTACAAGCATTATGAATTCATTTTGTTAAGAAGTATTACTAAATTTTAAATTAAGATTAGTAAATGTAAACCCGAAATTAAAAGATATGCTTGAAAAGGAAAATTGTAAATTAAATTTTCCTTATTTTAAGATATAAAAATAAATCTATTTAATTTGTTATACTAATTTATTTACTTTTTTCAAAAATTAATTAATTTTTAAATAATTATATAATATTATTTACTTAATTTTTAATTACTTTTTTTAATTTACTTACTTACTTAAGTAATAAGTAATAGAAGATCAAAAGGTTCGCTCAAATAATTTTATCCTAATCAAAATTACTTCAAAAATACAAAAATTTAATTTTAGCTTATTTTAACCTCTAAATAAATCTACTTTTTTTTAAAAAACATTTACAAATAATATTAAAATTGCTTAATTTTTAATATTTTAATTATTAGATATTCACTGCATTTTAGACAGTAGTGTAACCTCAAATGAAGAAAAGATAAGGCAAGTTACTAGACTTTCTAATCAAGTAAAGATATCGTAAAATATCAGTTAAACTTTACAGCAGTAATAAATACAAAAAATGAAGCAATCATCTATGAATAATAGTATGATATAAGACTCTCTTAAGAAAATTAAATTATAAAGTAGTTAAACAAAATTTAATGCAGGAAGTTACTTCAATTAATTAAATGAGTAGGGCGGATTAAAGTCTAATAATTGGTAATCTTAAGGTAAAAGTAGCTATAAGAAGGAAGATCCTAACTAATTTTTAGTTATAGCTACAAATACTCATAATCAAATGAGACTTCACAGTGTACAAATCAATGTACTTGATGACTCTGTTACAGGTATGGCTCTAATGATATATTAGACAGAAGGGAGAATTACAGGATGTGATATACACCCTTCCAGAGAATATATCCTTATTTTGGATGATATTGGATTTGCTTATCTCTACAAGATAAGAAGTGGGGAATTAAGAGGTCGCATCGAAGTTCCATAGTTTAGTTCCAGTAAATTTTAAATTTACTTTGAGAATATATTATTTTCTATTAGTAAGAATAATTTTAAGCATTAACAATGAAATACTTTTCTAGAACAAATTTTTCAATAAAATCAAGAATCTCAAATTATTAAACAATTTAGCTGAATTTTTAAAAATTTGAAGTAATAAATATCATATTTAAATAAACACATGTATGAATTTAATTAATTCTGAAGAAAAACCTTTTTGGTTATTAATTATTAAAAAGTTATGATTAACGTATATCGAAATCAAACAAATAAGCACTACACACCAAACCAACAGGTTAGTAAATTAGAAATAATATAAAAAAAATATTTCTTTCATCAGTTAATTTGTACATTAATTTTAAGTTTTCCAATAAATATTTATTTTATTTCACAAGGAAATTTTTTTCAAAATGGAAAATAAATAAATTATGATTAAATTCAAAGGTAGCTAGCTACATACATAATTTTAATAGAAATAAAATTTTTATAGCATGAGCTTTTAGTTTATTTATTAATTAAATATTTAATTTTACGTAATAAATACCTATTAGTGAGTAAATATACTGCTAATAAATATGTTTATAATTAATTATCTATTTAAGAAAGTAAATTCACCCCATCAATCAATTTTAAGTCAAAGAAATAATTCAAATTAAAATAATTGTAGATTTTTAAAACTATTTGTAATCAAAAAGATGTTTCGATCGACCCTAGCGGTTTATATTTTGCTATAAATTCGTACTAGTAATATCCAGAATATTATATCAGTGACACTGAGGAAGATAATGAAGAAAATGCTGAAGACGGGTAAGACTATCAAGAAGAAGAAGCAGCAGCAGCAGAAAATGGGCCTAGGAATTAAAATGGTTAGCAAACTTTCAAAAAAGCAAAAGAAGAAAATTTTCAAGTAAAAAAGGGTAGTAAGAATGGCAGTTAAGCACTGGATAAAATTCAGAAATCTTACATGATGAGAGAATTCGGTAAAATAAAAGACCCTCATGCAATTTAGAAAGAAGTTTAAAGAGATATCAATCTATATGAATAGAATGCCCAGTCGTAATTATAGATTCCAAATGGAAACCATTAAAGCTAGGAAATAAAGCCTGTAAAATATTTTGATGCTATAGAAAGCTTTCTGCACTCAAGCAAATATGTCATTAGTACTCAAGTTCACTTTTATTTATTATTTCGTTACTTGCCATAATTGTCTAAAAAAATTTTTCAAACAATACATATAAATTTAATTGAGATAATAATATTTAGTCATAGTAATATTTAATCTTTAACTTGAAATAAATAATTTAATTATTTACTTAAAACTCTATTTACATTAACTAATTATTCTTTTGTATTTTTTAATTATTTCAGAACCTAAAATGGTACTACTCTACGAGCTTGGTACTGGTAAGTAAGCAGGATTCATCTAGAATTTGTTTAATGCGTCTACTATTAAATTCTCTCACAATTCAGAGTATTTAGCTGTATCAAGTTCTTTTGGAGCTCTTTCTTTGTGGGGACTGAACGATGACATTGCTCAAAATATTTAGGGAGTTTTTTAGCAAATGGAATCATCTCCAACATTCTGGTCTAACTTCCCAATTTATATCTAAAAAAATTTGTAAGTATTTTAACTATTGTTAACAAAGAGGAAATATTAAATTCAATAAAATTTTGTTCTTTAAATCAATAAATTATTTTATATTTCTATGTAACGAAAAGCAAATAATAAATAAATAAAACTTCAAAATGATTGTAAATTTTTTTAAATAATCAATAGAGTTGATGTTAGACAGATCAAGCAAAATGTGAAAAATATTATCAATTTAGAAAACTTATAAGCAAAAAGATAAAGAGATTAAGTCTCATCTTAGTAGAACCTAAGGATGCTGAGAAACTCTTTAAGCAATTCTATTTCAACCAACGGATAATAGAATTTTAGATAAGAAAATAATCATCAAAGAGCAGTTTCTTAAATGAATTAAAGGTAATACTTTTTTATTTTGTATAACAAAGTTATAATCAAATTAATTAGTTAACTTTTATTGAATACACTTTACACTTTATTATAATTTATCACTACAATTATATTTATTACAAAGTACTTTAGAATTATTATTCCAAGAAGAATTTATATAAACGAAAAAACTCAAAACATATAACAATCAATACCACTAAAAATTAATTAACATATATTTGTTTAAATCTCAAAAATTACATTTAAAAATAAATAAATTCATCCAAAGCAAATACAAATGCTTAAAAAATTAAATGCTAAGAAAATAAAAATGTAAACATCAACTATTTTATTTAATAATAAATTCACAACTTTTTAAGTTATTAATTACTGAATTTTAGAATAACTAAATATTTTTACGATGCTTAAATTAATTTAAAAACTTTTAGATATAATTCATTTTATACAAAAAATATTGCTAATATTTTTATAAAATTTAAAATATATTTTTAGTTAGCTTTTATTAGGCAAAATTCAAAATAGCTTATTTTTGTTTTCATAACTAATCATATAAAAATAATACTAGAACAAAATATTTAATATTTCAACTTTTTCTAATCAAGATTTAATAAATATTTTCAAATTTTCTTACCCTTTTATATTCTTTATACTTCGCTCAAGAACTTTAATAAACATATTGCTGGAAAATGAAGCCGAATAGTTGCTTTTTTAAAGTCATTTTTAATTAATTACATAATAATACTAGAACAAAATACTTAATATTACAACTTTTTCTAATCAAGATTTAATAAATATTTTCAAATTTTCTTACCCTTTTATATTCTTTATACTTCGTTCAAGAACTTTTATAAAAATATTGCTGGAAAATGAAGCTGAATAGTTGCTTTTAAAGTCATTTTTAATTAATTACATAATAATACTAGAACAAAATATGAAATATTTAGTTTTTTTTTATTTTCATAAATATTCATTATCTCAATTTTTTATTTTTTATTTAAACGCATTTTTTAAAGATATAGCAGAAAATTGAAATTGCATAATCAGATGCAGATTGATGATATTAATGCTTAATAATCATAATTATAGAAAGAAAACTCAATTGATAATCTTTCTCCAATTCACAGTAAATTTTAAAAATAATATTTTCAATTATTTAAATAAAACTTATTTTAAAAAGAAACAATTAAAGAATCATCAGAGTAAAATTAATATATTAGAAGCTAAAACTTTGAGAGAGCTTACCAGAAGTTAACTCCTAAAAGTAATTAATTGTAATAACACTCTAATAAAAATGAGATATAAAATAGTTCTAAAAATAATTTCTTCTAATTCAGCAACCTTATATAGCCAAATAAAATAGACTAAAATTTCATAAAAAGATAAATTAATGAATAGCCTATGAAAATTCATCCTGGAATCAAAGTTCATCCTAATATCTCTTTATAGAATATTGGAATACAAAGTCCAAATTAGAAAAGATAAATTTTATAAAGACAAGTGTTTGACAACCCTCCTGATATTGATGATGATGTTATCCCAATATAGAATCCTTTGATTTACAATAAAAATTACACATCTTCTAAAAATCTAATTTAAGGGGTTAGTTCTAAATTACTCTAGCAACAAATGAAAACTGCTTATGAGTAATCAAGCAAATCCTCTTCTAGACCTCTTACACCCCTATAAGAAAATCCTATGGACCAAATAGCTTAATTTGAATTTAAGTTAGCAAAAAATAAAACCAATTATTGACTCTATAGTTTATAAAATATTCACTCAAACTAAAAAGGAAAAATCAAAAAATTGATTAAAAAATAATATGATTTTTCAATCACCATTAAGAAAATTTGAAAGTTTTTTGAGAAATATAATAGAATATTTATGTTCATTTTTTTTATTTGTTGAACTTTTTGTAATTTCTTCAAAAAATACATGTAAAAATATAATAAAAATCTTATTTTATTTATTTATTTAGTCAAAATAAAATAATGTTTAGGTTTATAAATGCTTAAAAGTAGTTCTAATTTGATGAATTTATTATTTCAGATTTCTTATTGCATTTTAGTAATAAATAGTAAAAAATAAAAATAGTTATTTGTATTAATTTGTATCATCATCTTATTGTATTGGCAGTGACTATAATTGATTGTAACATAAAAATATGCAAAGATATAATATTTGTAATATCTAGATTTAAGTTTAAAAATAGTACAACTATTATCATAGTAAAGATATTCAGCTTTAAAATAAAAATGTTTATTTTACTCCAGAATAAAATTCAGATTAAAAAATTCAAATAAATAGCTGTTATTTTATAAATTTCCTCTATCACTTACCTTAATATTAATAAATTAATATATATTTTATTAGTCTAAAATATGTAATCGAAATATTTGATAATATATTATCAATAATTTTAAAAGAATAACTCTTTAAACCTCTTGCAATATTTTGAAAAATAATCTTCCAGAATACTTTGAGTAAAAATTATTTTTTAAAACAAATTTAATTTTTAATCTATAAAATTGATGCATTTAAATAAATAAAAAACTAATAATTAAAATGCATTATCAAAGATTAGCGAAGAGATTATGAATTAATATTTTTATTTAAATATAAAATTTTATTTTCTTGGAATGTAAAAAGTATATTTGAAGATATTTTTAAAATTAGAAATTATTTGCTAAAAAAATAATACATTAACAAATTAAAATTTTTATTAAAATAAATTTAATTTTAATCAAATATAATTAATAAAATATTAGTTGAATATTTGTAATCCAAATTTTTAATTACAATTTGTATTTCCATTAGTTTAATTATTTGAGAAGATATACAAAATTTACATGAATATTTAAAATCCATAAATCTTATTTTCTACTCATTAAATTTTTGAAAGTTTAGGATTTAATATAAAAAATATATCAAAAAATAATAATATTTGTGGAAATTGATTTCTATCTTATTTTAAAATTACATAAATAATTCATATATTTAGATCATGGAATAAGAGGATTTAGGTGAAGCTGAATTGCAGCTAAAGCAAGGAATAGACTTTTAAAACTAGGAAATGATGGATGAAGCAGTGTAATGCTATTTAAAAGCAATAGAAATAAATCCAAATATGTTTGAAGCTCATAAGAGGCTAGGACAGGTCTATGAACTAAAAAAAATACCAAATTAGGCTTTAATAAGCTACAACTTAGCATTAAAAATTGATTAAAACGAAAAATAAATTCACTACAGGATAGGTTGTATTTATTTAAGTTAAAGTATAGTAGGTTAAGCACTGATATGTTTCAAGAGAGCTATTGAAATAGACCCTAATTATTCAGAAGTTTATGAATCTCTAGCTACTATAAAAGATGCTGAAAATTCAAAAGATGTTATTAAATATTTCAAGTAAATTATTGAAGTAAATCCAAATAATTATTATCCCTATTACAGCTTAGCATATTTGTATCTTAATTTAAATATGATTGATGAATCCCTTTAATGCCTTAATAAAGTTTTAGATATAAATCCTAATAATGTTGATGCCTATGAAAGGTTAAGTTAAGTATATTTAAAGTAAAATAATAAAGATGAATCAATTAGGGTATTGAAATTGGCTATCTAAATTGATCCTAACTACAAGAAAGCTTATTTAAGCATGGGCTAGATATGTAAATAATATAAAATGAATGAAGAAGCTATTTTATATTTGAAAAAAGGGTTATAATTAGATCCAACATCTTCTAAACTGCTCTTTCTTTTAGGTTAGGTCTATGAAAATGTTAAAAGTTTTGATTAGGCAATTGAATGCTTTAAAAAAATATTAGAAATTAAACCTAATTCTACTAAGAGTTTAATGAGTATAGCAAAAATATGTTTCACATAATAAAAGTTTGATGAGGCCATTGAAAACATCTAAAAAGCTTTATAAATTGAGCCAAAAAATGCAGAAACTTTAGAAAGGCTAGGATATATTTACTAGCATTTAAAAAAATACGATGATGCTTTATTTTGGTACAATAAATCCTTAGAAGTAAAACCAAACTATTACTTTCCACTTTTTAATAAAGGGATTATCTATTTTGCTCAAAAAAAGCTAGATGAAGCTATTTTAGAATTATAAAAAGTAATTAAAATAAAACCAGATTATATTTATGCACATTATAATCTAGGTCTTATTTATGAGCAGAAACAAATGATGAATGAAGCTATTAATTGCCAAAAAAAAGCAGTTGATTTAAATCCAAAACATAAGGATAGTCTGATCAGATTAGCTGTCATTCATACTTAATTGAAAATGTTTGATTAAGCAATTGAATACTACTAGAAAGTAATCTAATTAAATCCAAATAATACTGATGTCTAAAATAATTTAGGAATTCTTTTCGAACAAAGTAACAAGTTGGATGAAGCTATTAATTGTTATATGAAAAACATTAAAATTAATCCAAATGATTCAAAAACATATTTTAATTTAGGTATTGTTTATGAAAAGAAAAAATCAATAGATGAAGCTATGGTTTGCTTTAAAAAAGCATTAGAAATAAACCCATCATTCTTACAAGCTTAAATTAGTTTAGGAAACGCTTATAGTAGCAAGAAAATGGTTGATGAAGCTATTTTATGTTTTAAGAAATCAATATAGTTAGATCCGAATAGCTTTAATGCTTATAACTCCTTAGGGTTGATTTATTATGATACATAAATGATGGATTAAGCTTTTGAGTGCTTTTAAAAAGCTCTTGATATTAATCCTAACTATTTTTTTGCCCATTTCAATTTAGGACTTGTATATGAAAATAGAAACTAGTAGGAAGAAGCTCTTAAGCATTATTAGTAAGCTATTTAAAGCAATCCAAATCAAGCTAATGCCCTATTAAAAGCATCTGATCTTTATATCTAAAATAAAAATTTTGATAAAGCTCTATAGTGTTATTAATAATTAATCAAGATAGATTCAAAAAAATCTTAATATCATTATAAATTAGGTTATTTATATTATATCTAGAAAATAAAAGACAAAGCTATTTTGAGTCTGAAATAGGCTGTAAAACTTGATCCTAATTATTACCAAGCATACGAGCAATTAGGACTTATCTAATAAGAAAATAAAATGTTTGAAGAAAGCATTCTTTATTTTAAAAAAGTTATTGAAATAAATCCTATGTTTTTAAATGCATATGATTCACTAGCATGTGTTTATTAAGAAATGAAAATGTCAAACGAAGCTTTGATTTATTATTAAAAAGCGTTAGATATTAATCCTAAATTAGAGAATACCCATTTTAAATTAGGTATTTTGTATCAAGAGAAAAAAATGTTAGATGAAGCTATTTTGTGCTACTAAAAAGCAATAGAAATAAATCCAAAAAATGCCAATGCATACAATAATTTAGGAATCATATTTGAATAAAAAAACATGATAGATTAAGCTTTTGATTGCTACACTAAGGCTCTTGAAATAGATTAAAGTTATGTAAAAGCTCATAACAATATAGGACTTTTATACTATGATTTAAAACAAATGGACAAAGCGCACTAATGTTTTAAATTATCTATAGAATTAGATCCAAATTATGAAGATTCCCATTATAATTAAGGTTTAGTCTATGAGTTTTAAGGACATATAACTGAAGCTATGGAAAGTTATAAAAGGGCAATTTAAATAAATCCTAAATATACTAAAGCATACAGTAGATTGGCTTGCATATATTCAGATTTAGAAATGATGATTGAGGCTATTTCATGTTATTTATAATTAATAGAACTTGAGCCAGAAAATATCGATGCTATGAATTATGTAGGAATAATTTATTCATAAAGAAATTAGCCTAATACTGCAATTTAGCTATTTCAAAGAGCACTTCTTATTAATCCTGAACACATAAATTCACTCTATAACTTAGGTAACACCTATGAAGATAAAGAGCAGCTAGATGAGGCTATCTCTTATTACTAACGAATAATTCAAATAGACCCTTAAAATGTTAAGGCAATTAATAAAATAGGAAATATATACATTAAAAAGTAAATGGATTAAGAAGCTCTTACATAATATAAAAAAGCATTATCAATAGATAAAAACTTCGTTTAAACTTATTATAATATTGCAGCATATTATGAAATTTAATAAAAGCTTAACAAATCAATTTAGTTTTATAAAAAAGCTGTAGAAATTGATCCTGAATATATTGGTATTTATTTCAACTTAGGTGCAGTTTATGATGAAAGAAATGTACTAGATAAAGCACTTTCTTACTATAAAAAAATTTTTAAATTAGATGGAGATGGACAAGATGATGAATTAAAACAATAAATAAAATAAATTAAATCTTTAATATGACTTTAAAAGAAAGAACAATTATAGTAGAAATTAAAAAAATCTAAATTCTAAATTCAAAAAATTATTCAAATTCTATCAATTTCTAAATTTAAGTTAAAAATATTAAATAGCAACTTTATTAAAAATGTTTATTAACCAATTTATACATTAAGTAAATAATTTTTTTTTAAATATTTATTTAACTATATTTGATATTCGTTGAAATTAAGAAAACGTTTTAAACACTTAATTAATATTTTTTATCTAAGAAATGTAATTTGAAATAATTAATTGATAGGTAACGTAAAACAAACATATTTAAGTATAATTTGATTTGATAATAGTTTTATTGTTAATTAAGAAATATAAACAAACTCTCAGAATATTTTCTAATTATTTAATTATTCCATTTCTATATATCTACCTACTCAATTCTTTTTGAGTTTCTTTTTAGCGTTTTTAACAGCAGCAGCTTAAGCAGCAGAAGCAGATTTATAGTTTGTAAAGTCTTGATTTAATGCAACTTTAGAATCTCTTGCTATAGTAATAGTACCAGTATTTTAGTTAATTGATGCATTTCCAACATCTATATCTTCAGTGCCAAAGTTATAACGAGCATGTCTTTTTTTATTGAGTTTATCAGATTTTTTATCTTCCTTTTCATCTTTTTTGTTATCTTTTTCTAAAAGACTCTTTAAATATTCTTTTCCTGCATCTTAGATTTCATTTTCATTATCTTTTATGGGATTCATTTTTTCCAAAGCTTCTTTGCTATTGCCAAAGTTCAATTCTTTCATAATTTCTTGTTCAAACAAAGAACGGAAGAGTTAAGTGACCTTTCTGATACCCTTGTTAAAGATAGCCATTACTTAAGAAACAGGAATTCCAAGTTCTCTTGCCAACTTCTCAATAGTTTTATGTTAGAGACCTAATCCCAAGAAAATTGCACATTGAGAATAGCTCATTTTAATGCTTTATAAACGATTCAAGAATAACATCTTGCTGATTTCAGGAAGAAGATCTATAATTAAATAGAAATCTGCTAAATTTCTAGAGTAAGCTTCAAGTCTCTTTAAATCATAAGTGTTTATATAATTTTCAAGTTATTCCTTTTATATCATAAATTATTTCATATTTATTTATTTATTTTGAAAATTAAAAATATATGTTACCTTGTTAGAAATAGGAGCCATGATGTAATTTCCAAGTTAATTTTTATCTTTATCACCCAAACCAAGGTCATTTGTAAGTCTGGAATCATTATCATCAGTAACGAAAGTAGGATCAACAACACCTAAACTTAATTAGACATCAACGTCTTTAAATTCATATGAAAGAAGTTGAAGGAATCTCTTTTTGAAATCGTCACTGTAATATTTTAACCATTAGTCATTATATTTATTTTCTTCTTAAACATTTTCATTTTCCATATCATTTTATTTCTTTAAGCTCTTAAGCATGATGCAGCTGTGTTCGGCAGTAATATCATTCTTAGCTTATCTAATAATTTATTATTAAAAATAATTTTTAATTTTATTTATTCAAATGAATTCTTTTTAGCATGAACCAATTTTATTAAACAGCAGAATATTCTTTTCGTATGAAATATTTAAAAATAAAATTTTACCTTAAATAAAGAGGATAATAGCCTGATTTTTTCCAGAATTTGAAGAGTTCTTTGCTCAAACCGAAAGAGACACCAAGATAGTGTAATTGAGGTGGTTCGATTTCAGTTAAACGCTTAAGAAGTGGCTTCAATTTCTTTTCACCATCTGCAGTTCTTTGAGCTTTGAGGAAATAATTTTCACGATTCAAAGTTTCGTTAGACAAGTCAATTAGTTCACCTTCAAAGAATTTTTAGAGTAATTCAAGAGATTTAGAACCATAACCCATTTTTTAAGCAGCAGGGTGAGTAGCAATTCTCACAACTCTAACACCTTTATTTAATTAAAAGCGAAATGTTTAAACTGAAAAAATTTAAATAATTTAAAATTACCTGAAAGTGAGGGGAATTCTCTATCTTAAAATTATTCACTGATAATCCATGGAATCAAATCGCCAGCAGGTCTGACTCTGTTTTCATTTTGTTAATTGAAAGTTTCCTTGCTGATTTTTCCTTCAAGAGCAACCTAAACTGCACAGAGAATATCAGGCATTTCAGATTTTTTCTCTCCCTCTTTGATTTTACCCATTAAAACAAAGACAGCATGAGAAGGAGCATCACTGAGAAGTTGTAAGTCATTAGGGGAATTTTTATAGTGTGAAGAAATAAACAAACTCATCAAGTTGAATAAGAATTGTTCAGTTGATTTTTTATAGCTAAAAAGTGTGTCTCTGTTAACCATAAACAATTCACAGTCATTAGGGTGAGGTAAACCACTTTTAAGAGGTACAGCTTAAGAAGCCTTTTTGATTAAGATATAGTAAGTAAAAAGCTAAAAAATTAAATAAAATAAGATACCTCTAAGCAAAGAAGATCATTTAACCATCTTTCAATAGGGTCATTAGGTGAGTATCTAATAGGATCGTTTAAAGTAAGTTCCCTTAAAATTCTTGAACCAGAAGAAGAAACAGCAGTTTATTTTTCTTCTGAGTTAGAGCTACTGTTCATTTTACTTTAGCTTTTGAGTTGCTAAATAAGCTTTAATGAAAGTGATCTTCCAGTACCTTCATAACCATTAACTGTAGAACAAAGGAAGACAAGGTGAGGTCCTAAAAATTATTTAACATAAACTAAAGGAATTGCAGCAGCTTCATCAATAACAACCAAATCAGCCTATTTTTTTAATTATTTTTAATATCTTCAACAATTATTACAAAATAATTAAAGTAAATAAATACATGTCCGATAGAAGCAAAATCTGTAGGGGAAACATATTAAATAATTTATTTATGGGTTTTAAAAACATTAACACGAATGACAGCATTGTTAAAATCGGGATTAGTGGATTAAATAATGTCATAATGCATGTTTTCCTTGTAGTTATTCTATTCTAATCCATTAAAAATGAATTCAAATAATGTTTTTAAATTTTCCGGAGAAGGAGCAGTTACATAAATATTAGAAAAGCCACAAACAATAGCAGCAGCTATAGCAACACCAACAGCAGCAGATTTACCCTATTTTTTTAAAAGTATAAATTTTCAATTAAGCTTATTAGAATGAGAAAGCAGTGATAAATTAAATTATTTAAAGATTAATTGATATGTTATTTACACGTCCTCTACCAGCAGTCAAAGAGATGGTTGCTCTTGTATTTTTTTCAGTAATAGCATCTATAAATGTCATAATAGCTCTTGCCTAATCAAGCGTTTTGGCTATATTAATGAAAGGACCTACTAATACATTTTATTTCAAAGATTCCTTTAATTCTTCAAGTTCTTTAGTCATTTTAGAGTCAAGTGAGTCATCAGCACTGACTGACTTGATATTTTCAATTAAATTTGAAATTGGTAAAATATTCAACTCATCATCCATAACAATAGTGTTTTCACTCTTAGATAAACTCAAAATAAATCTTTCATTGAATCTAGGTTCAACATCTTAGAATTAATCGGTTCTATTATTATTATTTTTATTATTATTATTAAATATATTATGTATTATATTATGCATGAAAAATTACAAAATAAATAAAAAAGAATCTCTCAAAGATATCAAAAACTCTGTATTTCCATTTTATATCAAAGAAAATAATTTATTTTAATAATAGGGTAAAGCTATCATCAATGAAACTTATTTCTGCTACGGAAATTTTTAAGTAATTGCAAAAAATTTTCATTAATAGATTATTATTTTCTTCAACTTTAAATAAATAGCAGCATTTCCATATTATTAAATGATTTATTTATCTATTAAATAAGACTTTATTTCATTATATCTTTCTTTACCCCTTTTATGATGACAATACAGATAAAATATCTTGTATTTATTATTAAAGTTTGAAAGCTAAAACTTAAATATAAAAATAATTTATTTATCTATTTATTTATTACCTGTAACGATTGTGGACATCCATAGTAAGTGTGTAAAGTTACTTCAATGAAGACATGGTTTTGAAAAGCATAATAACAAAACCACCACCTTCAACAGTTTCAATGGTACGACAAAGGACATTAGGAGTGATTGCTTCGAAATCTTATAAGATAAGCATTTGATATGTCTGACCTAAGATTTTGTGGGTTTCTTTATAGTAGCAATAACGGATTTAAGTAGAAGTGACAAACAATTAAAATGGATCGTCAACATTATTATCATACAATCCTTTCTTTTAAAGTTTTTTAATTTCTTTCATACGCTTCTACTTATTAGTAGAGAAACCTAATTCTTTTTTATAACACCAAAGGACATTTGGCTTTGACTTGAAATTCATTTTATTAAGCAAGTAATGAATGTTAACTACCTATTTATTAATTTATTTTGAATTATAAAAACTGTTTTCTTTTAAAATTTTCCATTTTCATTTATTTTTTTGATAATGTTTTCAAACTAATAAAATGAGAATTGTGAATTTATTTCAATTTGTGAAGAGTAATTTTTCTTACCTATTCTTTGCCTCTATCACCAACAATGATGAAGAACCCACGCTATCTAAGCTTAATGCAGTTTTCCATCAAAATTTGGATACGCTAATCTACTTTCTTTCTCATGGCTATATATAAATACTGATTGATGTATTTTATTTAGTTAATTTGGCTATTTATTTACTATTTTTATTCTTTGTATTTAACTTTCAAAGTACTACTTTTAAGAATTTTTGTTTGATCTGATTGATTTAATCTTCTATTAATGAAAACTGAATTTACTAAAAATGAATGAAAATCTGTTCAAGGTATTATTTAATTAAAAAAATGAATGTTGTTTATTATATTCAATAAATATAAGGAATGATACGATTTATTTATATTATTTTGTTAGCAAATATGTATTTAATTATTATTGTCAATATATTAATTTATTCTTTTCATATTTTTATCTTTTCTACCTACATTTGCTACCAATACCTTTATTCTTCTAGATATTATATTCTATGTAAAAAAGGATAATTAATTAATTATTTAAAAAGAAATAATTTTATTCTACTATAAAAAAGCTTTAGCTATTTTCGTTTGTTTATGCATTTTAAATTAAATTATTTTGTTAAAATTTATTTATTATTTAAATTGGAGTTTGTGTACACTTTTCTAACACAATTTAATAAAATATAATAAATTAAATTTAAAATATTTTATCTTTCTAAAAGTGATAAAATGTAAATATATTAATATTAAACATTTTTTTTTAAATTTGAAAATTTTTGAAATAAATTTTTATAAATTAAATTTTAAATGATTGATATAACCTTTAAATTGAATAAAAATAATAAATAAAGAAAAATCTTAAATAATTCTGCTAAATATATTTTTGGATAGAAATATTACTTAATAAATTTAAAAATAAATGATCAAATAACACTTATTTGTATATTAAGACAATTTATGATTCATTTGTTTATTTAATTTTACTCAAATTGAAGAAATCAAAAAGAGTAATGAAGTGTTTATGAATAAGCTAAGCTGACTTTGATGTAATTACATAAATTTTTATTTTGTTTAAAATAAACTATGTTTAAAACAAAGGAATGACAAATAAAACATTCAAATTAGATCATATTTAGGCAAAATAAACTTGTTTTTTATTTTTACAAATTTATAATAAAATGAGGTAAAAATTGCATTTATTTTAAAAAAATAATGTAAACTTAAATACAACTGCTTAATATTTTCTGATAGATCTTTTTATTGATTAATTCAATATTAAATTTGTGATTCATTAAAATACTGGTGTCAGAATTTATTAATAAATTAGTTGAGAATAATTCTATCGTACAATAAAATTTTTTCTCAGAAATTTCTAATGATTAACTTTTAACAAATAGACAAATTTATGATTTATTTAAAATCTATATTTTTAAACTTCAAAAACAGGGAAATAACATAGAGGCCTTTAAAAAGTGAAAATTCCTGAGAAATTTCTATTGAAAGGAATAAAATACTTTTTTTCTCTATTTTTACAATGTTTATATTGATATTTATTAAAGGATTATAACAGGATTTGAATAAAGTACCAGAAAACAGTATTGTAGATAGTTTCATATTTTGTAAATATGCTTCTTTTTAAAATAAAAAAGTAAACTCCACACATATTTGGTGGGCGTTTATATTATTTTATATAATATGCGTATAAAAATTTATATTAGAAATGAAATTAAATTGAACTGTTATTCTGTTTAATATGGCAAGTTCATTTGATTAACTGTAATGATATTTCTTTTATAATATTATAAAAAAGAGAGCTATTGTTATATGTTTATTGTTTATTATTAGAATTTACATTAAATTAAAGTAATTTAGGAGAATCAACCAAAAAAATTCATATAAATTAATAGTCAGTCTCTCTTTATATGTTTATGCAATTTCTTGAAAGATTTATAAAGATTTATTTAAGACAATTCAGTCTTATTGATAATAATTAAAGAGAAAAAAAAAGCTAAATAAAGATAGTGTTTGCATATTAAATTAAGTAGCAATTATTGAAATGATTGAAAGTTCTGTATTATTAGAAAGTGAATTACAAAATAAATGGGATGGAAGCGAAATTAGATTTAGCATCGGCGCTAAGACCAACCCAGTCAACAGTAAATAGCATGTTTTATAATAGAAAAGATCTTTTATCGAAGACGAAGGAACTGGTAGTGAAACATCTGAAGAAATTTCTCATAACGAGATTCCAGAAACTTGGTTACCATCTTCTTGGAGATCTTATCCTGCATTGTAGTAACCAGTTTATGAAAATACAAATTTGTTAAGCTAGCAATTGTAAATGATTAATGAAATGCCTTCAATAGTCAGTGTTAATGAGATTGAGAGTCTCTAAGCTGACCTAAGACAGGTAGAAACAGGCAGTGCATTCTTTATTTAGATGGGAGATTGTGCTGAACGCTTTGCAGAAATGAACAATTCATTTATGGAAAAAAAAATAAAAGCAATTACTGCAGCTTCTAGAATTTTCGCAAATATGCTCAATAAGAAATGCGTTAAAATAGGAAGAATTGCTGGATAATTTGCTAAACCTCGTTCTTAAGAATTTGAAAAATTGCCTGATGGTACTTTGCAATACAATTATCGCGGTGACAATGTAAATAGTTTAGAATCTAGAAAACCCGATCCATTAAGATTAAGTTAAGGCTACTTCCATTCAGTAGCTGCTATGAATTTTATCAGAGCACAGTAGAAGCACATCATGCATAATAAACTTAATATTCAATAATTATTAGAAGAAAAAAGTTACCCATAGAAATAGCAGATCAGCGCTGAGCAGTGTAATTAATTCATTCATTTTTCTTTTTAATTTTAATCTTATACAATTTGATATGGGCTACTTAATAAAAATAAAAGGCAATAAAGAAGTTTAAGATATATTAAAAAAAATTGTTAAAATTGTTAATGCGAAATAGAAATTTTCAAAAAAAAAACGATAATTGTTAATTTTTTCTTCAATTAGCTCATTGTATTATTGTAAAAGCAGTAATGCCCAATAGTCGTCACGTTCATTTAAATAAATTCAGCAACTCTTTAAAATAATTCTATATGCCGATTTCAAATTATAAAAATAATTTGGTTACATTTAAAATATTCTTAAATTGATTAGATAATATTTACAAAATGAGTAAGAAAATTATTCAAATATCAATTAAATGTAATTGAATATTAAAATATCAAAAACAAGTTTATTATAACTCAATTAAACATTCTAAACGCTAAAGAATATTCTGAATATTTTAGCAACGATAGTTATGCTATGATGAATGAATTCTTTTTAAAGAAGATGAAATAATAAATTTAGTACTTTAAATTTATATATGATTGATTATTTTTGTAAATTATGCAATTTATGAGGTTTTTAAATTTTATGATGCAATATTAATTAAAGTTATCATTAGATCACTCACTATTAAAAGCTAATAAAATATGATAAAAAAGCATAGTTATTTTTATTCTTAATTTTACCAGATTAGAAAGATCTTGAATTTATTGAGAACAATAAAATTATGAAATAAAACCATTTTCAAAATAAATTTTAATAGTTTTCTTCAATCTTAACAATTTTGATTGCATTATCAAAAATTTTAAACAAAATTTTGGCTAAAATATAAAATGAATAGAATATTTAAATTTTATTTTGTTATAAAATTGCGATTATTCTTTAAAATAATTTTTATTTTAAATTAATTAATTATAAATAGAGCAAAAATTGAATGATAATTAGATAGAAGCTATTGAAAATGTAAATTTAAATAATGATGACTTGTATATCTCACATGAAGGATTACTCTTAAATTATGAAGAAGCTATGACCAAAAAATACAACAATAAGTATTACAATACAAGCACTCATTTGTTGTGGATGGGAGAAAGAACTCGCCAACTTGATGGTGCTCATGTCAACTTTTTTAGTGGAATATAAAACCCTATCGCTGTTAAAGTTGGACCAACTACTGATGGAAAAATACTAAAATAGCTAGTTAATAAATTAAATCCATAGAATTTATAGGGGAGATTGATAATAATTTGTAGAATGGGCAATAAAAACATTTCAAATGTTTTGCCTACTTTAGTTCAAGCAAAAAAAGAATATAACCTCAACTTCATTTGGAGTTGTGATCCTATGCATGGAAATACTTTTTCTACAAACGAAAACATCAAAACAAGAAGTGTAAAAGACATACTTGAAGAATTAACTAAATTTGCAACTATATTGCACGAAAATAAAGAAAATATAGGTGGTATTCATTTGGAGACTTCACCTAACCAAGTTACCGAGTGTCTAGGCTTGGAAATAGAAGATCAAGATTTAAATATTTGCTATACAAGCGCATGCGATCCTCGTTTAAACATTTCCCAAACTCTATACATAACCTACTAATTCGCTCTACTTCTTCAATCTCTTTATAATAAAAAAAATACTGGATATACACCAGAATTAGATAATTGATATATATGTATATACAATCTCCCCTTAATAATTTATTTTAAAGCAAAACAAACATTCAATCTAATAAACCAATCCTTTTTCATAAATTAAATCTTTCTTTCTATTCAATTAAAATATTTTGAAACATCTAAAAATTGAATTTATTTAATTTCATATCATAGTCCTAATTCCTCGTTCTCGTTTTGAATATAGTAGAAATACCAAGTAGACCTTAATTAAATATTATACTACTTTAACTACTTGTATTAAGTATATACTAAATGCCATATTAAAGAACAGTAAAATAAGTGACATCAAATTAATTTAAAAGCTTGTGTGTACGTTTATAATTAAAATGGATTAACTCATTAATCATTTAAAATATTTTCCATATTTATTTAAATACTTAAATTTAAGCTTAAATTACTAAAATTGAAATTCGAAAATCAAGAAATTCATAATACAACAAAAAAAACAAAGTAAATAAACATTAAAAAAAGCATATGAACTTTAATATTAAAAAAAAATAAATAAAAATGTTGTTATTTAATTTGATTTTAATAATTTTAAAATGTGTTTTTAGAATAAATAAAACTCTTTATTAATTTTCTATTTTCAAAAATTACAAAATAATAATAAAATTTATGTATACTTCATTGAAAATAATAAATACCAAAATATTGTTAAATTTAATATAAAAATTTCAATTTATTTTTTGATTATTTCTGTTGGAAAAAATAAAATACCTAATTTATATATATATACATATTTATTTATTTATTTATTTTAATGTATCAAAAATATATTTATTTTATAGATGCATTTAGTAATTTATATTTATATATATTTAAATTTAAAAATCAAAATACTTATTTAATTTCTAAGTATTTTATTAATTATTGAATTATTTAAATAATATTTTTACTATCTCTCTAAATTTTTATTTTTTAATAGCCCTTAAAAAAATCAAAATCACTAACTTAGTTTTGGTTTCAGATAAAATTTTGAGTTTTTAGAGTTGTATTTTGCTTTAAAAATAACTTATGCAATTTAACTCTTATACAACTAACTAAGTTTTTAATTTATTTCATAATTATTTATTTTGTTTATATATTACAATTTTATCATAAGAGCTTAAAATTTTACTAAGAAATCCATTTTTCTCTTTTTTCATCTCTAAATTTTTATATAAAATTATGTATATGCCTCTCGTTACCAGAAATAAGTTAGCTTGGGAATACTTCAAACATTCTTTTTGAACCTGTTTTAAAAATTCTATGAGCTATTATTCGTTTATCATTTTCCTATTAATAATATTCAATAATTTAGTAATACTTGTATGAGTTATAAATAAATAACCTTTTATTCAATTTTTTATATCTGTTCAAGTGTTATATATGGTTGCTGAGAAAAAACAGAACCTTGCTGTTATTTTTAAATAGTATTAAAAAATAAACAATAAAATTTAAAAATTAATTATTTACGGTCTCTCCAAAGAATTTTCCTGGCTTAACAAATGATTTATAGAGTGTGTTTTAGTTCTAAACACTTTTTGTTTTGCTCCGTGCTGTTGATAATTAAGAGTCGCTAGGTGATCTTATATGAATTCCTCTTTTTAATTTATTTTAAGGATTTGAGAGCATTCCTGGTACCTTTTGTTTATTTTTGAAATGAATTATAATAATAAATATTTTTATAAATTTTTACCCATAAAGGCTCTCCTTAAGTATACTCTAAAGGTATGCTAGGATGCAGAAATTATCTTACATTAGATTTCCCATATTCTTAAAGCTACATTTAATCCTTCAAAGCTATTGCTTCCTAATTAAAAAATTATTAAATTTCTATCTACATTTTTAAAAATTACTTGATCATTTTCAAAGAAGTTCATCTCTGAATTAAAATCGTTTTCATTAAATAAAATTTTCTTAGGTATATTATTTAAATTGAGATGGACACTTTTAGATTTTTATTTTAGATTTTTATCTTAATCTTTTTTAACTATTTTTAAAAATATTTTATTGAAAATTAAAATTTTAATAAAGAAACAAATTGTAAATTTTAGATATTCATTTACATTTTTTAAACAAACTTTTTTACATGTTTTTTTATCATAAAACTAAAAAATATTTTTAATTTAGCATTATAAAAAAATAATGAGTTACTTTCTATAGTTATTTTATTTCTAATCTTCACTTTAGAGTTCACTACTGCATTTTATTTTACTATATCAGGAACATGGTCTTTTTTGGCTGAATATCCTACATGTCTAAACTCATCTGAGCTAAACATATCTGGATACTTTTTGTTTTAATTAATAATATATTTGAGTTGACATTAAGTTTATTAATTTATCAGAATATTTATGAAAAATATTTCTTTACTTTGATGTAATCATTTTCAATTATTCCATCTTAATTTTAGTCTTTTTATTCTATATTTGCATGATAAAATCCTAGCTTAGAAGATCTTTCTTTCATTAGCATTAGAGTTTTATTTTATTTTTATCTTTACTTTTTTAATATTTCTTCCACTGAGGAAAGCTTATGAGTGTGTATCAGAGATTATATGCTAACCTTTCATTATTATTAAGAAATTTCATTTATTTATTTATTATTTTAAATATTTAAATTACTTAGTTCTTTTTATTGTCAGATTTAATGTATTTCAGAGTGTTTAATATGAAATTTTATATTGGCAATAGAGTATTAGGATATTTCGAGTTAACTGTAAATAAAGTGCATATTATATTAAGGCATTAAACAACCAAGGGACCTCTTTCACACTCTGCCAATATTTAAAATGTCTTTTCTGGATTTGTGAAAGAAAATGAATGAATATCCCAGCTATTCTTCAATTCAACCAAAAATTCTGTGTCCATTCCTTTTATTAGTTTATTATTTTATTTCATTAAAAGAAAATTTAATTTTTATATAAAAACAATTATAAATTCTTTCTACTAAGTTTATAAAAGTTATTTTTCTCATTTTAGGTATTTGAAGATGAATTTTAATTAATGGTAAGTTTTTGAAAAGAACAATTAGTAAATACCTTAGAATAACCAATGATGATAGTAAACTTTTTTAATAGAGCACACTTCCTCGTTTTTATTAGATTTAATTGGCATAATTATTTAAACATTCTACGTAGTTGCTTTGTAAATAGGAGCCTATAAAATTTTGAATTAATTTTAGATTTATGTAGAACTAAATTACTTTTAGGATGTATTTTCCTATTGACTGAAATTCTTAAGCAGATCTTCTGAAGTGCAATCCACAGTTTCCTTTTGGAACCCACTCATTTGATTCATAGTTAAAGCCATATAAATCACCTGTTGTATTTTCTAGGAAGTAGTGGTAGTGCTTTACATCTTATAACCTGATGGGAAGATTGTGCATATCACTTAATTTACCACCATTTCCTTATCCGTTGATGACTTCAATATTCTTTTTTTTAAATTTACAAAAAATTAGTTACTTAATTTATTTTATTCTTCTATCTATAATTCAAAAATAGCCTATTGATTTTTTAAAGCTTATCTGTTTTAATTACTGATTCTAAATTTGAAGCGCATAGAAAAACTACTGCCTGCATCGCAAATGAAGAAGCAAATAAGTATTTGTTCGCCTTCATGCTCATCCTAATAAGTGTCAAAATCTTTTTTCAAATAAAATTTAAGTTTATAGTAATTATTTGCATATTAATAAATTAATTGCATGTTTTGTTAAAGTTGTATTTTTTTTTATAATTTATATTACTTTTTTCATGCTTCTTGACCATGGCCTTACATTAGCATCGCCAGTTATAAAAATAATATCAAGTGAGTCAAAATTACTGGCAGCCTCCTTTTTCAAATATGAACTCTCTATTTCGTACAAAAAATCCTCTACATTATCTTTATCCCTAATCAAATACTCTGTTTCAGTGTCTACTAACTCTTTCTACTCCTGCATAATCTAATTTCAATATCAAAACAAAAACGAATAAACTAAAGCATACAAATGAAGCATAAATCCTCTTTAAAACATATTTTTAAAGCTACTCTCTAAAAATAAAAATATTATTCTCTATACTTTAACTATATTATATTAGAAATCTGAGAATTTCTAAAATCCTTCTCTTGTCTTTTAATATCCATTTACAATTAAAATTCTCATAATTAATAACAATTAAAAGAAAGTAGATGTTTCTTTCTGTAATATTATTACCAAAACAATTGCATAATAAGTAGTTTAATAATTGATATTTAAATATATATTATATATTACTATATAAATGAATGTATGAATGTATTCTAATTAATCATCAACAATTAATTTAAGAGTTATCAATTAAAATATCTATTTAATATTTGTATAAATTATTTTTCATATTAAAAAAAAAATTCTTGTTTACTCCTAATAAATAAGAGTCTAAGATTAAAAAAATGATAATATTATTTGAGAAAAAAATAAAAATACTATTTTCTTTTTGTTTTCCTTAAATAAAAAACAAAGTTAGAACATTTTAAAAAGAAAAATTTATTAAAGTATGAATATTCAACATTAAAATAATATAAATAAACTATTTTAGATTAAATGAACTAACTACTTTATATTAGGGTAAATGTTAAATATGTTTTTATTTCAAATTGTTATTTTAATGGTAAATTATAATAAAAAAATGAATACTTTTGTGATTCTGATAAATAAATCTTTCAGATTACAAAATTCTTCATCTAATATGTACAAATTAATTTAGTATAAACAACCAGAAAATTAGTAATTAAATAGATTAAATAAAAAATAGTAATAAATTAATTAATTTTTAAATAAATAAAAACTTATTTAGAAAAAAAAAAATTAGATTAACTAAAATATGAGTGAAATTAAGGAAAAAGTAACAATATCAAATAACTTTTACAAAATATTTTAACATTTTTTATAATAAAAGTTAGGATAATATGATTCTGAACAAGAATTATCGTTTGAGTAATTTACTACATTGATTTAATTGATGCTTAAATAAAGGAGTAGATATATAAAAATAAAAGGAAACAGGGCATGATATGAAATATATTAAATTTGGGGGTAGGTTGTTATCCTGGATTTTGTATGGACGGGATTACCACATCGTTCTAAACGGACTACGGGAGATTTTCTATAAGTCCGGGATGGAAACCCACCCACCCCCTTTTGATAAATCTAATTTATTATTTTAAATAAATATTCAAAAAGTAGATTTAACATATAATTAATAATATAAAAACTATTTGAAATATCTATCACTAGCCATACAATCAATGATATTTGAAATGTTAAAAAACATATACTACTTTGTTTCCTTTTATTTAGAAATGGTTGTAAATCTATCTCTCTCTAGTTTAGAAAGCTTTTTTAGCATTTATTTATTTATTTATTAGAGTATAAAATTTAGAAGAATTGGAAACATCTGTATTTGAAAAGCTTAAATAATAGAAAAATTTGGTGGTTGAAATACTTTTCTAAAATAGAAAAGATTAGGCTAAAAAGATTGAAACTAATTTTATGGCAAGTTAGAATAAAGATTCATATTTAAATATTGAACTAATGTAAGTCCTAATTATTAAAGAAAATTACTATATTCATTTATATTTAAAATTTGGAAATATTATATTAATTTTTAATATTAACAGTAATTAGAGCGAACTTTTACTGAAAAGCTGTACTCTTTTCTACCAATGGATTTAAAGATTAAAACATTTAAAACATTTTGGTTTATAATTAGTGTAAGGAAATTATTTTTTTACAAAATTTAACTTTTTTTCTAATAATAGGAGTTAATAGATCAAATATGATTAAATTTATCTATTTGAAGGAATATCTTCATTGATTAATTTAAAAAGTGTTTATATTAATCTAGCGTAAGTAATTTTATATTTATTGATAGCTATTAAATATTTTTTAAAAAGAGACACATAACTTGGAGATGAAGGAGTAATTAGGCTAGGTGAAGAGCTTTAAAAATGTGTCCATCTTTCTAATTTAAAATTAGAGGTTTAGTAATACACTAAAAATAATTATTTGTTAACACTACTTTTTAAACTTAACTAGAATGAAGTTAATTTGTTAACATTTTCATAAATAAAATAAGCAATAATAAAATTACCTAGATTGGAGCTCTTGAATTAGGAAATTATCTTTCAAAATGCAGAAACTTGACTTCATTGTACCTTGATATAACGTAAAATAAATTTAATTTCATTTGTAAATTTTTTAATTTTAAACTTATATTTTTTTACTTATCTAAAATAGATCTAATAGGATAAACTAAGGTTAATTAGAGTTAGTGAGAGGAATCAGCTTATGCCCCAAACTTCATGATTTCTTTCTTATGATTTAGTAATTTTAATAAATAAATTATTAATTTTTATTTTATTTTTGATTTTAATATGAAAGCGGAACATGTTTTGATTGTGAGTATAACCTAAAGAAGCCTTTATGCAAAAGCAAATCACTTGTCAAATTTTGTCTCATTTAAGATTTTTGAACTTCAAAATAACTAATCAATTCTAAGTTTAATAAATAATATTTTTGTAATTTTTTAAGCTGTTTTATTTATAAATTTAATATAAATTATATTTATCTCTCTAATATATATATATACCTCATTTCCTTTATTAAAATTATTTCTAATTTCTTAAACCTTCAAGTTAAGTTTTAGTTATGCGAATCTAATTAAAAAGAAAAAATTTGTTAAGATTTTGTTATTTAATTTTAAAATAAAGTAAATATTTTAGTTTAAATTTATTTCTTTTTTTAAGTGTAAATGTTAATATACTTTTATTTCAAATAATTATTACGTTAGAAATGAAAAATTTTTATATAGTATAATGAAAACTTTTGTGATTCTGATAAATAATTCTTTTAAATTAACAAAATTCTTCTTAAAAAATTTACAAATTAATTTAGTATAAATAACCAAGAATATTAGTAATTAAATAGATCAAATAAAAAATAATAATTAACAAATAAATAAATACTTATCAAATTTAAAACATTTTAAAAAGAAAAAATTTGTTAAGATTTTGTTATTTAATTTTAAAATAAAGTAAATATTTTAGTTTAAATTTATTTCTTTTTTTAAGTGTAAATGTTAATATACTTTTATTTCAAATAATTATTACGTTAGAAATGAAAAAATTTTATATAGTATAATGAAAACTTTTGTGATTCTGATAAATAATTCTTTTAAATTAACAAAATTCTTCTTAAAAAATTTACAAATTAATTTAGTATAAATAACCAAGAATATTAGTAATTAAATAGATCAAATAAAAAATAATAATTAACAAATAAATAAATACTTATCAAATTTAAAACATTTTAAAATGAAAAAATTTGTTAAGATTTGGTTATTTAATTTTAAAATAAAGTAAATATTTTAGTTTAAATTTACTTACTTCTCTTTTTTTAAGTGTAAATGTTAATATATTTTTATTTCAAATAATTATTACTTTAGAAATGAAAAAATTTTATTTAGAAAAATGAATACTTTTGTAATTCTGATAAATAATTCTTTTAAATTAACAAAATTCTTCTTAAAAAATTTACAAATTAATTTAGTATAAATAACCAAGAATATTTGTAATTAAATAGATCAAATAAAAAATAATAATTAACAAATAAATAAATACTTATTTAGATAAAAAAATTAGATTAACTAAAATATGGCTGAAATTATGGAAGAAGTAACACACACTATCAAATAACTTTTACAAGACATCTTAATATTTTTATATAAAAAAGTTAGTATTATAGCATCCTGAAGGAGAATATTCTTTTAAGTAACTTCCTAGTTTGATGATATAAGATTAAAAGGAAACAAAGTATGATATGAAATATAAAAAATTTAATAATAGTTTCATAAAAGTAAAGCAATAAAGATATTTTAAGATAATTTTTACATTTAATAATATAAGAACTGCTAAGCTTTGATTTTTATATCAGAAAATTTGTGAAAAAATAAAAAGAAAACATTTTTTGCCTTAAATAATTTTGCTGCTTAAAAAATTTGATAAAATATTTTTGATAAATCTAATTTATTATTTTAAATAAATCATCAAAAATAAATAATGAATAAGTTGGATACACGTACATACAACATATAATTGATAATATAAAAATTGTTTGAAATATCACTATACAATCAATGCTGGCAATATTTGAAATGTTTAAAAATAAAAACTACTTTGTTTCCTTTTATTTTTATTTTCTTGTTAATCTATCTATTCCTTTCTAATTTAGAAAGTTTTATAAACAAGTATTTATTTATTAGAGTATAAAATTTAGAAGAATTGGAAACATCTGTATTTGAAAAGCTAAATTAATAGAAAAATTTGGTGGTTGAAATACGTTTCTTAAATCAAAAAAATGAGGCTAAATAGATTGAAGCTAAATTGTTAGTAGAAAATAATGATAATATAAATTAAATAGATTCATATTTATATATTAATCTTATGTAAATCCTATTCATTAAAGAAAAATACTATATTCATTTATATCTACTAAAATTATAAATATTATATTAATTAAATTTATTTTTAATATTAACAGTAATTAGAGCGAACTTTTACTGAAAAGCTGTACTCTTTTCTACCAATGGATTTAAAGATTAAAACATTTAAAACATTTTTCCTTAATGTTAAGGTAAGGAAATTATTTTTTTTTACAAAATTTTACTTTTATACTAATAATAGGAGTTAATAGATTAAGTATGATAAAATTTATCTATTTGAAGGAATATCTTCATTGATTAATTTAACCAGTTTAGATCTTGACGTAGGGTAAGTTATTTTATATTTATTGATCCCCTATTAAATATTTTTTAAAAAGAAACACATAACTTGGAGATGAAGGAGTAATTAGGCTAGGTGAAGAGCTTTAAAAGTGTGTCCATCTATCTAATTTAAAATTAGAGATTTTGTAAAACACTAAAACAATTATTTATTAACAATATTTTTTAAATTTAATTAGAATTAATTTATTTTGAAAAATTTTTCATAAATAAAATAAGCACTAATAAAATTACCAACATTGGAGCTATTGAATTAGGAATTTTTATATCAAAATGCAGAAACTTGACTTAATTGTATCTTGATATAGCGTAAAATAAATTTAATTTCATTTGTAAATTTTTTAATTTTAAACTTATAATTATTTACTTATCTAAAATAGATCTAATAGTATAAGCGAAGGTTAATTAGGTTTAGTGAGAGGAATCAACTTATGCCCCAAACTTCGTGATTTCTATCTTATGATTTAGTAATATTAATAAACAAATTATTAATTTTTATTTTATTTTTGATTAATATGAAAGCGGAACAGGTTATGGATATGACTTAAGCAAGCCTTTATGCAAAAGCAAATCACTTGTCAAATTTTATCTCATTTTAAATTTTTGATCTTCAAAAATTAATCAATTCTAAGTTTAATAAATAATATTTTTGTCAATTTTTTATGCTGCTTTATTTATAAATTTAAAATATATTATATTTATCTCATTAGTATAAATATATACCTTATTGCCTTTAATACAATTATATCCAATTTCTTTAAACTTCAAGGTAAATGTTTGTTAAGTGTGAGTTTTTCCCAAAAAATTATTTTTTTATTTAACTTAACTTACAGGTTAGACGGTATTATTATTTAAAAAAATATAAAAGAATATATTCTGATTGTCATATAATCATTTTTTGTAAAAACTTTTTATAAATGATGCAATTTGTTTAACTTATAATAAATTTAAATATATGGTTCCAAATTAAATTTGTGCATTTTAAAACAATGAGTAATAAGTATTTTTTAAGGTATTATATGCAAATAAAATATATTAAAGAACACTTATTGGTTTATTTCTTAAAATGATTGTATGAATTCTTTATTTTTTACTTAAAAAATGTGATAAATAAATTACATGGCATTTAGAATAGAAAAATTATTATGAATTTCATTATTATTTAAATATTTTTCCTTCTATTTAATTAAATTAAGAAAGCTCTCTATTTGATTATTATCAGATTTTATAATATATGATACAAAATATTACAATCGCGCTATTAAATCATTAGAAATAATCTTTATTTTTATTAAAATTTTACAAATATAAGTCACTTTAAAATGATAGGCGCTGTTTAAAAATTGCAAATAGCTCATTTTAATTATATGTATTAGCTATGTCAATATAATTTAACTAATCAATCTCATTGTTTGTTTTATTTTGTTTTTGTTTTAAAAAAGATTGAATATATTAATATGAAGTTAATCAGATTTAATTATCCAAGATAGAAAACATTACAAAAGCCCTATTATTTTATTATTTCTAAAAAAATCTTATTTTAAAAATAAAAGTTTAAAAATGTCATAATAAACCCAAAAAAAAGCTATTTAAATCAATCAATTATTTTTAAAATTAGAAATAAAATTTATGTTATTTTTCTTTTACTTTTTTAGATAATAAACATATTATTGTTTTATGTTTTGTATTTGAGATATTGAGTCTTTATTCATTTTTGTAAGAGTTAGATTTTATCAGCCAAGGCATCAAACATTACTAAATATTTATTAAAAAATTTATCTATTAAATTTGATTTTTTTTGATTCTCCTATTTAAATTGTCCTAAAACAACCTTTAATTAAATTATATATAATAAGAAAAAAACACAAATAACAAAAGGCTGAGAACACAAATCAATCAAAAATTACATTTTATTAAATGAATATCTTTAACATAAAGTTAAATCTGATTCTTGCTGTAGGATTAGGTGTTACTGGAATATTTTCTGGACTTTATTGGTATCATGGCGCTTTTTCTCATGTTGAGTTTACAGATTCAAAGTATGGTCCTTATGATTTCGTCTACTTTAATAGAATAGGAAGTTATGAAACTTTAGACAGTGATTGGATTAAGATTAAAGATGAGGTTGAAAATTAATTTAACAGTCCGCATTTTATTGGTATTTACTATGACGATCCTAAAAAGCTAATAGATTAAAATTAAGCAAGAGCTGCTCTTGGTTTCTCTGTAGAAAAAAGTGAAAAGAATAAGATATAGGCTTTCTTAGATAGCCACTCAAGTTATAAACTTGTATATCTCCCTGAAGTAAAAAGCTATACAACTAGCTTCCCCTTTAAATCCTATTTCTCATTTAAATTAATTTAGGAGAAAGTCTATCCTAAAGTTAGTGAATTGGCGTCTGAGAAAAAGTTATAACCATACTGCTTAGTTGAATCCTACTTAATTTAGTAACAAAACAAAAAATTTAATTTTGATATTCCATTTGGAGAGTAATCAAACAGATACTTCCTATTTTGATTTTTGAAATTTTATTTTACTTCTACTTTGACAGAAAAGAGTTAAATAAAATTTTTAAAATAGAAAAATAATGATCAAATATCTTAATTATAAAATTATGTAGTTCATCTATCTTAAAATTATATAGAATTATACTTATATATATATATATTTTTTTTTAGATCTATATTTTAGATTAAATTAAAACCAATTTTTTTTTTGTGATTTAAAATTATTATTTTTGATTAAATTAACACAAAATCTTAATATTTTCAGTTAATAATGATTCAATTTATTTTTTTGTTTAAGATTTTTCAAAATTTAAAAAACTTTTTGTTATCTACTAATGACTCGTAACTTCATTTAAAAACTCTAATAAATTTTTTTAAATTTTATAAATATAGGCAAATAATAGAATATGTTTAAGAATCGTTTTATCTTTTCAAAATTAAAATTTAATCATAAATAAAACATATTTTATATTAGATTTATTTAGAAAAGAAATTCAATTATTAATTAAAATAGAATTAATTATGTTTATTTAAGACAAAGTATACATTTTTTATGCCGCAAAAATTAAATTAAATTAAATTATAACAGAATAAATAAATATCCTTTAATTTTTAATAACTATTAAATTAATTCATTTTTTTAAAAACAAAACTTTTTCTGGAAATATTTATTTTTGCTTGTTTGATTTCTTCTTTTATTTTTCTAAGAAAAATTAGTTACTCAAAATAGTGAATAATCAATTTCAAAAAGTTTAAATAATTAAAAATTAAGTTTTGACTTTTTTAATTTACCAAATTTGATAAGAAATCTTTCTAATTCGTTTTTTTCTAGAAATAAATATTAATTTATTATTTAGGTCCTACATTTTTTTCATAAATTAATTTTTTTAATTCATCAGAATATTTTCTTAACTATTTCTATAATTTACTTTAAAAATGAAAAAAGATTGAAATAAAATTTTAAAAAAATAAATAAATACAAAAATAAAATAAACAAAATCAAAGAATTTATTAAAAAAAGAATGATTGTCCTTGGCTATTGGAATCTAAGAGGTTATGCTTAACCTATTCGTTTGCTTCTTGAATATTTATAAGTTGAATATAAGGATAAGCTTTATCATGAAAATGGAGAAGAATGGTTCAATACTGATAAGTAAGAACTCAAGACTAACTTCCCTAATTTACCTTATCTAATTGATGGGGATGTTGTTGTGACAGAATCTATAGTAATTCCTATTTATTTAGCTAAAAAGTTCAAAAAGTATGAACTTATTGGCTAAAATAATGATGGATCCTTTAACTAAAATGAAATTATTTTCCTTGAAATTTTATCAATCCTGAAAGATCTCAGAGATACATTAAATAGTTCAGCTAGAGTGCCATCTTTTAAATAAGAAAAAGATAAAATTTTCAATGAAAAGTTCAACGTTACTTTTGAGGTATCGAAATATATTTTTGAAACTTTAAAAAAGATTAATTTATTTATTTTTTTTATTTAAAAATGTAGAAAATTAAGAAATAACTTGGAGAAAACAAATTCCTTCTTGGAAATTTATCTTATATAGATTTCTATTTTTACGAAGTTTTGAAAATTTTCAAATTCTTTTATCCTAATCTCTCAATCTTTACTGACTATATTGATAGAATAGAAAATATTCCTCAAATAAAAAACTATCTTGAAACAAAAGAAAATAAAATCTTTCTTCTTGATAGGATGAAAAGCTTGTATTACTACTGAATAATATAAAATTTATACTATTTAAATCGATTTATTTCTAATTATTACTTGTTCTATTTTTTATATTCTATTTTAATTTGATTTTAAAATAATATTTTCAAATCTAAAGATAAAAATAAATAGACATCTAAGATATTTTATTTATTTTGAGTTCTAATTTAATTACAAAAATGCAATTAATTTTTTGATAAAAATTTAATTCTGTAATATCTCATTAAATATCACCAAATTATTCTTTAAGTCATAAGCTCTTTACCTTTTCCATAGTTAGTAAGGTACTTACTTACTTATAATCCGAATAACTAAATTCTTTCCTTGTTAAAATATTATTTTTACATTTTACTGAATAAATTAAATAATTTAACATTTGTAATTAATATACTTTGTAGACTTGATTAATACTATTAATTTTTTATATTTTATAAAATCACTTCTCAAAAAAGTAGCTATTTAATCATTTTTTATATAATTTTTTTAAAAAATTGAAGAGCTATCATACATATATAATTTAAAATTTAATAAAAAATTTTATTACTGGTGTTTTATTATGGTAAAAATATAATCAAGTATAAATGGATTTGAGAAGTTGTAAAGGTTTTTTAATAAAAACAAACAAGTTAAGAGCGAAATTATTAAAAAATAACTATTTGTATGAACTTTACTGAAATAATTAGATTAAAGATCTTCATTAATTTATTTATTTATTTAAAAATAAGATTTAAAAAATACTCACTTTTATGTAATATATAATAAAATTATAATAATTTTTTTTTAGTTTTATTAAGAGATCAAAGTTATTTTTTCTTAAAAAAGTAACGAATTCATTGTTACTAATAGATGACTTCATGTATTTTATCGGAAGCGAGCCAACTTTTTTAAATTTTAAATGAAACGATTAATAAAAAGGAAAATTAATTAAATTTTGAGTTATTTATTTACTTAAAGTAGGAACGAAGTTAGCTTGGATCTTTGAAAAAGTAAGTTTATGAGAAAGATGAGTCAATCACAAAAATTTGGGTTAATCTATTGTTTGAAAAAAGGATGTTGTAGCCTAAAAGTTAGCTAGTCTAATTATAAGTAAGATTAGCAGGAGGTTAACTGAAGGTTTATCCATACTTTTCAACATAATATCCCCACTCGTAAGGCTAAAGATTAGGAATCCATTAAGCTACTGAATCTCTTCCTTTTGGTAAATAAGGAACAGCAGCAGCAGGTAACTTGCGAATAACTTCTAAGTTATACCATTATTTAGCAGCTATTTCATAGTATGAACATTTCTCTATCTTAGATATACATTGATACTAGTTATACATTTGTAGATCAACTTCTTTAATCACTTAATTTACAACGTCAAAGTTGTAAATGAAATTGTATTATTTACACTAAGGAGAGTAAAGCATATACATTTAACATTCGTAGATGGTTCTCATAGTTTGTAAATCAAAATTATTAAAAGATTAAATTTTGCATAAGTATTCAGCTTATTAAAGTTAATAAGTAAAAGATTTACAGTCAGTAATATTCTTTGATTTAAAATTTTCTAGCATGAGAGCTTCGATGATATTTACAGCTAAGTTATCGCTTGTTATTTAAAATTACGAAGAAAGTTTTTAGCTGTCAAATAAAGATTTTTTATAGACTTCAAATCCACCATCCTTATAATTTCTTAACTCAGAAAAAATGTCAACCATATAAATAGCATATTACCAGAAGAGGTAAGTAGCGTCTAAGTATTTTTCACCAAAATAATACTAGTTAATCAAAAAGCGCTCAGAAATTTCTACAAGATATATTTCATTTTAAGTTTCGTCATAGTTTTATCCATTTAAGAATAAAAATGATAAATTATCTTTATCAACCAAGCTGTGGCTTGTGTTCTAGTTGATCTTTGTAACTTCAACAGCTTTAAGATAAAATTTATTTTATATAATTTCTTGTAAAAATTTTGTAAAATAAATAAATAAATAAATAAATAAATAAATAAATACATACCCCATTCTTAAGCAAATTTAATATCTTAATATAAAGATGAAGAATTCACATGCTATTTGAAATAACCCTTTTAAAATGCAGCTATTTCTGGTTCTACCAACATAGTTTTATTCAAATTAGCAATTGAATAACCCAATTTCAAATCTGCCCATTATTTTGCCTATTTTTAATTAAATTTAATAAATATAATACAATTGTTTGAAATTTTTTAGCAAGAATTACAACAAGACAAGACTTGACATACTCCTATTGATAAGAATAGGCACAATTAAAAGCTCCTCTAATAAAATCATTTTCACTGACTTATAAACTAGAGCTGAAAGCATTATACGTATAGCTCCAGAATTTATCCATTTTATCTTAATCAAGCTTAAAGTAGTTAATAAGGAAAATGCTTATTGATTTTTCATCTATTTAGCTATTTCTTTGTTCTAAAAAGCCATCCATCCAAATTTAAGGATTATATTTGAAGCCATAATTTTGATCTTCATACATCCACTCTATAGCTGAAATAGGAAAATTTTAATAAATTCTATAGAATATATCTGTCCAATCTTAGAGGCTGTTGATACTTTTTTAGCTAACCCAATATATATTAAGATTATCAAGTATTGATTAGTTTAACCCATTTATGAGTTCGTAGAAAGCTTTTTAAAAAAATGATATTTTTTTTTAATTCATTTTTAAGAAAAGTCAAATTTTATTAATTAATCAATAAGATTTTCCATAATTCTGAAAATTTTATCGATTATTTTGGTTTAAAAAGAAATTAAAATAAATCAATTTAATAAATTAAATTTAATATTTACTTTGATAGGCGACATCAACTTAATTATTTTAGGCTTCTTTGAGAGTTTCTTTTCTTAATTCCTTCCCTATAATTTTTAAATACAATTTAATGATATAAATTTATTTAATTAATTACTTTCTAATGAATTTAAGAAACGACCATTAGCATTTCCAGTTAAGTGGTTTTCATGAGAAAATACAGACTGATCTCTTGTAAGATTTAGATTAAAAGCTAATATAGTGCCAAAGATAACAAGAGATAAGATACTTATCTTAAAAATTAGCTTCAATCCCTTAAGTTGTTGTTTTGATTAGCTTCCAAGCATCATATTATTAGCTTAAGATTAGCAAGAATTTTTTTCAAATTAACTCATATCTACAATATTTAAAGATCCAGATTTCTCCAATTATCAAGATATTATTTTTAGTTTTATAAGAAATTAATTAATTATATTTTTTATTTGATGAATATGGAAGCTCTTTTTAAATAAAAACAATTAAAGAATGAAAATAAGTCTTTTGGTTTATAAATAAATTTGTTTTCTAAATTTGTTTAAATAGGTATTTAGCAATTTAAAAAAAAGTATTTGCCTTGAAATTCTATGATTTTTATAGAGAATAATATGTAATAAATATAAAAAATTGAAATTCTTTAAAATATTTTAGAAATTTAAAATTCTAAATTTTACATCTTGTTTATAAAAGAAATATATTTTTAAATCTAATTTTTCATTATCCAAATAGAAATTTAAAAATTAATACCTCATATTAACTAAAATTAATAAACTTACATATTTTAAAAAGTCAAAAGATTAATGTATTCAATTGTAAATTTAAATTTAATTTTTGAAATGGAAAATTAATTATTTTTTACAAAAAAAAAGAGAGTCTTACTTTATTAAATGAACTTAAATATTCATTCATTTTAGTTTTAAATCCCAATTTATCTATCAAAAAGTTAAATCATTTTCAAACATATTAACTGACTGAAATAACTATCAATTTTTTATTTTTTGAATTAGATATGCAAATATATTAAAGTCATTTGGTTAAATTCTGTTATTTCAAAGAGAAAATAAATAAAATTTGCTTATTTTAGTTTATAAAAGAAAAATAAAAGTAACTTTGATTTTTAGCTCTTTTTTTCAGTATTTTAGATTTTTAGACAGAATTCATAGTATTATTTTTACAGAACTTCAAAAAATGAATTCATTTATTGTGTTTTAAAACTTTAATATGAGTAAATTCTCATTCTCAATTATAAGATTATCATAAAAAAAATAAAGTTATTTAACTCAATTAACTTATATTTTTCATTCTGATATTATATAAGTAAGGTAAATTTAAATTCCTAATTAAACAGCATTCTCATATTTATTTTAAAAAATATACAAAGTGCATTAATTTATATGCAAAAATCTTCTTTACAAAAAAGTTAAATGTTTAATTTAGCTTTTTGCGATAAGCATGATTTTTTATGGATTAGCATACAAATCAAAAAAAATTAATCTAGTTGTAAAAGTATAAAAATAAATGTTATTTTTAATTTATACTTTACCTCATATTCTGATTAGAATGATATCCTCATTTTTAAATCTTCCTATTTAAAATAAAATGTGATAACAATATTAATTTACATTCTAAATCAGTCTTTTATTTCAATATTCATAAAATTGTTTATAAAGTGGAAAATATGTAAATAAAAAAATCCCTTTTAGCCAAATTATTCTTATCTATCTTAAAAAATTATTTTAAAAATCTTATTTTACTAAAAAAATGTTGAATAAAGGATTGTTTAAATATTTTAAAATTCATTTCTGATATTTACGATATTAAAATAGTATAAATTAAATTGAATGATATATATTTAAATTCTAATTTTTAAACGTTTCCTTTACTTATCAGAATATTGAATTTATATTTATCCTGCGAAATCAATATAAAGAAAGTTTATTTATAATTAGTAGTAACCAATAAAAATATCATATGCAAGATAATAATAAATATTTTGAATCTTAATTTAATTAGGAAATTATTTTTATCTTTTGAATTGATTACAAAACAAGTCACAACATAAAATTTTTTGAATTTCTATGAATTTATATGATTTAAAAATTATAGAAAACAAAGTTAAATTATTATAAGATAAAATGAATTTAATTTTTGATGTATTTTTATTTAAATATTACTTTATATAGAGAAGATTGTTAAATCACAGAAAAATTGTCTAAAATTTTTATCTTAATTTATAAAATATTGAAAAAAGGCTAAAAATATAATTTATATATTTTTTTCTTTTATTAATTTACATTCTTAATCAGTCTTTTATTTCAATATTCATAAAATTGTTTATAAAATGAAAAACATGTAAATAAAAAATTCCCTTTTAGTCAAATTATTCTTATCTATCTATCTTAAATTTTTATTTTAAAAATCTTATTTTACTAAAAAAAATGTTAAATAAAGGATTGTTTAAATATTTTAAAATTAATTTCTGATATTTACAATTTTAAAATAGTATAAATTAAATTGAATGATGTACATTTAAATTCTAATTTTTAAACGCTTCTTTTACTATATTAAATTTATATTTATCCTGCAAAATCAATGTAAAAGAAAGTTTATCTATAATTAATAGTAATCGATAAAAATATAGTATGTAAGTTAATAATAAATATTTTGAATCTTAATTTAATTAGGAAATTATTTTATCTTTTGAATTGCTTTCAAAACAAGTCACAACATAAAATTTGTTGATTTTCTATGAATTTATATGATTTAATAATATTAGAAAACTAAGTTAAATTATTATAAGATAAAATGAATTTAATTTTGATGTATTTTTATTTAAATATTACTTTCTATTAAGAAGATTGTTAAATTGCAGAAAAATTGTCTAAAATTTTTGTCTTAAAATATAAAATATTGTAAAATGGCTAAAAATAATATTTATATTTTTTTTTCTTTTATAAATTTGTGTCCTGCGTTTATTAACAGTAATAGCACAAATAATTTAATTAATTAGATAGATATTAATTAATAAACAAATGTTTCCAAGATAATACTTTTTTAAAATAGAAATGAGAAATTTCTAAATTTCTTGCTTAAAACATTGTATAAAATTATTTAAAAGTGATTCATTTGAAATTTAAGTAAGTAATTGAATAGTTTTATTGTTATTTTTAAGAACCAAGATAATTAACAAATAATAATTTTTTAAAAATAAAATTATAATTTTAATTGATCAAGTAAAAAACAAAAATTTACAATTTATTCTATTAAACTTTTATCATTTAAAATTATGTAAAAGTAATTAATAAATTTTAATAAAAAAGAAAGATTAATTTTTTGTAATTTAGTTCTTAAATTACTCCAAAATTAAATTGAATATAAATTTTATTTGTTTACATTTATATACTTATGTATGGATTTTCTGTGCTCTATTTAAATATTTTATTAATGCTTAGGCTATAAAAAATTGATCCTTGGATTTCATCTAATACACCGATGAAAACCAAGTCGATGAAAGTCAAGGAAATACAGTATATTTTAGATTAAATAATTAAATTACAAAATATAATAAAATATAATATGTTAATTTTATTATTCAAATGCTTTTATATTTATTTGTTCAATTTTCACCACTTTTTTATCACCAATGCTCTATCTTTAAGATAACTAATCTTTTTGATTTGAGTGATTTGCTTTTTACTTTCAATAACTATGGTTTATTATATTTTTATATCCTTTTAATTATAATCAATGTGTATAGAATAAATTTTTTAAATCATATAATAAAAAAATATTATCACAATAAAAATAAAAGAAAAATAAATCAAATAAAAAGCCAATAAATAAATTATAAGATATAGTTATATATTTTGTTTTAAATTTATTTTTATATTAAAAAATATCACAATCCAAAACAATAAACTGCTTTACACAAGAAGAAGGGTCAAATATGATAGATTAGTACACTCTCTTTAACCAGCAACTAAGCCTAGTGCACCTACATCACTAATTTCGTCATAACCAATTAAAGATTGAGGAAAAATATAAAGTTAATTAGTTATTTCGAAAGAAAATTTGAAGAAAAATAATGAAATTTAGAAATTAATTTATGTAAAAACAAAGTTTAAAATGAAAAAATGAGTTAAATTAACAAGGAAAAAAATAAAAAACTCATGAAAAAGAAAAATATATCAAACAAAAAACTAATAAATAAGTTAAAAGTGTTAGTTATATTCCTTTAAATTCATTTTTATATTCAAAAATATCACTATCTAAAATGAATAAACTGCTTATACGAAAGATGAAGTGTTAAATTTGAGAGATTAGTGCATTTTCCTAAACCAGAACCCAAGTCTGATGCATCAGTCGCATCAATTTCATTAGTCCTTTTTAAATATTATAGAAAAAAATATTTAGTTAATTAGTTAGTTTGAAAGAAAAAACATGAATAATTAGAAATAAATTAACTAATAATAAAACCAAATGTTGAAAATGAAAATGAGTTAAATTAAAAAGGAAAGAAAGAAATAAAAAAAAACACAAATGTAATAAAAAAAAGAAAAATAAATCAAATGAAAAGCTAATAAATAAGTTAAAAGAATTAGTTAGATAGTTTATTAAAAAATACTAGAATCCAAAAGAAATAAACTTTTTTTACCTAAGATAAAGTTCTAAAATTGATAGATTAGTGAACTCTCCTAATCAAGAGCCTAAGCTTGATGCACCAATTTGATGAATATTATTTTTAATGTTTAAATATGGAAGAATAGATATTTATATTGTTAATTAGTAAGTTAGAAAGTAAATATGAAGAAAAAAAAAATGAAATAATAAGAAATTAATTATAGTTTATTGAGTTGATTGGTAAAATAAACATACCCTTAAATTTATTTTTGAATCATTATTTTTTTGACAGGAATGAGTAAAATAATAATCATTTACTGTATAAAAATAAAATTGAAAATTTAAAGCTTTTAAAACCTTTAAAATACTTTTTAGGCTTCTATTTCATCATTTTTTATATAAATTTTTTAAAATATGGTAGAGCTATCATACATATATAATTTGAAAATTAATAAAAAATTTTATTACTGATATTTTATCATGGTAAAAAATAATGAAGTATAAATGGATTTGAGAAGCTGTAAAGGTTTTTTAATAAAAACAAACAAGTCAGGAGCAAAATTATTAAAAAATAACTATTTGTATGAACTTTACTGAAATAATTAGATTAAAGATCTTCATTAATTTATTTATTTATTTAAAAATAAGATTATAAAAATACTCACTTTTATGTAATATATAATAAAATAATAATAATTTTTTTTTAGTTTTATAAAAAGATCAAAGTTATTTTTTCTTAAAAAAGTAACGAATTCATTGTTACTAATAGATGACTTCATGTATTTTATCGGAAGGGAGCCAACTTTTTTAAATTTTAAATGAAACGATTAATAAAAAGAAAAATTAATTAAATTTTGAGTTATTTACTTAAAGTAGGAACGAAGTTAGCTTGGATCTTTGAAAAAGTAATTTTAGGAGAAAGATGAGTCAATCACAAAAATTTAGGTTAATCTATTGTTTGAAAAAAGGATGTTGTAGCCTAAAAGTTAGCTAGTCTAATTATAAGTAAGATTAGCAGGAGGTTAACTGAAGGTTTATCCATACTTTTCAACATAATATCCCCACTCGTAAGGCTAAAGATTAGGAATCCATTAAGCTACTGAATCTCTTCCTTTTGGTAAATAAGGAACAGCAGCATCAGGTAACTTGCGAATAACTTCTAAGTTATACCATTATTTAGCAGCTATTTCATAGTATGAACATTTCTCTATCTTAGATATACATTGATACTAGTTATACATTTGTAGATCAACTTCTTTAATCACTTAATTTACAACGTCAAAGTTATAAATGAAATTGTATTATTCACACTAAGGAGAGTAAAGCATATACATTTTACATTCGTAGATGGTTCTCATAGTTTGTAAATCAAAATTATTAAAAGATTAAATTTTGCATAAGTGTTCAGCTTATTAAAGTTAATAAGTAAAAGATTTACAGTCAGTAATATTCTTTGATTTATAATTTTCTAGCATGAGAGCTTCGATGATATTTACAGCTAAGTTATCGCTTGTTACTTAAAATTAGGAAGAAAGTTTTTAGCTGTCAAATTAAGATTTTTTATAGACTTCAAATCCACCATCCTTATAATTCCTTAACTCAGAAAAAATGTCAACCATATAAATAGCATATTACCAGAAGAGGTAAGTAGCGTCTAAGTATTTTTCTCCAAAATAATACTAGTTAATCAAAAAGCGCTCAGAAATTTCTACAAGATATATTTCATTTTAAGTTTCATCATAGTTTTATCCATTTAAGAATAAAAATGATAAATTATCTTTATCAACCAAGCTGTGGCTTGTGTTCTAGTTGATCTTTGTAACTTCAACAGCTTTAAGATAAAATTTATTTTATATAATTTCTTGTAAACATTTTGTAAAATAAATAAATAAATACCCCATTCTTAAGCAAATTTAATATCTTAATATAAAGATGAAGAATTGACATGCTATTTGAAATAGCCCTTTTAAAATGCAGCTATTTCTGGTTCTATTAACATAGTTTTGTTCAAATTAGCAATTGAATAACCCAAGTTCAAATCTACCCATTATTAAGCCTGTTTTTTAATTAAATTTAATAAATATAATACAATTGTTTGTAATTTTTTAGCAAGAATTACTAATAGACAAGACTTGACATACTCCTATTCATTAGATTAGGTACAATTAAAAGTTCCTCTAATTAAATATTCTTCGCTGATTAAAATACTACCATAGAAATCATTATACATATAGCTCCAGAATTTGTCCATTTTATAATAATCAAGCTTAAAGTAGTTAATAAGGAAAATACTTATTGATTTTTCATTTATTTAGTTATTTTGTTGTTCTAAATAGCCATCCATCCAAATTTAAGGATTATATTTGAAGCCATAATTTTGATCTTCATACATCCACTCTATAGCTGAAATAGGAAAATCTTAATAAATTCTGTAGAATATATTTGTCCAATCTTAGAGTTTGTTAATACTATATTCGGTAATATAAGATATATTAAGATAATCAAGTATTTATTAGTTTAACCCATTTATGAGTTCGTAGAAAGCTTTTTAAAAAAATGATATTTTTTTTTAATTCATTTTTAAGAAAAGTCAAATTTTATTAATTGATTGATAAATTTTCCATTATTCTGAAAAATTTTATCAATTATTTTGGTCTAAAAAGAAATTAAAATAAATCAATTTAATAAATTTAATATTTACTTTGATAGGCGACATCAACTTAATTATTTTAGGCTTCTTTGAGAGTTTCTTTTCTTAATTCCTTCCCTATAATTTTTAAATGCGATTTAATGATATAAATTTATTTAATTAATTACTTTCTAATGAATTTAAGAAACGACCATTAGCATTTCCAGTTAAGTTTTTTTCATGAGAAAATACAGACTGATCTCTTGTAAGTCTTAGATTAACAGCTAATATAGTGCCAAAGATAACAAGAGATAAGATACTTATCTTAAAAATTAGCTTCAATCCCTAAAGTTGTTATTTTGATTAGCTTCCAAGCATCATATTATTAGCTTAAGATTACCAAGAATTTGTTTCAATTTAACTCATATCTACAATATTTAAAGACACAGATTTCTCCAATTATCAAAATAATATTTTTAGTTTTATAAGAAATTAATTAATTATATTTGATCAATATATAACCTCTTTTTAAAAAAAATAATTAAAGAATGAAAATAAATCTTTTGGTTTACAAATAAATTTGTTTTCAAAATTTATTTAAATAGGTATTTAACAATTTAAAAAAAAAGTATCTGCTTTTAAATTCTATGATTTTTATAGAGAAAAATATGTAATAAATATAAAAAATTGAAATTCTTTAAAATATTTTAGAGATTTAAAATTCTACATTTTACATCTTGTTTAGAAAAGAAATATATTTTTAAATCTATTTAATACCTCATATTAACTAAAATAAATAAACTTACATATTTTAAAAAGTCAAAAGATTAATGCATTCAATTATAAATTTAAATTTAATATTTGAAATGGAAAATTAATTATTTTTTTCAAAAAAGAGAGAGTCTTACTTTATTAAAACTTAAATATTAATTCATTTTAGTTTTAATTACCAATTTATCTTTCAAAAAGTTATATCATTTTCAAACAAATTAACTGACTGCAATAACTATCAATTTTTTATTTTTTGAATTAGATATGCAAATATATTAAAGTCGTTTGGTTAAATTGTGTTATTTAAAAGAGTAAATAAATAAAATTTTGCTTAATTTAGTTTATAAAAGAAAAATAAAATTAATTATTATTTTTAGCTCATTTTTTCAATATATTCATAGTATGATTTTTACAGAACTTCAAAAAATAAATTCATTTATTGTGTTTTAAAACTTTAATATGAGTAATTTCTCATTCTCAATTATAAGATTATCATAAAAAAGATAATGTTATTTAACTCAATTAACTTATATTTTTCATTCTGATATTATATAAGTAAGGTAAATTTAAACTCCTAATTAAACAACATTCTCATATTTATTTTATAAAAATATACAAAGTGCATTAATTTATATGCAAAAATCTTCTTTATAAAAAATTTAAATGCTTAATTTAGCTTTTTGCTATAAGCATTATTTTTATATGGATTAGTAAGCCATACAAAGCAAAAAAAATTAATCTAGTTGTAAAAGTATAAAAATAAAAGTTATTTTTAATTTATACTCTACCTCATATTCTGATTAAAATGATATCCTCATTATTAAAGCTTCTTATTTAAAATAAAATGTGATAACAATATTAATTTACATTCTTAATTAGTCTTTTATTTCAATATTCATAAAGTTGTTTATAAAATGAAAAATATGTAAACAAAAATTCCCTTTTAGTCAAATTATTTTAAAAATCTTATTTTATTCAAAAAATGTTAAATAAAATATTTTTTTAATATTTTAAAATTCATTTCTGATATTTACAATATTAAAATAGTATAAATTAAATTGAATTGAATGATATACATTTAAATTCTAATTTTTAAGCACTTCCTTTACTTATCAGAATATTAAATTTATATTTATCCTGCAAAATCAATTTAAAAGAAAGTTTAAATATAATTAATAGTAATCAATAAAAATATAGTATGTAAGTTAATAATACATATTTTGAATCTTAATTTAATTAGGAAATTATTTTATCTTTTGAATTACAACATAAAATTTGTTGAGTATCTATGAATTTATGTGATTTAATAGTATTAGAAAACTAAGTTAAATTATTATAAGATAAAATAAATTTAATTTTGATGTATTTTTATATAATACTTTATATAGAGAAGATTGTTAAATTGCAGAAAAATTGTCTAAAATTTTTGTCTTAAAATATAAAATATTGTAAAAAGGCTAAAAATAAAATTTATATAAATATTTTTTTATTAATTTAAATCCTGTGTTTATTAACAGTAATAGCACAAATAATTTAATTAATTAGATAGATAGATATTTATTAATAAACAAATTTTTCCAATCTAATACCTTTTTAGAATAGAAAAGATAAATTTCTTGCTTAAAACAATGTATAAAATTATTTAAAAGTGATTCATTTGAAATGTAAGTAATTGAATAGTGTTATTGTTATCTTTAAGAACCAAGATAATTAATAAATAATAATTTTTTAAAAATAAAATTATAATTTTGATTGGTCAAGTAAAAAACAAAAATTTACAATTTATTCTATTAAACTTTTATCATTTAAAATTATGTAAAAATAATAAATAAATTTTAATAAAAAAGAAAAGATTAATTTTTTGTAATTTAGTTCTGACATTTCTCAAAAATTAAATTGAATATAAATTTTATATGTTTACATTTATATACTTATATATGGATTTTCTGTTCTCTATTTAAATATCTTATTAATGATTAGGCTATAAAAAATTTAGTTAACCTTGGATTTCATCTAATGCACCGATGAAAACCAAGTCTATTAAAATTAAGGAAATACAGTATATTTTAGATTAAATAATTAAATATAACATATTAATTATATTAAACAAATGCTTTTATATTTATTTGTTAAATTTTTACCACTTTTTTATCACCAATGCTCTATCTTTAAGATAACTAATCTTTTTGATTTGAGTGATTTGCTTCTTACTTTCAATAATTATGGTTTATCATATTTTTAGATCCTTTTAATTATAATTAATGTGTATATAGAATAAATTTTTTAAATCATATAATAAAAAAAATATTATCACAATAAAAATAAAAGAAAAATAAATCAAATAAAAAGCCAATAAATAAATTTTCAGAAATAGTTATATATTTTGTTTTAAATTTATTTTTATATTAAAAAATATCACAATCTAAAACAATAAACTGCTTTACTCAAGAAGAAGGATCAAATTTAATAGATTAGTACACTCTCTTAAACCAGAAACTAAGCCTAGTGCACCTACATCACCAATTTCGTCATAACTTTTTAAACATTGATGAAAAATATAAAGTTAATTAGTTATTTCGAAAGAAAATTTGAAGAAGAAATATGAAATTTATAAATTAATTAATGTAAAAATAAAGTTTAAAATGAAAAAATGAGTTAAATTAACAAGGAAAGAAATAAAAAACTCATGAAAAAGAAAAATATATCAAATAAAAAACTAATAAATAAGTTAAAAGTGTAAGTTATATTCCTTTAAATTAATTTTTATATTCAAAAATATCACTATCTAAAATAAATAAACTGCTTATACGAAAGATGAAGTGTTAAATTTGAGAGATTAGTGCATTTCCCTAAACCAGAACCCAAGTCTGATGCACCAGTTGCATCAATTTCATTAGTCCTTTTTAAATATTATAGAAAAAAATATTTAGTTAATTAGTTAGTTTGAAAGAAAAAATGAATAAAAAATATATAATTAGAAATAAATTATTTAATAATAAAACCAAATATTGAAAATGAAAATGAGTTAAATTAACAAGGAAAAAAGGAATCAAAAAAACACAAATGTAATAAAAAAAAGAAAAATAAATCAAATGAAATAAGTTAAAAGAATTAGTTAGATAATTTATTAAAAAATATCAAAATCCAAAATAAACAAACTTTTTTTACCTAAGATAAAGTGCTAAATTTGATAGATTAGTGAACTCTCCTAAACAAGAGCCTAAGCTTGATGCACCAATTTGATGAATATTATTTTTACTGTTTAAATATTGAAGAAAATATAAATATATTGTTAATTAGTAAGTTAGAAAGTAAAAACGATGAAAAAAAAATGAAATAATAAGAAATTAATTTTAGTCTGTTGATTTGATTAGTTCTAATTGTATAAACATACCTTTAAATTTATTTTTGAATCATTATTTTTTTGACTGGAATGAGTAAAATAATAATCATTTACTGTATAAAAATAATATTGAAAAATTAAAGCTTTTAAAATCTTTAAAATACTTTTTCACAGTTAAAAAATTTAATTAGCCACTTTAGTTTCAATTTTTATAAGGGGAACAAATCAACTTAAAACAAGGTATAATTAATAAAATAGTAAAAGTTGAAAATTAAAAAAAAATTAATCAAATAAAAAACTAATAAATATATTAAAAATGATAGTTATATTGTTTTAAATTCATTTTTATATCCAAAAACATCACAATCCAAAATAAATAAACTATTTTTACTCAAGATGAAGCATCAAATTTGATATATAAGTGCACTCTCTTAGGCTAGAAACTAAGCCTAATGCACCAGCATCACCAATTTCGTTCTAACTATTTAAATGTTGAAGAAAAAAATATATAGTTGATTAGTTTGTTTGAAAAAAAAAAATGAATAAAAAATATGAAATAATTAGAAATTAATTAATAAATAAAAAAAGAAAATGCTAAAAATGAAAAAATTATTTAAATTAACAAAGAAAAAAAACACAACCACAATAAGAATAAGAAAAATAAATCAAATATAAAGCTAATAAATAAATTAATAAAATAGTTATATTTTTTTAAATTGATTTTTATATTCAAAAATTTGATAATCCAAATCAAATAAACTGTTTTTACTTAAGACGAAGTGCCAAATTTGATAGATTAGTGCACTCTCTTAAACCAGAAACTAAGCCTAATGCACCTACATCACCAATTTGATTACCTCTTTTTAAATATTGTAAAAAAAAATAGTTAATTAGTTTTTTAGAAGGAAAAAAACGAAGAAAATATGATAAAATTAATTCTTTAATAAAAAAAAAGCTGAAAATGAAAAAAATTAAAAAACACAAGCTGAATAAAATAGAAGAAAAAAAATCAATAAAAAGCTAATATATAAATTATATGAGTTAATTATATTATTTTTACTCAAGATTAAGCATCAAATTTGAGATTTTAGTGCATTTTCCTAAATTAGAACCTAAGCTTGATGCTCCAGTTGCACCAATTTCATTATAACTTTTTAAATATTGAAGAAAAAATAAATAGGTTTTTAGTTAGTTTGAAAAAAGAAAATGAATAAAAAATATGAAATAATAAGAAATATATGAATTAATTAGTCATATAAAAGCAAAAGTTGAAAATGAAAAAAGAGTTTGTTAAACAAAGAAAGAAAAAAAATCACAAGAAGGTTAAGCAAAAGAAAAATAAATCAATAAAAAGTTAATAAATAAATTAAAAGAGTTAGTTATTTTGCTTTAAATTATATTCAAAAGTATCACAATCCAAAATAAATAAACTCTTTTTACCAAAGATTAAGTGTCAAATTTGAGAGATTAGTGAACTTTCCTAAACCAGAACCTAAGCCTGATGCACCTGCATCACCTATTTCATTCTAACTTTTTAATTATTGAAGAAAAAATGAAGAGTTAATTGGGTCGTTAGAAGAAATAAAAAAAATTTAAATTAAAAAAGAAAGAAAGAAAGAAAGAAAGAAAATACAAGCATAATTAAAAAAATGAAAAGTAAATCAAATAAATAAATTAAAATAGGTAATTTTTTTATTATGTTTTAAATTAATTTTTATATTATAAAATATCACAATCAAAAATAAATTAATAAATAATTTTACTTAAGATTAAGTGTTAAATTTGAGAGGTTAGTGCATTTTCCTAAATCAGAACCTAAGCCTGATGCCCCAATAGCGCCAATTTAATTAAAACTTTTTAAATATTGAAGTGAAAATATTTTTTAATTAGTTAGTTAGAAGAAAAAAATGAAGAAAAAATATGATATTAAGAAATAAGAAAATTAAAAGTTGAGAGTGATAAATAATTTAAATTAAAAAAAAAGAAATAAAAAAAAACACAAGCATTATAAAAAAATATAAAATAAAAAATAAATAAATAAATTAAAAACAATCTCAATCCAAAACATATAAACAGTTTTTACTTAAGGTTAAGTGTTAAATTTGAGAGATTAGTGCACTTTCCTAAACCAGAGCCTAAGCCTTACGCACCAATTACACCAATTTAGTTTTTCCTTATTAAATATTGAAAATAAAAATATGAAATAATAAGAAATTAGTTAATTATTAAAAGCAAAAGCTGAGAAAGATAAATAAGTTAAATTAACAAACAAAGAAATATGAATAAAACAAGCATAATAAATAAAAATTAAATCAAATAAAAATCTAATAAATAAAAACATTTAAAGAGTAAGTTATATTTTTTTAAATACATTTTTTTATTAAAAAATATAACAATCCAAAACAATAAACTGTTTTTACATAAGATCAAGAATCAAACTTGATATATTAGTGCTTTATCCTAAACCAAAACCAAAGCCTGATGAACCTTGATCACCAATTTTATTTCCCCTTTTTAAATATTAAATATATATTTAATTAGATTATTGAAAGAAAAAGCGAATAAAAAATAAGAAATAATAAGAAATATGAATTATTAATAAAAACAAAATTTAAAAATTAAATAATGAGTTAAATTAACTAAGAAGGTAAGCAAGAAAGAAAAAGAAATATTACCTGAATAAAAAAAGAGTAAAATTAATCAAATAAAAAGCTAATAAATAAATTAAAATAGTTGTTGTTTTATTATATTTTAATATTATAAAATAACACAACCAAAAACAAATAAACTATTTTTACCAAAGATGAAGTGTCAAACTTGAGAGATTAGTGGATTATCCTAAACCAGAACCTAAGCCTGATGCACCTTTACCAATTTCATTAACCCTTTTTAAATATTAATGAAATAATTATGAAATAGTAAGAAATTAATTAACAATAAAAGCAAAAGTTAAAAATGAAAAAATGATTTAAATTAACAAAGAAAATAAACAGAAAATAATAAAAAAGTATAACCAGAATAAAATAAATAAAAAGCTAATAAATAAATTAAAAGAGTATTAAAAAATATCACAATCCATAATAAATAAACTGTTTTTACTCAAGACGAATTTTCAAATTTTAGAGACTAGTGCACTATCCTAAACCAAAACCTAAGCCTGATGCACCTTCTTCACCGATTTGATTTTCACTTTTTAAATATAGAAGAAAAATATATAGTTAATTAATTAGTTAATTAGAAGAAAAAAATGAAGAAATAATAAGAAATGAATGGATTAATTAATAATAAAAGCAAATATTAAAAAAAAGATGAGTTAAATTAGTAAACAAGGAAACAAAACACAAGCAGAATATAAAAAAAAAGAAAAATAAATCAAATAAAAAACTAATAAAAAATTAAAATAATTAGTTTTTTTTAAATTAATTTTTAAATTAAATAATATCACAATCCAAAATAAATAAACAATTTTTACTGAATTTGAAGTTTTAAATTTGAGAGGTTAGTGCACTTTCCTAAGCCAGAGCCTAAACCTGATGCACCATTTGCACGAATATTATTATTACTTTTTAAATATTGAAGAAAATATATTTCTCTAATTTGAGTAATATACCTTTTTAATTTTGGATAGGTTATGCTAATTACTATTTCGTTAAAATAAATATAAACTAATGTTTTGTTATAAACATTTCTCTACCTTTTTTAATTAAACATTAATTAGTATACCCTATCCAAAATTTAAAATGCATTTAATCCTAATTATATTGTTTGTTTTAAATTCATTTTTTATTAAAAAGATAAGCAATCGAAAACAAAAAACTGCTTTTACACAAGATCAAGTGTTAAATTTTAGAGATTAGTGCATTTTCTTAAACAAAAGCCTATGCCTGATGCACCTTTATCACCAATTTAATTTTCTCTTTTTAAATATTGAAGAACAAATATATAGTTAATTAGTTAGAAAGAAAAAATAAGAAGTAATAAGAAATTAATTAATAAATAGTAAAAGTAAAAAATCTAAAAATGTAAGAAAATGAGAAAAAAAATAAATATAATAAAAAAAACAAAAACAAATAAAAAAATAAGCTTATAAATAAATTAAACGAGTTATATCGTTTTAAATTCTTTATATATTAACAATCCAAAACAAATAAACTATTTTTACGAAAGACAAAGTTCCATATTTGAGAGATTAGTGCACTATCCTAAATCAGAACCTAAGCCTGATGCACCTACACCAGAGATTTAATTGTTTCTTTTTAAAAATAGAAGAAAAATATATTGTTAATTAGTTAATTATATAATAAGAAATTAATAGCCATAAGTTGAAAATGAAAAACTTATTTAAATTAACAATCAAAAAAAGAAAAAAAATAAATCAAATAAAAGGCTAATAAATATATTAAGAAAGTTCGTTATAATGTTTTAAATTAATTTTTATTTTAAAAAATATCACAATCCAAAATAAATAAACTGTTTTTACTGAAGACAAAGTGCCAAATTTGAGAGATTAGCACACTTTCTTAAACCAGAACCTAAGTCTTATACACCTTAATCACCAATACAACCGAAGCTTTTTAAATATCAAAGAAAAAATTTAGAGTTAATTAATTAGTTAGTTAAAGGAAAAAAATGAAGAAAAAGTATGAAATAATAAGAAATAAATTACTTAATTAATAAAAAAATAAAAGTTGAAAATAAAAAAAATAACTTAAATTACCAAGGTAAGGATGAAGAAAAAAAAACACAATCAAAATAAAATAATCAAAGATAAATCAAATAAAAAACTAATAAATAAATTAAAAGTTTTAATTATATTGTTCTAAATTCATTTTTTTTTCAAAAAATATCATTATCCAAAACAAATAAACTATTTTTACTTAAGATTAAGCATCAAATTTGATAGATTAGTGCATTTTCCTAAAGAAGAACCTAAGTACGATGTACTAATTGCATCAATTACACTACCCCTTTTTAAATATTAATGAATAAAATATAGTTTAGAATGAAAAAATGGAGAAAAAATATGAAGTGATAAGAAAATTAATTAATTAATAATAAAAGTAAATGTTGAAAATGAAAAATCAGTTAAATAGTATAAGAAAGAAAAAAAAAATACAATGAGAATAAAAAAAAGAAAAATAAATGAAATAAAAAGCTAATAAATATTGTTTTAAATTCATTTTTATATTCAAAAATATCACAATCTAAAACAAATAAATGGTTTTTATTACTCAAGATCAAGTTTCAAAATTGAGCAATTAGCACATTTTTCTAAAGTAGAATATATGTCTTTTACATGATTATCTCTAGAATTGTATTTTTTAATAGTGAAGAAAAAATAAATAAAATGATGAATAAATATCAAATATAAAAAAATTAATAATAAATAATTAAAATAAAAATTGAGAATAAATAAATAAATAAATGAGAATATATATATAGATGAGAAATTCTAATTGAAAAATCATTTTGTAAATAACTTGAAATGTAAAAAACAATTAATATTAATAATTAAATATACTTCTTATGATCAAGATCGAGAGCCTAATGCGATTAAAATGAAGAGTTAAAAAAATTGTTTTTTAATAAAATGAATTTAAACAATATTAATAAAAAAATAAATATTTACTTCTTCTTTATTCTAAAAATAATTTTTGTATCTTATCATTTATTTTTCTTCAAAAATATTTAATAGCAGTCAGTTTATGGAAATTTAATTAATTAATTAATTATATGTTTTTTCATAAATTAATTAAGTCAAAAGCAACAAACAAAATATAATAATTTAGAGATATCACAAAAAATAATATTAGTATAAAATTCATTATTAAATCTTAATATTTCTATTTAAAACATTGCTTTTAACATGTCAATTTATGATAGAGTAGATATCAATGAAGCATTTGCTCTTAAATTTATAAAATTAGTGTTAGTGCATATATAAATATTTTATTTTTATCCTTATTATATTTATTTTTATTATTTCTGATGTGTTTAATTAAGACTTCCTTAAAATTTAATCTATTAATTAGATAGATAGCAGTCTTGTTTGTTAATCATTGGCAAATTTACAGACAAATAATTTATATCATAATATGTATTCTATATTAGTTAGTATTCAAATTCTTCTATCAATTTAATGTTAAATTTTTATGCTAGATATTATTTAATTACTCCAGATTAGCCTAATATACACCAAAGCTGCAGATACTTTTTTATTAAAGAAAATTATTTTTTGGTAGGTAAAATTTACATTTTATTTTTCATTCGATTAAAATTTGAATACATCAAATAGATAAAAACATTTATGTCTTTGTAAAGACTGATTCTATTTTTAATTATCATCAGATTTAATTAGAGATGATTGAAAATATTACAAAAATTGCATTAATTTATTTATTCTATAATTCAGTATTATTTAAAATATTTAAGCTTGCTTGAATTTGTTTGTTTTTCTACTATAAAAAATATTTATCTTAAATTATAAAATTATTTTTAAAATAATGAAATAAATAATTCAAGCAAAGTTTTATCTTTTTTAAACTAAGTTGACCTTAGAAAAATAAATATAATTCAGCACATATATATTTTTTTTTTGTGTGTTAGTGAATATCCATTCACCTTATATAGGTCAGATTTTATCAGCCAAGACATAAAATATTACAAATTTTTTGTTAATTGATTTATCTCTTAAATTAGACTTGACTATGATTCTTTCATTTAAAAATCTCAAAATAATCTGTAATTCAAATTATATTAAATAAGTAAGAAACAAACACAAACAAACAAAAAAACAAAATCAAGACAAATTAAAAACCAATCAATTATATTAATATTAAATGAATATCTTGAAGAATAACTTTAAATTGGCTTGCGCTATAGGAGCTGGGATCACTGGTATAGTATCTGGTATCTATTGGTATCATGGTGCTTTTTCTGATATAGAGTTTAGAGATTCAAAGTATGGTCCTTATGATTTCGTCTACTATAAGAGAGTAGGAAGCTATTAAACTTTAGGTAGTGAATGGTCAAAGATGAGTAATGAAGTTCAAAAATAGTTTAGCACTGTACATTTTATTGGCATATACTACGATAACCCTGAACAGCTAAAAGATCCAAATCAAGCAAGAGCAGCTCTTGGTTTTGCTGTTGGAAACTGTGAAAAGGATAAGATTAAGGCTTTCTTAGATAGTCACCCAAATTACAAATTTACTGAGCTTCCTGAAGTGCAAAGTCATTCTACGAGCTTCCCCTTCAAATCTTATTTTTCATTTAAAATAGTAAAAGATAAAATATATCCCAAAGTAAGAGACTTTGTATTTGAGAAAAAACTTAAATCATATTGTTTAATAGAGTCTTACTTATTTTAGGTTTAAAATAAAAAAATAAATTTTGATATCCCCATTGGAAATAATTCATAAAGCTACTTATTATTTTGATTGAATATAGTTAGAAGGTATATATATATAAATACTTCTACTAATACAAATATAATCAATCAAAGACTCTATATAATTATATATAGAATAGAATAGATCATTATTATATTTTTCATAAACTATTGATTAGTATAAACATATTTTATAAATACATTTATTTTGCTTATTTTTTTTTTGAATTTTATCATTAAAGTCTTATTATTTATAAAAATCTATTTTTAATAGTTTTCAAACTAACTTTGAAAATAAATAAATGGATTGAAAAATATAATCTGAATCCTTTTCAATAAATATAAATTTAGATAAAAAGTAGAATATATTTGAGATATTTATTATAAACTATATTTGTAAATTAAAGAAAATTTAATTTTTATTTTTTAATTTTAATATTTAGATATGAAAATATTATCAAAAAATGTTAAAGGTGTTTATAGTCTTTACTTTCTAATTAGTATGAATTTAACAATTTAATACATATATAAAGACGATTTTCTTTGATTGAAAAAGAAATAGAAATTATAGAGTTGTTTAGGAGATAAAAAATTTTCTTTTAAAATTATTTTATCTTAAAATATTACAATATTTATAATAAAATTTGTTTTGAATATCTTAAATATTTTTAAACTTTGATATTTAAAAATGAAAATATTTGAAGGCCTTTTTAGTCTTTTCTTTCTAATTAGTATGAATTTAACAATTTAAAAATTGTAAAGCCTATTTTCTTTTAGGTTTATCTTGAGTAAATAGAAACTATAGAGTAGTTTAGGGAGATATAAAATTTTATTTTAATCTTACTTTATCTTAAAGAAGAACCATTTATATAATAAAATTTGCTTTAAGAAAAAATGCTTAAGATACTAAAATATTTTTTAAAATAGATTTTCAATTAAAATATCTTTTTTATTTTATTTAAATTTTCTAGAAACTACTTTTGTAATCTTCTTTTTTTTTCTAAGAAATATTAAGCTTAAGATTTTGAATAAATAAAAATTAAGCGCAATTTTTTGATAATTTAGAGGAAAATACAAAATAATTATTTATTCTCTCGAATAGATATTTTAATTTATCAGAAATCATTCTTCTATATTTCTGTTATTCGCTTTAAAAATGAATAATAATTATTTATTAAAATATATAATAAATATTAATAAAAAACAATCAAAATAATTTAAATAGCATGATAATCCTTGGTTACTGGAATCTAAGAGGCTACGCTTAACCTATTCGTCTCCTTCTAGAATATTTGTAAGTAGATTATAAGGAAAAACTTTATAACTAAGATGGAGAAGAATGGTTAAATGTTGATAAATAATAACTTAAAACTAATTTCCCTAACTTACCTTATATAATTGATGGAGATATTGTTGTAACAGAATCAAAAGTTATTCCTATTTACTTGGCCAAGAAATTCAAAAATTATGAGCTTATTGGCTAAAATCCTGATGGGTCTTTTAATTTGAATGAAATTACATTCCTTTAAATCTTAGAAATTTTGAAAGAACTCAGAGATTCGTTATTGAATTCAGCAAAAGTACCATCTTTCAAAGAAGAAAAAGATTAAATTTTCAATGAAAAATTCAACATTACTTTTGAGGTATTTGAATACAATTTTTTTAATTTACTAAATATTTAATTATTATTATAAACATAGAAAATAAAGAAACAACTTGGAGAGAACAAATACCTGCTTGGAAATCTTTCATTTATAGATTTCTATTTTTATGAAGTTTTGAAATTTTTCTAATTCTTTTATCCAAAACTTTCAATCTTTACCGACTATATTGATAGAATAGAAAATATTCCTCAAATAAAAAACTATCTTGAAACAAAAGAAAACAAAATCTTTATTCTTGATAGAATGAAAAGCTATTTTTATTATTGAATAAGACTAAAACCTGCAATAAATTCATAATATTTATTTATTTATATTGGTAGTATTTTATAATATTAAAATTGAATAAAATCAAAATTTAAAATAAAATTCTCAAAGATTAAAAAATAAATGGATTATTTCATGAAATAATAAATTTTGAGATAAGTTTTTGTTACCAATAATTTCATAAATTTATTTTTTAAGTGTCTCTATATTTAATAAAGAATCTTAGAAGATTATAAAACTGAATGATTTACTTTTATTTAATGAATATTCATAATAATATAATGTTTGATGTTAAATTTATAACAATTATAAATGAAATTAATTTATTTATTCTAACTAAATAACATTTTAAGGATTCATTAATTAAGATATTCAGGCAAAATACAAAAATATTATTCTAAAAATCTTCTAAAATAAAACTCAATAAAATATTTTAATATTTTGAGAAAGAGTAATTATAAATATGCTCTATTAATAATTGAAAAAATGCTATTAATTAAATAAAAGTTTATTTATCAATATATAAAAAACGATTTCAATAAAGTGCCCTTTTTTAGTTTAAGTAATTTGACTTTTTGTTGTTAATAATGTTAATTGTTAGTATTTTTCTAAATAAATTTATTATTTAAGAGTGATGATGATAAATTTATTTTATAATAGAAAGCATGAAAGCATTAATTAATAGGATTTATTAGTTGGTGTTTGTTATTTACTTGTTTTAATATTTAAAAAATCTGTTTTAATTAATTAATATTCAATAATCACAATTTTTAATAACAATTACATTCACAAATTAAGTTTCGAAACTAATTTTTTTTATAATTTGTTTGTAAATTTTGTATTTTAAATAAATTATTTAGAAAATAATTATTCAAAAATCAATTAATTGTTTTGCTATTTCAGCTAAGCAAATATGATTTGGAAAATTCAAATCATTTAATAATTTTTATTATTTTATGCAATTTTTATACTGAGAATCGTATCAAGTTATTTATTGATTGAAGAAGAGTATTTTAAATACTAACTTTTTTTAATAACTACCACAAAATATTATTTAAATGTATAAATTATATTTAAAACCAAAATTAATTTCTATTTTTGTTTTTTAAATTTTGTAATTTATGGCGGTGATTTTTGTATATTAGTAAAATTTTTATGAATACCTTTTTTTACTATTTTAATTGCTAAATATTGATCAATTTCGTGTAACTTAGAATTTATCAGCTAAGATACAAAGTATTATAAAATTCTTCTGAATTTGTTTTTCAAATTAGATTGGGACTCTATTTTATCTTTTTTATCTTTAAAAGTCATAAATAATTTTCAATAATCTGATAATAAATTATTAATAAACTTGCTAATATTAAAAGAGAAGAATTAAAGATTATAGAAAATAACTACTAAATGAATATTTTGAATAATAAACTTAAATTAGCTTGCGCAATAGGTGCAGGAATTGCTGGGTTAATATCTGGATTCTATTGGTATCATGGAGCTTTTTCTAATGTCGATATTAAAGAATAGAAGTATGGTCCATGTGATTTCATCTACTTCAATAGAATTGGCAGTTATCAAACAATAGGTACTGAATGGATGAAGCTTGAGAAAGATGCCCATAAATATTTTACTAATGTACAGTTTATTGGTATTTACTATGATAACCCTAAACTACTTGATGATCCAAATCAAGCTCGAGTTGCTCTTGGATTTTCAGTAGGAAATAGAGAAAAAGATAAGATAAAGATTTTTTTAGATAATAACCCAAACTATAAATTTGTTTAGCTTCCTGAAGTACAAAGCTACTCCACTAGTTTCTCCTACAAATCTTCATTCTCATTTAAAATAGTAAAAGAAAAAATATATCCTAAAATCACTGGATATGCTTTGGAGAAAAATTTATCATCGTTTTGCTTGGTTGAGACATATTTATTTTAGGAATAAAGCAAGAAAATTAATTTTGATATCCCATTAGGAGAAAATTCTGAGAGTTACTTCTTATTTTGATTCTATAAAATTTTATTAAAATGTTTGTTCTTGCTTGATAGCATCAATATTAATTAAACTTAATATTATCATGTACCATTAAAACCTTTTAAATTTCAAAAATATTTTTGCTTACTTTTAACTATTTTAAATTATTTGAAGACATTTTATTAAATTTTTACTTATTTTTAGCCATTTTATTTCTACCTAAATTTTTTTATTTAATCTTCATTATTTATGATATTTGCTTTCACATAAAAATTAATTTATCACTCAAAAACTCAAAAATTTAAAGATTAATCACGTATTTTATGAAAAGTTTCAATTAATTTTATTTATTATTCAAGAAAATATTTGAAATTTACAAGATTTGAATATCCATCAATCCTACTCCCATTTTAAGTTATTTTCTTTTATTCACTATTTATTTATTTGTTTTTTATCTTCGAATTTTCTTCAACTTTAGATTATGAAAAGTTTGATTATTAAAAATAAACTAATTTGATTGAAATTTAGATGTAAGCGAAAATATTTAATTAATAAGGTATTTATTTATCTAATCTGGGAGGTTATACTAAGTTTATTTATTTATTTATTTACTTTTTCAACATTTACTAGGAAATTAAAATAAATTTAATAGAGTTTAACTAAAATAAATGAAAAATCAATTTATTATCTTTATAAATAACTTTAAATTGCCTGTTTTTTTAACTATTATCAAGTACACATTCAGTATTTAAATATAATATTTAGAGATTAAATTATTGTTTTTGTATTCCAAAATCTAATTATTTTTATTTAGGTTTTAATATTCTTTATTAAACGCATAGTATAAATGATTATATTCTATTTTTTTAACAAAAAGTAAATCTTAATTTTTATAAAACTAAAGTTAAAATTAAATACATATTCATAAATAAATAATGTATTTCTTCTAATAAATTTTACCAATTATATATGCACTAGAAATAAACATTTTTATTGAAATTATTTACTTGCTCACTACAGTATTTAATATTGAATGCAAATCGATCGAGGAATTATGGTAAATTTTTTTAAATTAAACAATCAAAAATTAGTGACTATATCTAAAATTAAAGGAGAAGAATGTAATTCTCAGAATTTGTAAGTAAGTAAGAATTACTATGAAAACCAACTTAAAATTAATAATTTACCACTAATTTAAAACTGTAAATAGATATTTATTCGATGACAATTTCTAAAATTTATTATTTGATGTAAGAATTGTTCTAAGAAAGATTATAGAAATTAGCTTTTTGAATAAAATTCAATAAAATAAAACAAAGAACATTTATTAATTTAGAAGCTAAATTAATTTCAAAAATAATTTAAGTTTGATTTTCTTAAAGTTGTTTAAAAAAAATATTTAATCATAAAATCTTAAAATATAATTTTAAAAAAAAGAATAAATTTTTGAATTGTGCTTTAAATATTATTTTACTTAAAAATATTATATTGTTCTTTTCTTTTTCTAAGAAATAACTGATATTAGTATTTTATCATAAAAAATACAGGATTTCAAATCAAAACTTTTATTTTTAATAATTTATCAGAAATAAATCTGAAGGAATTCTTATTATATTTTGTATTAAATTAATTCTTCTGATATATTTTAACAGATAGTTTTCTGAAATTTGTCTTTAAATTAAGGGAAAAGTTTAATAATTTAAAAAGAATAATTTAAAAAAACATTTATAATAGTAATAAAAAACTAAATGATAATACTTGGATATTGGAACTTAAGAGGTTACGGATAATCTATCCGCTTGCTGCTTGAATATTTGTAAGTGGAATATTAGGATAAACTTTATCATGAGAATGGAGAGGAGTGGTTTGGTACAGATAAGAAAAATCTCAATACAAACTTCCCTAATTTACCCTATGTTATAGATGGAGATGTAGTTGTGACAGAATCTAAAGTTATTCCTATCTATATTATTAAGAAGTTCAAGAGATTTGATCTTATTGGATAGAATGTTGATGGTTCTTATAATTAGAATGAAATTACTTATCTACAACTTTAGGAGATTTTAAAGGAATTATTAGATAAACTTGAAGCTTAAGCGAGAATCCCCTCATTCAAAGAAGAGAAAGAAAAGATTTTCAATGAACAATTTAATATTACGTTTGAAGTAAAAAATTTTTATTTTTGTTTTTATTCAATCATAGAAAAATTATTTTAAATTTTATCATAATAATAGAAAATTAAGAAATAACTTGGAAATCAAGAATATCTATTAGGTAATCTTACATACGTAGATCTTTACTTTTACGAAGTTTTAAGAAATTTCTAATTATTTTATCCTAAAATCTAAATTTTTACTGAGTACCTGAAAAGAATTGAGAATATTCCTCAAATCAAGGAATACATTCAAACTAAAGAAAACAAAACATTCATTTTTGATTCCATGAAAGATAAATATTATTACTGATAACAAGTCCTCAATTATTAAAATGTATTTATATATTGTATTTAATATGTAGGATCTTTCAAAGTAATTTTTTTAATGATTTTTAAAAATACTTTATTTAAATTAAACAAATTCAATTAAATTAATTTTTTTTGTTGAAATAAAATAATTCTTTTCATTTTTTTTCAAACTTAAATGCAAACAAGAAATATTGTTAAAAAAATCAGTTTTATATTTTGTTAATTGATAAAAAAAAAAATATTTATAAGTTAAATAATTTATTTTCAAAAGAATTACAATTTTTATAGAAACATTTTTTTAGCTAGCTAGATAGCTATGTTTTTAAAACAAAATAAACACAAAAAAGTTATCAATTAACATGATTAAATATTAATCTTTTTAATATTTGTATTTAAATTATTTCAATAAAATTATATTTTCAAGAAATTATACAAATTATTACATATTTATTTGCTTTTATTTATTATATGATAGTTTTAAATGTTAATTTTTACAATATAATAACTGTATAGTTTTGCACAAAACAAAAAATATTTTATTATTTTTAAAATACAAAAATATTTGAATAAAAGTAGACTAAATTTTAATGATATAATCAAATTGATATCTTTGATCTTATTAATCTTTTTAATTTAAAAATCTTTTAAATTAATTTTTATCTGACTAACTTTATTTTATTTGCCCTATTTATAAAGTTTATTAGAAATATTTTAAATCATAAAAAATTTACAAAAAATCTATTTCTAATTTTCTTAATTGATTGCATTACTGTAGCTAATGTCCTAAAATAGCTATACCCATATCACCAATATTATTTGAGCTTAAATTATTTTTTTTATTTTAGTGGAAACTCAAGTAAAATTAAAAATTTTAAAAAGTTTTATTTTATATTTGATATAATTAAAAAAATTACAATAAATCAATTTTTAAATTTTAAATAACTGAGCACTAATTTAAGCTTTTACTCAAATCAATTAAGCCTTCATCATTTATGCAATTACAACTAATTAAAATTAAAAAGTTTAATCAAAAATTAATTCTTTTTGTATAATAAATGTATGATGAGTTAATTTTGGAAAGTAATTCAAAATATAAATTTACTTGAGAATCAGAGTTAGATTTCTCAGTTTTTTTAATTTACTTAGTGTAAACCCTATTTATGACATAGCTTTATCATTTAAATCATTAGAACTATTTAAAAATCATCAGATTAATTACAAATTAAAACTATTAATTATAAACTTAAATTTTTCTTTTTTTACGATAAAATAAGTTCTATTGTTGCCAAATCGAGGCACTAGCTGATACCATTAGCGATTTCAAAAGCTCCAGATTCATTAATTTAATTTTATCTAAAATAAATTATTATAAATTATGGTTAATTATAATAGAAATATTACTTACTCAAATTTTAATTATAACTCTTGTAAATTCATATAATTTCCTATTGCTTTCCCAAAGCATGGTGTTCCCAATTCTCTAATCTGATTGTTGCTAAATTGTTAATTTTATATTCAAAAATTAAAATAAATTTGAATAATATTTAAAAATTTAATTAAAGAGTACTTTAAATTCAAACTAAAAACTAACAGCTACTAATTAATATTAACAAATCCTTTACTAAATTCTTTAATTATCTTGTCATTTATTTTATTTAGAGTTCTAATTTCAGTAAAATAATTATTTTAATTAATGAAATTTTAATTATTCTATACAAAAGAGAAAGTTTTAAAGATATAAGATTAATATTATTTGCCAAACCAACTCCTAATCCAAAAGCTCCTTTTTCAAATATTTCATTATTTCTTATTATAAAAAAAATTAATAAAAACAAAATATAATTATAACTAAACTGAATAAATAAAATCAAATTCTTTTTAGCATGTGCTTTGAGTTAAGAGCGCATGAAATATAGCTAAGTACTAATAAATTAACTAGTATTTTAGTGGATATTTTGTATTAAAATTTTTAAAAAAATTTTCTATTGAAAATATTAATTTTAAGTCTTTAGACTGAAAATTGACAAAATAATAAAGTGACCTTAATTATTGAAAATTTATATTATATAAATATGAATTTAAACTTTTTTTACCTCAAATCCAGATCTAAAATTTAAAGATTTTTGCAATTTCCTAATTTTTAACCTAAATTAAAAATGTTTTCATCATTAATCGTATTTCCTCTTTTAAAAATTAAAATGAATTTTAAATTTAATTTATGAATTCATAAATATTAACTAAAATTTTGCTTAAATTAAAAAAACTTTTTAACATATTTTGTTGATTAAATAAGTATTTAAGTAAGATTACTTTCCATCTAGAACAAGTGTTAAATTTTAAAGATTAGTTATTTATTGCAAAGCATCAGCTAAACCAGATACTCCATTACTTTAAATTTGATTTTATCTTATAAATTATTTTAATTTAAACATAATTTATTTTTCTGTTTTAATTAATTAAGACTAATTTTTACGAAAAATATAAGCTGAGAGTTGTTATAGATAGACACTTAGTTAGCCCCAAGCTTAAACTGGATAAACCATTATCTTTAATTAAATTCTAACTTTTTTAAAGATTTTAATATATTTTGATTAATTTTTAAAAATGAAATAATTTAATAATTAATTAATCCTTATGGATCCTAAAAAAGAGAAATTAAAACCATATTTTAATAGACAAAGATTTTAATTTGAAGCATTTTCCTATCTCTTTTCCTAAATTAAAAGCTCCGTTTTCATCAATATTATTCTAACTAATTTAAATATAATCAAATTTAATTAATTATCTAATGAACATTTTTTATTTAATCATTACTCAAATTAAAGGTATAAATGCTAAAGGTTTATACATTTTCCTAAGCATATTGCTAGATTTGATACTCCAGTCAAACATAGTTTGTTGCATCTTAGCAAATAAAACAAATTAAATAATTAATTATTTAGATTTCAATTTTTAGCAAAGTACTTAAAATTGAGAAATAAATTCTAGAGGTTGGCGTATTTAACTAATTAGTCTGCAGTTTGATTTGATTCTTTTACACCAAAATTTTCTTTACTTTAAAATTTACAAAAGTTTATTTAAATAATAAAATTAATCTGTTTAATATTTAAAAAAGTTTTAAGGAAGAGAAAAGAGTTTTACAAAAGGTTCAATTGAAGATCTTTGATCTGAAAAGATTAACAAGTTAGAAACTATTTTATTTTTTAAATTAAATAATAATTGGCTATATTTATAAAAAATATAATTACATTTCTTAAATCATAAAATACTTGAGTCTGCTACATAATATTTTTTTAAAAGGTGCGATTTACTTAAATAATTAAACTTATAATAATTAATTTAAAAATAATTCAATAGTTAACTGATTATGTTAACTCTTTTTTTTAATGATTTTTAAATAAATTAAATAAAGTTAGCTTTAAATCTTATTTTATGGTAAGAACAATTATCAAAATCTCTAACTATGACTTAGTAATTCTTTAAAGATTACTCAATATCAGACTATCTCTGAGAAATTTTTCTTCTTCACCCTCGATTAGATTAAGATTCTAAAGTATTTTTTTAATATTTATTTCACTTGAATAAAAAAAAATTAAATTCAATATATTTTTTACTTTTTCTTTCTAATAAATTAAATATTTGGAATAATTTATTTTGTGGCAATTGCTTCGAATGTCTTTTTTTATTTTAACCATTTAGTTTTTTTGATGCAAAATATACTGCTTTAATAAATTTTTGCTAAAGGAATATATTTGTAAAATTTAATAAATATTTGTATTAAAAATTTTACAAATGTGCTTTCATAATTATGAGAAGAATAAATTATTTCATTTCTTTTTTTTATAATTATAAAACTATTTCAAAATTAATCTATTTGCTATTTTTTTTCTTTCAAACATTACTAAAAAAATCTAAATAAATAAATATTTATCATAATTAAAATGAAATTTAGATCTAAAATTCATTTAAAAGCAAATCTCCAATTTAAATTCGTAATAATAATTATAATACAATAGTGTTTTAAAGTAAATTTAAAAATATATTTTTTGCAATTTGAAAGCTAAAAATTTCTATAAAAAAATATAAATAATAATTGAAAGATTGATAAAAAAAATATTCTGTCTTTTAAAGAAAATATTTTTGGTAAAAAAATAAGAAATAATTATTTAATTTTCCATTAAAAAATAGATTTTTATGTGAAAAATTTGTTAATGAAAAGTAAAAAAATATTTTTCTTAAACATCCGAAGATAAAATCAAGTGCTCTGTATAAAGGTTTTTTTTTATAAAACTTTTTAATTAAAAAATAATACATTGAGTAATAAATAGATTTTTATGTTTTTAGATTGTGGAGCTCTTTAATAGATTATTAAATAATTATTAAAAAATTGAAAATTTTATTAAGGGAAAATAAAAATTCATTTGTATAACATTATTTAAAGAAAATTGATTTAATTGTGTGTCAATTTTTCATAGCTGATTGTTTTTAAATAAAATAAGTCTAACTTTAAAAATAAATAACATACAATTCATGTTGCGTAAATTTTTTAAATTGCAAATGTATAAACTTAATAATTTTTTATTTAAAATGAAAAAATACATACTATAATTCTTTCAAACAAATAAATATGAGAATAGATAAAATTATAATCATTGTATAATCTATTGAGTACGTTAGGTATTTTATTATAATCTTTTTTTTAAGGTTTTGGTAGAAAATAATAAATGTTCTATTAAACTTCTATTTATGAATTTGAAGGAATTCGAAGCAATTAAAAAATAGAAATTGAGTTGATATTAGGAATAAATAAGAATATAATTAGAAAATAATTAAGTTTTGATTACGTATTAACATAGAAAATAAATATTTAGTTATATTATATAATAAATTTTATATTAGTGATTTGTATAATTAAGAATGAATTTACATAAGCTAGTCCTTAAACTAGCATTTTGAGTAGATTATTATTTATTTTTTTAATGGATTAAATTATTTAAAGAATTTTTTAGTTAGATTTGTCATTTTATGTTTGATTCACTAACACTACTTTTCTTTTAGATTGGATTTTAATCTAAGTCTTTATGGCTGACAAATTTTACTTTAGACTTCTTTTTTTCAGAGAAAGTTTAATTCAAACCTTTTTTAGCTCCTTTGAGTAAAATAGAGTGGAGATGATGATTTTAAGAAATTACTAAATCAGGGACATCAATTGATTACTAGTTCTTTATTTTTTAACTTTCTTTTACGGGAGAATTTCCTATTGTTTTTTTTTCTTCTATTTCTTTCTTTGTATTTTCTTTGATTACTTCGTCATAATTAATATTCATTTCGATTGGAGGAAGAAGTTTCTTTTTGGCTGGAGGAAGAGAAAAGAAAACAACATTTTACTACTGTTTTGAACTTACAGGCTGCTATATCTAAGTTGTATACTTTTCATCGCAACAAGATTCATTATTAATTTAGAGTACACTTTAAGGATTTGATTGTCCATCTTTTTCTTGTTATGTGATCAATATTTTATTTTCAGCTAATTAAGAGTTATTTAGCGAGGATTTTCTATTTGTTTGCTATTACTGATTAGTTTATTGATCGTTTTTAATGTCTATTTTTTAAATAGGCAAGGTTTTTACTTTTGGTTTTGTTAAATAATCAAATAATTTTTTTATTTTATAAAATACGCCCTCATTTTATTTTGTTTCATTTTTCTTTTATTAAATTTTTTGAGGTTAGCTTTTTGACAAATTTTATGTAGGAATAACTTTATTTGACTTTTTAATAGGCAAGTTCTTATTATCTAATTTGAAAAAGTCTTATTCTACTTCAACTCTCAAACATGGTAGCAGGTAGTGAACAATAATGACTAAAATCCAATTAAGACAGAATGAAAAAATAGCTAACAAAGTAAAAATTAGTAGGAGACAGAACTGATCAACAGGGAAATAAGGTCTTTCTTTGAAAATGACTTAAACAAAGCTTTCACTCTTTTTACAATAATCAGAGGAGTTTTAATTATCTAAATATAGAGAATCGACTCCATAAAAATTAAAATAACATGTCTCAACATCGACTTTTGGTTTATTTTAAGATCCATTCCCTTTTATATCAGTTTGGTAGTCAGTAAAAGGCTAGCACATCCAAGAGGGCATTTTGATGGTTGAAATATCCTCTTCTTCTTTCATTGTTTATTCATTCAAAGCAGTCATTTCTTCATTACTCACATAGCGAAAAGGCTCAATTTTTGTTTAGTATATACTCTCTTCGTATTTATCACTGCCACAACCGCATCCCTAAAAAGTTTATCCATTGTAATTGAACTAGACAGTTAAGACCTGAAAATTTTCTAAGTAAGAACCATCCTTAAGGACTGCCCTGCTGTCCTTGATTATTTTACAGTTTTAACCTTCATTGAACATCTATTTAAATGTAGGATTATAAATATAAAAATAAACTCCTAAAAAGACTGAAAGCAAAACTGCCAAGAGTATAAACTAAATAAGCCAGTGGTATCTAGGATTTGTCAAAGTTTTTTTAATGAAGATTATCTGAATAAAAGAGTAAATTAAGCAAATAGGACTTAGATAAATGCCATATTTAAAGTTAGTGTTGACTTTAGCATACAGTATACTAAGCGTGGTCAAAGCTAAAATGAACTAAATCAAATGGCATAAATACAAGACCTTCTTATTCTAGTAAAATTTAACTCTGTAGATAATGTTCCACTTTTTAAAAAAGACAAGTTCAACTTGCTCCTTGCTATTGCTTGGCTAAAAACCCATCTTAATCATTTTGTTTTATCGTGTTTACTTACTTATTTTAATAATTATTAATTTTAATTGTGATTTTTAATTTATAAATTGAATGAAAATTTTTATGAGGAAATCGATATTTATTTGTTACAAAGATAAAAAGTATTTGAATAAATCAATTTATAAATTATAAAATTATCCAACTTTATTAATTTACCGAATACATTACACACTAAATAGCTAATCGATGGTTGATCAATTTCGAGATATTCTTTGAAATAATAATAAATATCATGATTAAATTAATTACGATTCGTAGCAAACTAAATCTATCATTCTAAAATTCCGTCAGTCTTGATGTAAACTAAATTTCTAGCTATTTTAGTAATAAATAATTTTTTATAATATTACAAATTTTCTTTTTTCACCTTTTCCTTATATTTTTTAACTTACTTACTTAACAAAGAATTACCAAAAAAATCAATCAATATATTTCATAATTACTTGTATGGATATTATAACCACATTTTATAAATACAAATAAATTTAGTGGTTCACAACTCAAAATCTATCAAAAAAATTATTAATTTTTTTTTCATAAAAAATTTTTGCAAAATTATAAAAGTGATATGTAATTAATTTAGTATTTTACAACGGTTTTATATTAATTAAAACGTAACTCGAATATATTTTCAAATTAGACTAGATTCTAAATACTTTTTTAAAATAATCTGTAAATAAGTTAAGATTTCAAAAATATAAATTGCTATTACAAAAATTAATGTTTATGATAGTATTTAGTTAGTTAGTTATTTACCATGTTTTACACAATATTTTAAGAAATTTGAGATTATCTTGAATTTTATTGTTAAGAGCTATTTTATAATTTAAATATTGAATGGTTTATCAAAAATGATTACAATACATATTAATTATAAGTTCTTCTATTTTTATAAAAATGAAGTTCTTTTACTAATCTACTTCGAAATTGCAATTTTGCATTGATAGATTTCAAAATTTTAGATCAAATTAAATCTAACAAATAACTAAAATATCTTAACAAAGATTTATAAAGATAATTTCTGAAACTTAATAATAAGTTTCACTTATTAAACTAATTTTCTTCTAGAAATCAAAAATTTTCACGTCTCAAGTCTCGAATTTCAAAATAAATGAAACCTTTGTATTAATTAACACAATCATACAAAGTCCTTATTTAAAAATAATTATTTAATTTTTACGAATAATTATATTGTTAAAAATTTCAAATTGATCTTTTATCTTGTTTATTTATTGTCATAAATAAGTTAAAAAATATTTTACAAAAGAATGTGAACTTATATTTACACTAACTAAGTGTAAAAGTTGCTTATTAGCTAAACATATTTGCCAAATTTTGAAATATGTTTGAATCATTAAATTAGCTATTAAATCTAACTTGATAAACTTCAAGATTATTTAGACTGCTTATTTTTTTGATTATTAAAACAAAATTAATTGGTCATAAATTATAAGAAAAAATTTCAAGTCAAAAAAAAATTTATTGGTCAAAAAATGAAAAATTATGCTTTTATTTTCTTTCCTGTGTAAATTATGGAAAATAATGCTAAGTAAAATCAATGCACCAGCCTCTGGATAAAATTAAATATAGTTTCAAAAATAATATTAAAAAAAATCCTGATATTTCCAATATTTTCTTGATACATTTATCTTTCAATTCCTACTTTAAATAAATAAAATATTCAATCATTAATTATTTTAACAATAGAGTTTCTTCATTACTACAATTAATTAATTTATAATTGAGGAAAGAATAATTATAAATTTATTTTTCAATCATGAAAAAATATAAATTGTATAATTTGTTTGAATCTAAAGTTTTAAGAAATAAGTTTTACAATAATCACAAATATATTCTATAAATTTACTTTTAATTTTAATTGCTTATTTGATTTATTTAAATAGGTATAGTTTATTTTTATCTAAAATAATATATTTACAAATTATAATATTAAATATTATTTTTTTAGAGAAATTTGGGATTAATAGAATGCAAAAAAAAAATGTTAACTCAGTAATTATTGTAAATATGTAATTAGGGCATAAATTATTTTTTATTATCTCAAGAGCTAAATAATCTAAAAATATTAATACACCTTAAATTAATTAACTAAAATAATAATAAAAAATAATGTAATTAGAATTATTTTTACTTATCCAATAAAAAATATAAATTTTAAAATGAATTAAATAAATGTATTAATAAATAATATTTGGAATTTCTATTAATATGTGCACTAAGAAATAATTATCTTGCGATAATATTATTACTATTCTTCAATAAATAATAGCATATTATTCTACTAAAGTATTTTTTGTATAATTATTAATTATTAAAGTTATAATGAACATTAATATACAAATTATGATATCAAATAATTAACGGCTAAAAAATCTACAATAAAATAACTAATATTATTTTTAACCAAAAATATCCCCAAATATAATTAAAATATTATTTTTAAATTTTTTTAATACTTCTAATTTTATCAATGTAAGCATCGAATAAACTTTGTGTTTATAATTAATATTCGGACTTATTATGTTTAAAAAATTACTAAAACAGGAAAATATTGTTACTTAATGAGTAGAAATAGAATAAATCATAATCAATTTTAAAAATATGTCACTTAATTATTAATTTTGATATATGATTGACCTATAGAAGAGTTTTAATCTATTTATTAGATTAACTTTAGTTTTTGAATTGTTAGAATTAAGGCATCCAAAATTTATATGATCAATTTACTAAATTTTCCTCCATAAAATAAAACATGCTTTTGAAGTAAAAATCATAAAATATTATTTTATTTCTTGCATTGAAATGAATGTCCATTATTTTATATAAATAAAATGAAATCTTAGCTACACAAATCTAGTAAATAAAATGAAGGAAATTAGACTAAACAAACATAAGCACTTGGTTAAATAAAGGAAAGAATTTCAACAACAACATCTTAATAATATCTTAAAGTTATTCAACAAAAAATAATTTATTTTTTAACTTAAAATAGAATTTAAAATAATAAATTATTTATTTTTTGTATAAAAAAATTGCTACTAAAATTACATGTAATGGCATTATTATTATTTTTGTAATATTGCTTATCAGTCGTAAAGCTTATTAAGGTGAATTAAGGAAATGAATTGAAACGAACTATCCTTCGATTAAATCAAAAAAGACCACTAAATTAAATGCGATTTGAAGCAATTTGATAAATAAAGCATTAATATCATACTATTTAATAATCTGTGATCTGTGTTGACAGTATAAGATACAAAATTTCTTTTAATTAAAAATAGAATCGGATTTAATAAGTAATTAATAGATTTAAGTTCGAGGTCAAATGTCTTCAAATCAAATAAATTCATAAAGTCTTAATTAAATTAATATAGTTAAGATATCAAATTATATTAAGGAAAACGCTAAGAATATACCTCCAGCATGCTTAACTAAAATATCTCAAAAACGATCATTTTAAAAAAGTAAAATGCTGGTATTCAATATTCAAATTAATGAATGTTTAAAATATTTCATTGATTTGCTAATTCTCAAATATCAAGATTAATAATAATGTAAATTTGTTTTTATCTATATTTTTAATCTAACAAAAATAGAGTAAATTTTATCCGTTGCTTTTTCTTTTAAAACTTTAAAACGTTAGTTTTTGAATTAAAAAAGTATCTTTTAATTCAAATAAAAACGTAAATATTTTTTAATCAGTGTTTATTTTTCTTTGCCCTTCCTTAGGCAATTAAATGCTCTGAGCAAATTAGATATTTCATAATTAATTAATCAAAATAAAATTTTATTTGTTAATTAAAAATATGAGTAAATATATTTAAGTCATATTAATATTAGGAATATTCCTTAGCACTTGCTCTAGTTAAACAGTAGTTGTTACAGATTTTACAATCTCTTCTGGCAACAGCGTACCATACATAAAAACCTTTTAAAATTAATGGAATAATGAATTGGAATTTGCTGTCTATGGCTGGATTAGAGTAGCTGCTTGGGTTAACAACGAAATCTAAGTCTTCCGTTTATCTGCTAATCAAGATATTAATTCTAATACCCTTGGAGATAGAGTCTTGAAGTCTTTTGTTTAAGACAACAAAGTTATGTTTGAAACATATGATTCTTAGAATTGGGATCCTAAAGTTCAACATGGATATCTCAACTAAGGCGATAACTTCGGATAATGGTTCTTTATCTACTAAGGATACAATCCAAAAACTTATAAGACATACGGATGGGTTCAAAACGCTGCTGGTTAAGGACAAGGAGGATATTGCAACAACTATGCAAGACATACTCCTTCTAACTTTTATTAAGTCATTGTTGGTCCTAATTAAGGAGTTACTGGTGGCGACAGAGTTGATGTCAAGATTCTTTGGATTTAAGCTGGTAGTGGTGCTTACAGAGAAAGTAACTTTGATTTGAGAGATTCTAATCCTACCGTTGCTCCTGTTACTCCCACAACTCCTACCACTCCTGTTACTCCCACTACTCCCACTACTCCTACCACTCCTACAACTCCCACTACTCCTACAACCCCAACAAAGCCAAGTTAACCCACTACTCCTTCTATTCCAGATGTTAAATGCCCAACTGTTTATTCAGAGTGTAACTTTAAAGGACAATCAGTAAGTTTATGCAACGGTATACCTGCTTTGAAGATTCCTTAGATAAGAAGTGTTGTTATTCCTGCTGGTTACAACAAAATTACTCTTCATAACCTTAAAAACTATTAAGGTAAATCTGTTGTTTTTGACAAAACAGATGCTTGTATTGATGATTCAAAAGTTTAATTTAGCATGTACGAAAAGAAAAATAGCTTAAAATAAAACATGCAAAAATCAAGAAATATGAAAAATAAACTTCATTTCTGATTGAAAAAGAAAAACAAGAATTTTGCATAAAATTATGAAAATAAATTTTAAATTTGTAGAAAGCTAGATTGATTGATTGATTAATTTATTGATCGATTTATATATTTTTTTATGTTCTGACAATTATAAATAATATTTTTTTTTCAATCTTTTTATAAATTGATCTTCAAATAAAAATGTTATTTTGACATAATTTCATAAATGAATAATAATCATATTTTTTATAATAATTATTAGATTTTTTTTAAATTGATATTCCTTCCTTACTTTTTCATTAATAAAGCCAAAATGATATTTTTCGCATTAGGTAGGGAGGGATAGATAATACAAATTGCATTGCTATTTTTAAAATAATTTCATAAATTTAAAAAAACATAATTAATTAATTAAAAAATCAATTATTAATAATTAATTTAATTTAAAGTATTTTTTTTAAATTTTTAATAATTCATACGAAAAATATGAATAATAATTTTATTAAAAAGCAGAATCACATAAATTAATTTTTAAAGTAGCATTATATTTTTATAAAGAATAGTAATTAAATCTTTATTTTAGAGCTTAAGTTAATAAGAATTATTATATCAGAAATAGTCAAAAGAATCTATTTTAGCTGAGGAAAAAAGTTAAAATTAGTTTTTTGATAAGCAGTAATAAGAATAATTATATCAGAAATAGTCAAAAGAATCAATATTAATTTTTTGATAAGCAGACTAAGCAATATGGATTTTTAATTAATATGATGATTATGTTTATTTGATATTTTTGTTACAAATAATCATTCAAATACAATTACTAATTCAAATATATATTGTTTTTTTTGATAAAAAAATTAACATCGCCTTTGATTTAAAAAATCTAAAAAAAGATGAAAGATCTGAATAAAAAAGTTAGGTGCAAATATGAAGAATACCTTAAATAAAGTTAATATGAATTGACAAAAAACCCTTCTCTTCTAAAAGAATAAAACTTTTAACCTGAAACTTTATCTTTTCAAAAGGCTGAAATATTTAAATCGAATAATAAACACTTATTAGGACGCGGATGCATTTCTATGCCAACATATTTTTATGAAAATGAATCAAAGGATATTATAATAAAAGATTAGCAAATCAATTTATTAAATTGCATATATTCTTATTTTATTGGCACAGACTTATTTGGTTAATAATATATAAACATTTCTCTATTAGATTTGAAGAATGATTTAAAGATTTTAGCAAGCTACTAAAATATCTGCAATTTCAATAAATCATATTATACTATATATTAAATTAAATCTGTAATTGTAGGAAATAAATACATCTTGATAACTTTAACATCCCCAATTTATATGGGTTTCTATTTATTAAATTTAGATTTAAAATTACTTATGTAATATTAAATTGATAGCATATTTCATACTTCATCTGGATTAGATAATATTAAGTACTAAGATGGTGATTTTGATAATTTTGAAAGTTATATAGATTATTATGAAGATGAAATCATTTATTATCAACACCAATACTTACTTTTGAAGATAGATATAAGTTAGAAGCAAGTAACTTAAAGATTATTTGAAGAAAAATTCAATTTTTTACTAAGACTTCTTCCTATTACAAATAGTGAATTCAATTATTATTTTAAAGACTGTGATAAGGAGAACCTAATCGGTTATGAAAATGATAAATAAGATAAATTAATTCTGTTTTCAGTAATAGATAATATAATTTATTAGCTAAATGCATTTAATCTTAAAATAATAAGAAAAACAAAATTTAATTTTGAGATAAATACTGTTTACCAAGGTCATTATAAAGTACAAGTCTGTGTTTTACCAATTTAAATCGAGAATAGATAAAAGAAAGAATTTTCAAATTGGACATTTTTATTTAATTAAGAAGGTAAAGTAATTCGTTTAGTAGATTGGAAAGAATAAAATTTGTTTCATAAATAAAAATTGAAAATAAAAGATGAATTAAACAATCTAAATTAGTAATTAAAATAAAGGTTTGTTGAGAAAATATTTGTTTTAAAAAATAAGACATTTATTTAATTGAGGAATATTTACCGATTTTAATCTGACATGGTAACTTGTTAGTTAAATATATGCAAGAAAAAAGGAGATAAAAATTACGAATATAGTTTCACATAAATTTATGAAGATAAAAATTAAATATCATAACATTTAAGAATTTTATAATAATTTCCACCTTTACTCAAAGATGACTGCATTACTTATCCATGCTTCATTCGTAGTGATAATTAAGATTTTATAGGTTTTTTCTAGAAGAATAAAAAACAATCTTTTTATCTTGAAGAATTAATTTAATCTAATGACTAAAAAGCCTAATAAAACATGAACTCAGAGTTAATTATTTTCTAATGGAGTGATCGCTTTACTCTCCATGAATTGAATTAAAATTAAGTTATAAAATAAAATCTTGAGTTTCAATTCTATTTTTAAGATGAATATAATTAAATGGATAAGAATAGCATATTATTATACCATTACAATAAATTTAAGTTTGAAATGATAATAATTCGCAAAATTTCAATTAATTACATGGAATACTATTACAGTTTAAATGTAATTATGCCCACAAAATAAAAAGATTCAAATATAAACGATATTGAGTCTCTCAAAACTTAAATTTTGTGCTTTTCTAAATTTGAAACAGACTCCGAAAATAATATTTATATACCTATAGTTTATTTAGAAAGCGAAAACAAATTATTTGGAGTGTATAATTTCAGCATTAAATAAATGATAAAAGAATCAGTTCGCTTATCTGATTACACTAAGAACATAGTTTCTACTTTTGATAAAGAAACTAAACAATTTATCCTGATCTTTAATAATTAGATTTGCAATCAAAATTACATTGCCTTTTATTCGTTTGATTTGGTTAAACTTAAATATAAGTTTATAAATATGCATAAAGTTAACTATACTTTATAAAATAGTATATTGTAAAGTAAAAGACATACATTAGTACTTCTAAATAATGGTAGCTAGATAGTTAAGTTTGATAGAAATAAGAAATTTGAAGTGAAAAAAGTAATTAATCTCCAATATCTACAACCATTCTAAGATGCTAGACTTAAAGAATACTTTATTTACATAAATGGTAAATTATCTAATAATATTTTATACAAAGGAGAATATCACTATTACTAGTATATACACTCAGACTATGTTACGAAACAAGTAATCCTTTCAGTTTTAAATCAAAAAAACTAAACTTTAGAATTTTTCAACCTTAAATATGACAAATAATCTAAAGAATAGGCTGATAATTAAAATAGTTATTCATAGAACATTCCTAATGTTTGTTAGCTAGATAATGGAGAAATAATAATTTTTATTGAACATAGAATTTTTATGCTAAAGAATAGCTATGAATGAACTAAATGTTGATTAAAAGAAACTTTTGTCAAAAAAATATTTACTTAATTCAGTTGATAAGTCATTTTTTTTTAAAATAAACATTTCTATTCGTAATAAAAAGAGATCAGATTTGATACTTTGGTTTTAAAATCTTTGACTAATGGCAAAAACAATTACATAAATTGAACTACTCTTTAAAAAAAAATAAAGTATCATATTGATATTAAATTATATAAAATTATGTATTAATATTTATGTTTTTTTTATTGATAGGTATTTAGAATGATTATTTTAGGACAAAAATAATTACATTACAATTTACATAATTGGCATTATTTCCAATTATTTTAAATAATTTAGCATTTCTATTAATTTTTATGTTTTAAGTATTATTAAGTTTGAATTTAATAGCTTAAAATTTATATTTTTTAAAAAATGTTAGATCATGTTAAAAATAAAAACTGACAAAAATGAAAAACAAAACAAAGTTAAATGAAGCTATTATTTTTAATCAAGAAAGTCATTAGATTATTATTAATTTATTTTTTGGATCATTTTCTTAAAATGTTTGAAGCTTTTTGAAGTGATTTTAACTGGTTTGCAATTTCAAAGAAATCATTTGCCTTTTCTAATTTCCGTAATTAATTTAAAATATTTCCTAGGGATTATTAGGCATCAGCAAGAACAGGACTAATCTAAATTGCCTTTAAAAAAGCTATGGAGATTTCTCTAGAACTCCAAGGAGATCAAAAATGACTCCAAGTAAGTAATTATCAACATCAATATCAGGTTCTTATATTTATAGAATTTTTTCACATTTCTTTTATTTTTTCTTTAGATAAGATTTATTCCTTGTTATTAACAAACCTTTAATGCATTTAAGCAATTTAAGGATTTATGACAAAAGATTTTTGAATATACTGATATGAGATTTTTTTAAAATTTTTATCAAATTTCAATTTTTAAAAATTATAATTTAAACTAAAAATAAATAGTAAAAATCAATTTCCATTAAATAAAGTCTTCTTTTTTTGAATGTTTACAATATATTAAAATTATGAATATATTTATTATTATTATTATTATGATATCAATTAATTAATTAGGATTTTTTGAATTTAATACTTTTAATAGTTTTTTTATTCTCATAAAGTATAAGTAAGTGTATTAAATATTGAATTATTTATATTAATGAAAAATATTTTATTCGAATTCTATTCAAAAGATAAACAATTATAATATTTTTTATTATTTAGGGTTTAGATTTAATTTGAATAATATGAATTAATAATGATTTATTGTTGTTATTGAAAATTTACATATTTTAATTTTCATAAAATACAAGTGTATTTATTAAATAAAATATTATCAAATTATCTGTATCAATAAACTGTTTTTTATTCAAATACAAACTAAAAGATTAAAATTGAAAATGATTATAATAGAATTTAAAAAGATAATTTCAAGTGTTAGCATTTTTTATTCTAGCGCTTGGCTTTAATATCAACTTTATTAATTAATTTGCATGTATTTTAATTGAACATTTAAATAATTTTATTCCCATTATTTAAATCAATTTAAAAAAATATTTTCTTATTATTAGTATAAAAATAATATTTTTTTAAATTCAAATTTACTAAAATATTAAATTCAAAATTTTTAAGTGCTTCTTACAATTTAACAGGATCAATTCAAGTGTAAGGAGTTTTTAAAATAAGATTAGATTTTTTCTTTATCAATATTGGTAGATTATTTCATAAAGTTTCAGATTGATTTAAAATACACGAATATCATAAGATATTTAAAATAAAAGTATTTGATAGAATCCAAGTTTGAGATATTTTTTAATCTTACCAAATTGAAAGATTTAGATTTTGGATAAGCTTATATTTTTTTCAAAATAGAAAATAGCATTTACTTGTAATTTTTTAATTAAAAATAATATGTGTTTTTACTTAGCTATTGGATCTAAAAAACAGTACATTCATGCTTTATTCAAATTAATTAATGTATTAAATACATCCAATTCAAACAAAAATTCTGAAAAAAAAATGAAGTAAAAGCCTAAAAATTACTTATTCATTCAATGCTACATCTAAAAATATCTACACAGTTTATGTATTTCTTCCCTAAAATATTGTATTTTTCTTCGCTTTTTTAAAAAACGATAATTTGAATTTACTGGAATCAAAATATCCCTGTATTAAACTTAAGAAATACCTATACTGTTTGGATAAATTGTTTTTAATTATAATTCGTTTTTAGCAAAAATGCTTCTGTTTTATACTATTATTAAAGCAGTAATTAAGCATATGAAAGTTTTTGATTTTTTGATATTTAATTTGATGAGATTAGTGCTAAAATCAGATAATAAATTAAAAATATAATCTTATATTGATATAGATAAAGATAAATTGTTTAGCAAAAAAATAATGAGAAAGGCTAATTTAATATTTGTTATCTTAGGATTGACCCTAAGCGCCTGCTACGCTTAAACAGTAGTTGTCACTGATTTTACTATAGCTGCTGGTAACTCAGTACCCTATATTAAAACATTCGAAAACTAATGGAACGATGAATTAGAATTCGCTGTTTATGGATGGATCAGAATACCAAGTTGGGTTAATAGTGAAGTTTAAGTATTCCGTTTATCTGCTAACAAAGACATAAATTCTAATACTCTTGGTGATAGAGTTTTGAAGTCTTTTGTCCAAGATAACAAAGTTATGTTCGAGACTTATGATGCTTAGAATTACGACCCTAAAGTTTAACATTCTTATTTGAACCAAGGTGATAGTTTTGGATAATGGTTCTTCATTTACTAGGGCTACAATCCTAAAACAACAAAGACTTATGGTTGGGTTTAAAACGCAGCTGGAAAAGGTTAAGGAGGTTACAGCAATTAATTAGCTAGACATACCAAGTCTAATTTCTATTAAGTAATCGTAGGTCCTAATTCAGGCCTTAAAGGAAGTGATAAAGTAGAAGTCAAAATTCTTTGGATTTAAGCTGGATCTGGTGCTTACAGAGAAAACAACTTTGATACAAGAGATACCAATGTAGTAGTAGTACCTATCCCATCTGTTAAATGCCCTACAGTTTACTCTCAATGTGATTACAAGGGAGATTCATCATCTTACTGTTAAAGTGTCCCTTCTGTCAAAATCCCTGTAATTAAGAGTGTTGTAATCCCTGATGGATTCAATAAGATTACTGTGTATAATCTTGAAAATTACAAAGGTAAGACCGTTATTTTTAACAAAAGCGTTTCTTGTCTCGACAAATTTGAATTTGCCTTCCTAGAGAGAGAAGGATATATCACAGTTATTGATAATAAAGAGTCAAAAAAATCTAAAAATGCTCTTAGATCAAACAGAAAATGAAGACTTTTATTGCATATACTAAAAATAGATCTTTTATAAATATGAAATCTAAAAAATTTAAAATATAGATTTTTATCAAAACTATTTGTTGAGTTATGATTTTTCATTTTTTTAATTCTTGTTTATTAAAATTCAAAACATTTTAAATGCATTTTTGCATATTATTTATTTTAAGACAAAAAAAAACTATCAATTAATTGAAGAGAAAAAGTAATTAACTAATCAAAGAATATGGCGAACGTCATAAATAATCTAAATTCTTAAAAAATACATGTGAAAACATAATAAAATTAAATACTTATTTAGTTAAATACTTTTATTTATATCAGATTATTTAACTTAGACGGTTACTAAATTCATTCAATTCAAGATTTTAATTGACATTTAAATAAAATAAGTTATAAAAAATACTTAGATTTATTATTTCTTTAGATTGAGAAAATAAAAACCTTATTTCAAGTTAAATAAATATGAATAAAAAAGGCAAAGGATTTTTGGCTTTTTGATATTAATTTATCCTTGTAATTTAAAATTAATTAATTCGATGAATTAATTAATAAAAGCGCTATTGAAATTATAATACCATAATTTATTATAGCATTTAGCTAATTTATTTGATCAAAATTTAAATATTTTTAAAAATATTAACACAAATTCAATATATTTACAATATTTAAACATTTTGCTGAATAAAATACTTTTTTTAAAAATACAACAATTTATATTAATTTTAAAAGTTAATCATTAATAAAAAACTAACATATTGTTATACCCTCTCCTTTAAGATTCCTCTAATTAGCTAATTTTGGATAAAGGGTTTCTTAAACTTGGGAGAGATATTAAACATGAAAGCAATTACTTTTAAAATTTGATACTTATAAACTTATAGATTAGCAAGATAAATAGCTGAATTGATATTGGGATAATATGTGACGAGTTGTCATAAGAAATTTATTCATATAAAAGGTGAATTATATTAACCAATTATTCATTTTTTATGCGATTAGTATTGAATGCTATTTGATTTTATAATATAATAGATATATCTTTAATTTAAATGACTTTTTATAATAATGTTAAGTAATAAAAAAATAAAAAGTAAAATATTTTAATCAAAATTTTCAATTTAATTTTTCTATCATTTTTAGCTTTCTTATTTGTTAATGAATGAAGGATCTATTATTTTTTAAATCAATTTACTCAAAAAATGAGATTATTTTAATGAAATATTCAAAACATAAAAGAGAATTTGATGATTTTATTATTATTATTTAACTCATTTAGAATGAAGATTAATTTTATAGTCGAATTAATTTTTAACTTCTAAGCATAGTTTTTCTATCCTTTTTAGCTTTCTTATTTGTTAATGAATGAATGAAGGATCTATTATTTTTTAAATCAATTTACTCAAAAAATGAGATTATTTTAATGAAATATTCAAAACATAAAAGAGAATTTGATGATTTTATTATTATTATTTAACTCATTTAGAATGAAGATTAATTTTATAGTCGAATTTATTTTTAATTTCTAAGCATTTTTCAATTTAATTATAAAATTTCAAAAGAATTATTATATAAAAAAAATGGATTTGATCAGCAATATTTTTTTTCTATTGAAAAGAATTATTATTAACTCAAACAGATTTCATCAGATGGTATTTCTGAAATTAATTAATTAATAAATCAGAATCTATTTTCAATTTTATTTGCTTAACTCCTAATTAAAATTTACTTTTTTTAACATTAGCAGTATCTTAATTAATTTATTTGAATATATATAGATGAAAAGAATTATTTATATTTATTTCAGAAATCAACAGTTCTAAATATTTTCATCTATTATTAAATAAAATAGTCAAATATTCTTTTCTTTAAAACCTTTACTATCAAGCATATTATTGAAGGCAATTAATTAATACATTAAAACAATAAAAACCACTAAAAAAAAGAGCAATAAGCTAGCAAATTATTTACAAAAACACTAAAGAGAAAATATCAAATAATGAAGACTCTCTAAATTGAGAAGATAAGAGAACTCATGATGAACCCTAACCAAATCAGAAATATGTCTGTCATAGCCCACGTTGATCATGGTAAGACTACTTTAACTGATTCCTTATTAGCTAGAGCTGGTATCATATCTGAAAACAACGCTGGTAAAGCATGTTTGATGGATACTGACCCTAAGGAGTAAGAAATGGGCATCACCATTAAGTCTACTGGAGTTTCCTTATACTATCAAAATACTGTGACCAAGTAGGAGAGTATCATTAATTTGATTGATTCTCCTGGTCATATTGACTTTTCTGGTGAAGTCACTGCTGCTTTAAGAGTTACTGATGGAGCTCTTGTAGTAGTGGATGCTGTTGAAGGTGTTGCTGTTCAGACAGAAACAGTTCTAAGGCAGGCTTGCCAAGAGCGAATACGACCCGTTCTTGTAATTAATAAGCTAGACAGGCTTTTTAGTGAACTTAAGGATGATTATGAAAATATTTATCAAAGACTTGTTAAGATTATAGCAAAAGTTAATTCCATCTTAGAGATGCATGAAAACGATTCTATCAGAGGTTACACTTTAGATCCTTCACTAGGTAACGTTGCCTTCTCTTCTGGTAAGTAGTGTTGGGGATTCACCTTAAAAACTTTTGCAAGAATTTACAGCCAAAAATTCTCAACCAAGGAGGAAACCTTAATGGCTAAGTTATGGGGAGATAACTACTTTAACTCTCAAACCAAATCATTCACCTCAGAAATAACCAAAATTAATAACTAAAACAAGAAAGCTTTGCGCTCTTTCATTGAATTCGTTTTAGTTCCTTTAGATAAGTACTACTCTGCTTCTTCAAGCGCAGATGTAGAAGTTCTATCTAAGATGGTTGAAAAGCTCAACCTCTCTACTATTTTAACTACAGCTGAATTAGAAAGACTCAAACAAGTTGATGTTCAAGAGAGAATCAAAAGAACTATGAGAGCTTGGTTACCTTTAGCAGATGCTATACTTGAAATGGTCTAAGATCACCTTCCTTCGCCTAAAGAAGCTATGAAGTATCGTAGTTTGTATCTCTACGAAGGGCCTGCAGATGATGAGGCTTGCACAGCCATGAGAGAATGTAATTCTGAGGGACCTCTTATGCTTTATGTTTCAAAAATGGTCCCAACTGCAGATCTCAGCAGATTTTATGCTTTCGGTAGAGTATTCAGTGGTACAATTTCTCAAGGAATGAAAGTTAGAGTTCAAGGCCCTGATTACAAGCCAGGAAGTAAGGAAGGTCTCTTTATCAAAACTATCTAGAGAACCTTTTTGATGATGGGTAAATAACACGAACCTATCGAATCAGTACCAGCTGGAGGTACTGTCCTCATTTTAGGTGTTGATAATGCACTTACTAAGACAGGCACTCTTACAACTTCTGAAACAGCACATAATATCAGAAACATGAAATATACGATTTCACCTATATTGAGAGTTGCTGTTAATACTCCCAACTAGCAAGATCTTCCACGTCTTCTTGAAGGTCTTAAGATGCTTCAAAAGTATGACCCTCTTGTTTAAGTAGAAGTTGATGAAAATACAGGTTCTTATGTTGTTGCTGGTGGTGGAGAGCTACACGTCCAAATTTGTCTAGAAAAGCTCAATGATTTCACCCACAATTCTATCAATATCGTCGCTTCTCAGCCCACTGTATCGTATAGAGAAACCATAGGTGATAAGAGTTCTTAAATGTGCCTTGCTAAGACTGCAAATAAGTTGAATCGTTTATATGGTACTTGCGAACCTCTAGATGAAGAATTAGGATCAGCTATTGTAAGCAACAAAATAAATATACAGGAAATCAATAGTTAAGAAACAATCAACAGTTTGGTGAATGATTACTCATGGGAAAGAGAAGATGCAAAGCGTATATGGTGCTTCGGTCCTCTAGAAAAGGAATCAACTAATTGCATCGTAAACCAAACAGTTGGTATATAAGGTATGCCTGCCATTCAGCCTTCAATCATAACAGCTTTCGAATGGTGTACAAAGGAAGGTCTTTTATGTGATGAACCCCTAAGAAATATTCGTTTTAACATTATGGATGCAGTAATACATGTAGATCCAGCTCACCATCGTAGCAATTAAATAACACCAGCTGCTAGAAGATTATTTAAGGCTTGCCAATATGTGAGTGAACCTAAAATTCTGGAGCCATTTTACTTATGCGACATTAGAATTCCAGACGAAAGCAAAGGCCCTATATATGCAGTCTTAAACAAGAGAAGAGGTATAGTTGTTGGAGAAGAATATGAAGATACACTCTCTGTGATATAAGCCCACATCCCTGTATCTGAAAGCTTTGGACTAGACTAAGCCCTGAAGTCAGCCACTCAAGGTAAGGCTATACCTGCTCTCTCATTCAGTCACTGGCAAGTAGTTTAAGGCAATCCACTTGACCCAGAATCAAAATCAGGTAAGATCGTCAATGAAATAAGAATTAGAAAAGGTTTGAATGCTAAAATACCAGAACTCAACAACTATCTTGATAAACTTTGATAAAAATCATAATATTATTAATTCAATTATTTAATTTATCCTTATTTAACTAAAATTTATATCTCTATTTGTTTGTTGTATTTTTTAATAAATTATTTTACCCTTTTAATTTACTTCTTAAATGTTTAAGCATAAAATATTTGATTTAGTTTAAAATTTTATTTTTTTATTTATTTTCTTAATTTTTGAATTATAAAATAATAAATATTGTTATATGATAAGAAATATTTTGCTTGCTTGCTTGATTTGTATTTTAATAATCTTTAGATATTTTATAAATCTTTTAAAAACTAAGTAATTAAATTTTAGAATAATTATTTTTATATGAACTATTTTATAAAGAAGAATTTATACTTTAATTTAAAAAATAATTATTATTTAAAATTAAGAATATTTGTTATCTAATTCAGTTCTTTTATTTACTTAATAAAAATTTGAATATTATATAGCCTGAAACAAATTTAAAATAATATTATTATAATTTTGAAATTTAAATATTATAAATTAATATGATGAGAGAAAATATTCTTAAAATTAAAATTTTTTAAATTAGAGAGTAAAAAATATTCAATTAGTCTGCAAATAAAAATTTTCTCACTAATGAATTTATTTTTTTAATATTTATTTTGTTAAGTCTTTGTCCTCTTCATTAACATCTATCTACTCTAACTATGATTAATATAATTTTTTGATTAGTTATTTGTTTAATATTTTCTTACTACTTTTTTATTACAAAAATAAAGTTGTTTAATTTGCTTCAAAAATATATGGGTGTCTCATCCTTTTCAATTTATGGATCTTTAGATTTAACCAAAAAATGAGTAAGTGCAGAGTGGTAAATTTAAAATTTTTTAACTTTATTTAAAATAAAAGTAAAAAATAATATAAGAACAATACTTAAATTAATAATTAGCATCTCTAGAGTGACTTAACTATGCGTTTAGAAGTTAATTAATAGCAAAAGGTAAAAAAAGTTATCAAATCATTCATCTGCATATCAATATATAAATATTTATGTTTGTTTGAAAATAAAGTATTTGAATTTTTATGTTCGTTCATTAAAATTTTTGATAGTTGTTAATAAATAGACTTATCCTAAATAATTTTTTAATACCAGTATTGACGTCACTGCTATTTGAAATGAGTCAAAATTTGAATATTAATTAATAGAAATTAGATCAGAGTTTCGTAATATACGTCAGTGGTTATCTTCTTATGATGCTATGAGTATCTGAAGTGTCTTACGTAGCATTTGTATATATTTTCAAAGCAAACCAAAAACCAATCTTGACATAAAAATAATAGCAATAACAATAAGTCCTACTGAATATGTACTATTTTGTGTTTTAAAAGTCAAATATAAGATTTATTGATCAATAATTATTAAAGAATTTGAATATCTACAAATATAAATATAATAAATTGCAGAAATTTATGTAATATTCAACCTCTTTGAATTATTCTAGGAATATTCATAGAAATTATTAAGCATCTAATTTATAAAACGAAATTACTTTATATGTGTTGAATAAATAATTAATTAATTTGATAAAAAAATAATCCTCTCAAAATCTTACTTTGGCTAGCTAATCTTTAATTAAATATTTATTGATATGAAAGTAGCAATCCCAAAAAATTATATTCATGGAAGAGATAATAGATCTTAGGAGCAAATATAGATAGAAGGTAAACAAATATCATAGATTTGTTCTTTAAATGAACAACTATTTAAGCCCTTGGTTGAATAAGAATCTTAAAAACAAATCTAAAAATTCAAGAATAATGATTTAGAGATGAAGTTAAGTGGAGGAAGATATTTATACTACACTGATAGAACTTCATTCTTAAGTGAAGAAGATAAATCTAATTCTAAATTACCTATTATTTTGACTGTCCATGGGATACCAGGGACTCTCTAAGATTTCTTAAGCATGCAGTAAAATTTATAATCTCGCTTATCTTGTAGATGGATAAACTTTTCAGTACCAGGCTTAGATGGAAAGGATGAAAGGAGAGGTAAATAAAATTAAATTAATATTATTGCTTCACTTTTAATTAACAGAAAATTGAAATTACAAATATTGAATATATTAATTACTTCTATTCTTATTTCTATTTCAAGGCAATAAGAATATCTCAAAAATAAAGTAATGAAATACATTTAAATGATGATAGATTGATTGATATTAAATTTTGCTAATTTTAAAACCTAAATTATTAGAAACAAACATCAGAAATAATATATTTTTGTTTACTTTATTTAAAAAGAATCTAACTTATAATTCAATAAATAGGAACTTATCAGGGATATTTAGAAGATACATCCCTTTTGATTAAAGATTTTTTAGATGAATTGAAGATAGATAAAGTTATTTTAATTATGCATTCTGCAGGTGGGTTATATGGAAAATATTTTATGTATTAATATCCAGATAGAGTAAGAGCCTCAGTCTAAGCCGCATCAATTGGAATAGAAATGTAAATCAAGTTATTCATTCTCATTTAAAAATTTTAAAACCAATAAAGCAAATTATTTTATTCTCTTTATTATTTAATAAAGGTGGGCTCCTTTGCTTTAGGAAAACCTTTTTTTTAAATAATTTGGGATCGATGTGCTTAAAATCACAAGGGAAGAAGTTGATACGTAGTAATTTAGAGATTAGTTTACTAGGTAAATGGAATAATTAGTAAAATCTTTCGAAAATAAATAAGACAAAAATAATAACTTATGGAAAGCTATTCCTATTTATTAGCATCTTATGCTACTTAAAGCTCAGCTATTGAAAGGAGGATTTGACTAATTCTTTGCTAATATTAAAAATATTGACAAAAGAATTCCAAGATTTTTTGCTTTTTCTCAAAAAGATTCACTTTTAGAAGAAAGGCATATTTAGCAAGAAATCTACCATTCGATTCTTTCACAACAATCTTTTGATTTCAGATTAAAAGAAGATAGTAACTTTGATTAAATTTTCAAGCTAAGAGATAAGTAAAATCTTTTGAACAATTTTATCTTTTCTTATCATGATGCTGGTCACGGAGTTCAGCACGTAAAAGCATTTGACATTTCAATAAAACTGATGATTTTTATAAAGTTGTTAGATCATATGCAAACCTTTAAAAAAACAGAAAACAACACTTTACTAAAACCAAATTTATGAATTATTTTATATAATAAAAATGAGTCAAGGAAAGATAAAAAAAATGCCTATTTTTATTTTTGTATGAAAAATTATAGTTATAAATTTATATTATTAAAGTGTAAAGTTTCTATAGATAACTTCTTTGAAAATTGTTCAAGCCTTTATAGAATAATTATTAAATAAACAGTATTAAATAAGCAATTCTTTAAGCTAATAAAGAAGTCATAAGTTAAAAGCTTGATTTAAATATAGTATTCAAAATCTAAATAAAAAATATTATTTTAATATGTATTTCAAATTTAAGCCAATTTGATAATAATTTATTTATTTGATTGATTGAATAAATTTAAGATGAAGTAATCTAGTTTTAATTATATAAATTTAATTGTATTACTATCTATAAAACATATTATTTAATATATTAATTCAAATAATTTGTGTAAAATGAAATTCAATTAAACTCAAAATATTTAGATATCATAACTGAGACAGATTAATAATAAATAGATATAAAATATTTAGAAGAATTAAGCATTTAATATAATTTGAGAATAATTTAAATGAATTTCGAAAATAAAATGTTATTTTAAAGAGGAATTAGATACAATAAATAGATAATTAAACCAAGATAAAACATACAATAATTCTATAAATAAAATTTTTTAGATTTATTAAAATAGACTTAATTAAATTATATTGAGAAATATATTTATGCCTCATTTATTTAAATTAAATTTTTCAATATATTCATAAGCAAAAAGATATTTTAATTAGATTTTAATCTACAGGTTTATACACAATAGAAGCTGTGGTTTTAAGTGGAACTGAATTGCGAATGCAATTGAATTTTTTAACAAAGTAAATTAAAGATACTTTTACTTCAACTAAACTCATTTATTTTCCAATACAGTTTCTAGGTCCAATAGAGAAGGGAGTAAAGGCATACGAGTTTCCTTACTTTTCTTTTCCATTTAAGAATCTATTCACATCAAATTTATCAGGATTTTCAAACCAGTCAGGATTAAATTAGGTAGGATGCCATAAACTTTAAATAATATCTCCTTTATTTAATTTAAAAATTTTTAGTTAATTAGTTTAGTTTTAAATTAAAATAATTAATATTTATTAATGATAGATTAATCAGTACCTTTTTATATTTCAAAGTTTCCAGACTTAAAGGGTTCAACTACTCTACGGAGAAAAACGCCCATAGAACTTGTATAGTGCCTGAAACATTCATCAATAAATGCTGAAGTATAATTAAGATTTTTTAAATCATCAAATTAGATGTTATCCAAGGTCTCCTATGTTGGAAAGACGGAGTTGATTTCTTATCTTACTTTATCTCCTTCTTCTTTATAGTTAGCCAAACAAAAAATTATCCAAGCTATTATGCATCCAGTGTTGTCTAAAGCTGCAATAAACATAGTTATGCACTATTAGCATATCTAATTAGATATAAATGAAGACATTTATTTTTAAAAAAAGCTTAATATAAAATGGATTACTTATTCTTTTGTTAGATTTGGGTCTTATTTTGTGAGATAATTTCTCACTAATACATCTATAAGGTAGTCTGATTGTACACTAGGTTAACCTTCATAGTATTTTATTTTTTTTTCTATTTATTCCATAGCAATTTAATTTATCCTATCACTCCTAGACAAAAGTTTCTTTTCTTTCGCAGTTAAAAACTTCATTGCCAATTCATCTCCCAAAAAGATTCTCTTTAATTAGAAGAAAATAGAAGTATAGCTGTAAACAATAGTCTGATCTACAATCTTTAATTTTATTTTTGCATTTATATAAATATGTTTTCATTCTTGATGTTAAGATAAATCATATACAAATTATAATATACCTACGAAATAAATAAATAAATGAATCAATTAATCATTTACCTCCTTAAGCTCTTCAGATATATTCTTACCATCTATTTGGTGATCACCAAAATCTGGTCCAAAGAAAACCCTAATACCTATTTCGCCTTTAATTTTAGTAAAAAAAAGTTGAGAATCAACTGAAACTAAAATGTTAATTAAAGTAATTACCTGAATGCTTCATCATTTCATCAAATAAAGGGAAGTAATCCTTTCCTACATATTTGCTGAGACTGTCAATTGTTTCTTTAGTTACTTATGCAATAACTTAAAACCTCGATTTTAAACCTTTTTGAACATAATGAGAGTTAATAAATTAAATTTTTGACTGAAAAAATAGTATTTACTATCGAAATGGAAGGAATCTGATATCATTTTGCGCTATTTCTTCCACTGTTCTCCTTCTGAAAAGATTATTCCATTTTTAAGTATTTTATAGTTAAATATTGGTGCAAGTTTCACACTTTTTTAATAGTTATCAATTAAAAATGATTTGTTCATGTCTGGGTCTACACTTGTAATTAAAACTCCAAAGCCCAAACTGCATGCCACTGCTTTTAATTTAGGGTTTTTAGCCATTTCTAACTTCAATAGCTTCATTGGATCTCCATGGATTTTTTCGCTCTTTTTTAAGTAGGCATGTATTCCAATAATAGGTTCGAATTTAATCAAGATCTCTTTACCATGCTTTATTTTGAGCATCAGTAACTTATAGAGTGGCCTTAAAAATGTTAAATAAAAAAGAACACCAATCAGTAAAATTACTGTATAGAACAGTTCAGTTAGCATTTAAATAAAAAATTATTTTTAAGAATGGATTTTGCTTAGAATATTTGGTTCTTATTCTTATATAGAAAGCAAAAGTTTTATTTGGTTTATTTGCTTATTTATTTAATTATAATAAAATCAGATTATGTTTGAAATTGGCTATAACTTTTTGTTTACTGATTTTAAGATGCTGGTTACTCATTAATTTAGTTAATTGCGTTGATATTAAATTTTTTATTTGTAATAATAGTTTTAAAATTACGTATTCTTAACTTATTTCTGTAAAAAATTTTAATAGGTCACTTTTGCTATTTCTTATTTTGTAAATTTAGGATTAATTCACAAGGTTTTAACAACATTTACACTACTTAATTACAAAAATTAATTAATTATATTATAATTTACTTTATTTAATTCTGTGGCGAATAAATAAATAATCTATCTCTTTTTGTCTGCTTAGATTTAAAAAGTAACTCAAACCTAAATCTGGTTTAAAAAAATTTTTTATTTAAACTAAAATTAAATATTTAAAATAAACATTTTGAGATTAAGAAAATTCTAAATAAAAATAAAATTAATTTTAATTGCAAAATTCTTTAGCTATCTTCAAATTTTAATAAGATTATTATTGTTATAAATAAAATTAATTATAAATATTTGTGTTTGTTTATTGCTATTTTTAGCTTTATTTACTTCTGAAATAGATATTTTTGAAAGAAAGCTAATCAATCTCACACATTTATTCCTGAAGAAAATTTATTTAATTTAGTAATATTAAAAGAAACTTAAATTGATCTTGCAAACAATATTCAAGTTATTATAACTAATATAATATTTAATTTGAAATAATTTTTTTATAGTAAGTGTCTTAATTTAAATACTACTTCAATTGTTTATACAAAACATTCTTTTTGATTTTTAATTAAAAATTTATTTTGTGGTTAAGAATTTTTAAATTACTCATTTGATTGAAAATTTAAGAATTAAATTCATCTCCAATCTGATATAGCTATATTTATTTGAAATAGTTAAAACTTTTAATCTTAAAATGATAATAATTTGCTCTTGATATTTATTGGATTTGAACTAATTTAGAATAAATTAAAAATTAATAAAATTAACAAAGATTTTAAGTTTAAAAATAGCAACTGTTTATGAAAAAATAATTTTAAACCAATTTTAATTAATATTGCTAACTATCTAAAAAATTTTGATGGATATTATTTTATTATATATAAATGATCTTTACATCATAAATAAGCAACTTTATATATTATTAATAAATGGAGGTGAAATATAACCAACCAACCTGCTTTTTTAAAAAAATATATTTTTTTTTAAAAAATTGATTTTAAAAATTGGGTGTAAAAAAATTGATCGCCAGACCTCACTTTTCCTCTTATATAAGCTGAATCAAAAAAAATATCTTAAATATTAAAAAAATTTTTGAAAAATGTTCCTTACATTAATTAAGTGTTTAAAAAAAAAATTTATAAAATTTAGTTGGATAAGACAAGCTTAAAAATTTCGTATATTTTTGAGAAGAATAAATTAAAGTGATAAAAAATAAAGTAAATTATTAAAATTTAAATATTATCAATGTGGCATAACAAAATAATAAATTAATTGAATAAAATACCTTGATATTTACTAAAAATAATTATTTGAAATTATTAAAAAAATTAAAATAAATGAGACAAACTGTCTATCTAACTAAGATAAATGGAAAATATTTGAAGGGAACAATACAGAGTGAGAAAATTAAAATAATTAGCTAAAATTAAATGCTTCCAGATGAAATCTAATACAATAGTAATTAAATTTAATATACATACCTAAAAAATTTACTTATAAAATATTAGAAATTTAAAAACAAATCTGCACATTTATAACTTACGTACTTTTGTTTAAGCAATCTGTAAAATAGATATATAAGTTTTATGTGATTAATTAAGTAAGTAAGTGTATGTCAGATTCAAACCTTCATTTGAAGAAATTGAAAGATCTTTCTTTCTACTTCTCTAAAATATAATTCTTAAACTAAATAATTTTAGACAAACAAGATTTACTTTTGCATTTGAATATTTATTTAGTCAAAAGAAATTGTTTGTTTTTTTGTTTGTTAATTATTGAGATTCAGCAATAGCATGGTGTATTTTAGTTTTTACTTTTTTTATTATCTGAAATATTTATTTGTTCAAAACTATTTTCCTTATTTAATAATATAATTTATTAAGCTATACATCTAAAGGCTCAAGGGATATTGCTATCAATTTATATTTACCTACAAGAGAGTATCTATTTTTGTATGGTATTGTTTATACTTCAAAAAAAGGAACTCGGTATTTAAAAGCTAGTTCTTCGCCTTGTTAAATAGATATAACTCTTTTATCTACCAAACCAATTTTGTTGGCTACAATAATTGTTTATAGTCCTTTTTCTCCTTATTACTATATATCTTACATAATAGATTCTATTTTCCTAAAAGAATCAAAATCACTCACGTTATATACTAATATAATACCGTCTGCTCTTCCATAATAATATTTAGGTATTACAAATCTACAATACCAATAGAAAAGATTCAGTTTTACTTAACACCCATCTATTTATTCATTTTTCTAAATAAATCAATTTTTAAATCATAACCTAAAAGCTACTTTTAAATGTAATCCTCAATTAAAGAAAGATTCGCTTCTCTATTATATCCTAAAATCATTATATCTAATTTTCTAGGTTAAATTTATCCATACATTTTGAAAGTAATAAGAACTCAATTAGAAATTTTTTTAAAAATTTTAAATAAATTTATTATATAAATTGATGATGATGATGATATTAGAATTTCAAAAGAAAGCAAATATGATAATAGATACCACTTCTATTTTTTATTTATTTTTAAGGCTCCTATATTTATTAGCTGTAAAATTAATATTTATTATTTGAATTTTTTTTACAAATTAGTTTTTGATTTAGATTGAGATCAAATAATCTTTTTTCAATTTTTATACTTTATTATTATTTCCCAATTTAATAATTAATTTCTTTTCTAATCAGTTTTGAAAAATCTGATAATATTTGATTTTTATATTCTTTGAATTTATTAAGTCTATTTTATTTATATTAGATTAAAACTTTCTATTTCAAAAAATCCTAATGAATTTCATCTCAATTCTCTTTTGAAAAAAACTAATTTTTTATTAAATCTCTTTTTTTAATTATTTATTTATAAATAAAATATATTTTTTTCATTATTTTGTGATTAAATAAATTTATTTTTTAACTAAAACAGAAATATTTTCAATTATTTATTAATATTTGTTTTTTCTGTTAAAATTTTTTCTATTATTTTAAGTATTCAAATTCTTAAAGTAAGTTTAATGAAATTTTATTAAAATTCCATTATTGAAGAAAAAGTTACTGGATAAAATTAGATATTTTGATATTTAAATTAAATTTTGATTATTAAATGTTAAAACTAATTTATTAACTAAATTTTATTTTTTTATATTAAACTATTAAAACTATTATTGTTATTTTAATAATTGTATTTTTTTGCCTCTTCAAAATAAATTTAATATAATTAAAAAATGTATCGTTTTTGATTTAATAGATAATATTCTCTTCCAGTTTACTTATGTTTGAAACATATAAATTAAATAAATTAATTTATGACATAATCGAGAAAAAGAGATAAGCTAACACAATTTTATGCAGACACTTCAATAAAAGTATTAGAATAATTTTTAATTAATTTAAATTATTAAGTTATTTTTAAATTTTAAATGATTTTCAATAAAAACAAATTTATAAAATTTATATTCATGAAATACAATAATTATTTATTACTTTCTTTCTTTCTTGCTTGAAAAGGCAAGACTAAAATTTTTAAGGAAAAATTTTTTATTTTAATTAAATTTTTAATAAATTAATACATTTTTCTACTTGATTGGTTATTTTTTGCTTATTTAGCTTTCCTGATTTGAGGAAGACAAACGCAGACAGTGGTGGTATAGAAAATAAAAAATACAAAAATTATTAAGTAAAGATTTACATAATAATGAATTATAAGTTATAATAGTAGATTTATTATATATTATTTATTTATTATTTTTTTATTTTTTATTATAATTTAAGTAATTTTATTAAAATATAGTCTAAGTAAATTAAATTTAATATTAATTATTTGATAAGTCATGTATGTTTTCTTTATTTTTTTGTTTCTTTCTTTCTAAGTTTTTTTCATGTTTTTTGAGAATATATGTATTTACTCATTTGTTATTATTAAGAGCCGAAAATAAATAATTTATTATTGAAGTGATTTTTTTTGTATTATGTTGTATTAATCTATTTGCATTCATTTGATTTGAATGATTTAGTTGTTATATTAAAAGATTTATTGTTTGAATTTTATTATATTTTTATTTATTTGATTCAAAAATTTGAGAGGATGGATGGATGAATGGGTGTTATTGCAAATTTAAATGCATATCTTCAACTTATGTAAGACCATTTATCTATTTTGCCAATATTTTATTAGCTTGAATGACTGGCTTGATTTTGTTTATTGCTGTGAGATTTTTAATCAGATTATTTAGGTCTGTTATCAAAATTTATGTTTGTCAAGGTTGGCTTTGTATCTACTTTAGGAACATCAAAAGACGGAGCCTTTACTTTTCCTGTATAAATATCATTCCAACAAATATTTTTAAAGAATTAATGCTCTTTTATCTCTTCAGAATCTCTTTTTGAACCGAGTCTTTCTTTTGGGTTTCTATTAAGTAACTGTTTTTAATTTTTAACAATTATTTAACTATGAAATTTTAAGATAAAATATTTACTTGTTTAATTAAATCCTTAGCATCAGCTGACATAGATCTAGGAATTTTTAATGGTCCTCTCCTTATATTGTCATATAGAATCTTAATAGAAATATAATATTAGTATTTATATCAAAATTTAATTCATTTTACTTCTTTATTGTTATCATAATAAGGTGGAATACCAACAAGTAATTCATAAAGGAAAGTTCCCAGTAAATACCAGTCAACAGTTCTAGAGTGAGGTCTTTTAGCAAGGACTTCGGGTGCCAAATAAGCTACACTCCTATTAATTTTAATAATAAATTAAATAAAACTTTCAAAAATCCATCTTTAATCAAATTTAAAGAATAAAATGGCTTTTTAAATTATTAAAGATTTTCTTCATAAAAATTAAATTAAGATTAAAATATTATTTACCCACAAAATGATTTAGTGAAAGTATTTTCTTTTATTCCTTCTTTTGAAAGTCCAAAATCAGTTAATTTTGCATTTCCTAAGTGATCTAAAACTACGTTATCAGGTTTTAAATCTCTGAAAATAATATCTTATTTATGTAATTCTTCAAGAGCCAGAACAATTTAAGCTGTGTATATCCTTGCTTCATCCTCTGGTAATTTATTTCTTTTATTCAGATAATTTCCCATATCACCACTATATTATTAAAAAATATGTTAATTTTCAAAATTATTCAAGAACTCATAAACATAATTAATAAAATTATTTTGAATTTAAAAAGGAAGTTAATTACCCAAAAAAATTAATCTAATTATTTGGTAAAATTTTTGTTTTTAATAAACTGATTAAAATTTATTTTTTAAAAAAAATGATTTTACCATTTAATTCCAAGATTTTATTAAATGTTTATTTGATCAGTTATATTAAAAATTCAAACAAAAAAAAAATGCATCTAAAAAATAAATAAAAAGTTGTAAATTTTACCCTTCAGCATACTCCATGACCATAAAAAGGTACCAATCATTTTAGAATGCATAATGAAGTTTGATAATAAACGGATGATTAAATAAACTTAATGCTTTCTTTTCTGTTTAGACATATCTTTATAAGTTTTTTTAGACAACTTACTGCTTGTTTTAGATCTTCATAGCAAATAATTTTTTTTCTCTTTCTACCAAATATACTTCACCAAAAGAACCCTATCCTAGTTTACTAATAAATCTAAAATCTTTCCAAGAAAGTTCCTATTCAATTTAAAAAATTGATTTTAAATATTTTTGTTTTAATTTATAAATTTCATAAAATTAAAGAATGATTGATAAAGCCAATTTTTTATTGTTTAGAGAAAAATTTTAAAAATTAAATTTAAATTAACAAATTTAAAATAAATACCTTAAGAAGCCTTTGCTTGTCTTCAATAATTTATATTTTTCTTTATTCTTAACACTTTTGAGCTGTTTAAGTCATTACAAGAAGTTTTGCTACGTGATCAGCCCTATTGTTTCTTTTGACTAAGCCACCTACTGAGAGTCTGGCATAATCCTCTTAAGAATCAGTGGCTGAATAATTTTAGAAAATTTATCTCATTTCTTGAGAAATGCTCAATTGGAAGGGAGATAAATTTTTATGATTTTTAAGTGAAAAATTAGCTTTGTTTTAAATTAAGAATTCAACAATTTGAATTTGGTCATTTTCAGAGGCAAGGTGAAGAGCAGTATTAAAATCTTTATCCTATATATCAATTAATTTTTTGCCTCCTTTTTCAACTAATTGCTAAGTACACAACAAACTACCTCTAATAACAGCTGAATGTAAAGGAGTTCTATTTAATTATGAAAATAATTTATTTTTAAAATACAAATAGAGCTAATTTAATAAAATTTTAAAAAGTTTAAATGTTGAAAAATATTTTTTTTCATTTCAATTAAAGTTTTACTTTTAATTTAAATGCTTGCTTAAAATTTTGATTTAGTTTTTAAAAAATTAGCAAAATTAATCAGTTTCTGGGGATTTAAATTCTTATATAAGAGAAATTAGTATTTTGCATCTATTTTATTATTTGAGCAAGAAAGAATGATTAAAAGAATAAATTAATGAATGAATGAGCAATAATAAAATTTAATAAAATAGAGTCTTAGTACTATAATTTTTAAATTTTACTGCTCAAATAATAGGATTAACTCTAATTGTGCTGAACTAGCTTAATATTTTCAAACATAAATATTTCTGTTTACTGGTACAAAGCAATTAAATAATTTGTAACCTAAATAGAAAATTCTAAACAGTAGTAAGCTAAATTTTAAAACTTAAATCAAGATTGCTAATTTTTTTAATAAAGTTACAGTATTTTAAATTTTTTATTAGCAATTATTCATTTTTCAACAATAATACTGAACTATTAAAAATGAGTTCTATACTACAATATTTTTAAAAATAAATCACTGACCTTTGCATTGAGCTTTATGAAAAGGGATCTGCACCTTATTGCAGTAAAAATTCCACTATTTCGTGATTGCCACTTGATGCAGCGAAATGCAAAGCTGTCCAATTATCTATGCTTTTAAAATTGACTTATGTAGGTATTGGCTACTTATCAGAGAGTAGTATTTGAAGTTTTTATAAGTCACCGTTTTCACAATAATCAAGAAGCAATAGGTTGTTTTTCTTTACTTTATTCCAAAATTACTTCCAATTTTACTCAGAAGGCAAAATGCTCACTTCTGAGCAATTAAACTGATTAGAATCATGAGTCTGAGAAGCAGTTGTTTTCATTACTAATGAAGAGTAAGAGAATTTTGAATCTATTTCACTACTTCTAGAGTCAAATTCTTCTCCTGTATCTAGATTTCTTACTATATAAATGCGAGGATCTTCTTATCCTTGCTTTGCATTTTGCTTTCTAATTTTTTTAGCATCCCTGAAGTAATCATCTTCAAGACTGTCAATTTATTTCATAGAAACAGAATTGCAATTTAGTTGAGTATTTGATACATATGTATGGACATTAGGACTCTCATCTTCCTAATCGCTACCACCAGATTCATAAAATTTTTTCACTTGAGATTAACCCTGATTTGCTTCATCTTCTTCATCTACCTCTTCAATTTTGCTAAATCCAGCAGGAAATTTATTATAAAGTTGTTTGTTATCTAAAGAAAAATTATCGCATTATTGCAATTAATACTCTTCGCAGTCTGATATCTTCCTGCGCAATGTAATCACATTCTCGTTAGAATCTTTCTACTCTGATTTTTAAGATATTTTTTTTTTGCCTGATAAAGTTGGCGACGATCCTGCATCGCTGCCAAATATTGTAGGCGAATCTGGAACTTCAATATCAGCCATATGTAATAATTTGTATAAAAAATGTATTTTTCAGGTGTGAGAGTTGATTGAAACTGCAGCTTTAGCTGGTTTATTTGAAATCTTTGTGAATGTTTTTTAAGTTTTTGTTGGTATTTTATCTATTAACACAAAAAGGACTCGCAATCTTACTCTGATAATTGATTAAAATTGATAAATTACAAGAGTTTGTCTTTAAATTTTGTAATAATGAATTAATAGTGATTTAATTTAGATTTATAGTAATCAATTATATTAACTTAATTTAGAAAATACTAATCAAACCAAATTGATTTTTGTTTGTTTTTCTTTTTCTTATTACTTTTTTTGTAAGATTAATTAATTTTTATGGTATCGCCATTCAAAAATACGCTTGCTTGTTTTTTTTGATTGTTATTAAATACCCTGCTTTTCAAACTGATTGAATGATGGTTTTATTAGATATATGTACTTATTTTGATTATTTGGATTAATTCTTTGTAAATTCATTACCAAAATATGTATTTTGTAAAAGATTTGTTTGCTTATGCATGAAAAAATATATATGTTAATTACAAATGCAATTATCCAACTTATTTTTTTACATCAAATGCACTTTCTTTGATACAATTTCTTATAAGAAAGACTTAAATAAAAATACATAATATTAAATGCCAAAGCTAAATTCTTTTCCTTTTTTGCATGCAAATATCCCATAAATTAGAAGACCATATTTCTTTTATTAAACTTTAAAAATTTGATTTGTTTATATGTGACAAATCCAAGCTAACTCGTAAACAATTCCCCTTAAAAATCAATTAATTGTATTTCTAAACCATATAACTTATATTCCAAATGACGATTCCTATCTTATAGTACGCATTTATAGTATTTAGAAGTATTAGCATTAATTCCTCCTTCATTTATAGTAGAATTCAACAAACTCTCCTCATTTTACTTTATTTTTTCATTTAAGCATATATTAAAATAGTGTAGCCACCTTTTATACATACAATTTAGTTAATTTAAGCTTATCCTTAATGTAATTTAATTACTCGCGAATCCATAGCTTTACTTTTTTAATATTATTAAAAAATTTATTTCATTCATTCTTAATTTAAATAAAAAAACATAAATAGCTATTAATATCTTTTCTATCAATCAAATATAATACGTAGACACATACATACATAGATACAATCCATAACCTAATTTTTTTGAATTCTTTCAAATTTTATTCATTTTTTAAACAAAATTCAATTTATCTTCTTTATTTCAACCATAGTTAGATTGTTTAAATTTTGCTTTTATTACTTAATAATTTAATAAATTTATTTGCAATAGTAAGTTCCTCACCAATTTTGAATTATGAATTTTTTTGCTTTCATTAGAAAGCTTTTTAGTAATTCAGTAATTTGAATAATTTAAATAAATAATTAAAATATTAAAATTTATTGTTAATTAATTAAAAATTTAAAACATGAGAACTATATGATAGAATATTAAATTTATTTTAAAAATAGTATTTTCAAATTGATTTAATAAAAGGATACTATTTAAGAATAAATTAAAATTCGCAAATTTAATTAAGGTTTATTTTTTTAGTTTAGAGATTGACTTAGAAGAGAAAAAACTCTAAATTAATTTATTTTTAATGTAAAATAAATAGAAGTTTTCTAGCAAAGATATTTACTCTTTGATTATGGATTTATTTTTAACTTTACAAGTCTTATACAAAAATATTACAATCAAAAAGTAATAATTATAGATAGATATTCTTATATAAATTTTGAGTATTTAGTTCAAGTTAAGCAGGCAATAGAAAAAGTTTCTTAAAGTTAATAAAAGCTTTATAAAAATAAATAAAAGAATTAAAATGTTCATTATCTATTATACACTTTTTTTATAAATGGCTTGTAAAAAATATTAAATAATTATCAATAAACGAATAAAGAAGTATAAACGAGTTTATGACAGTTAAAAAACGATACTAAAATAAATAAAACTTAATTGTTTTTGAAACAAAATAAAATTTTCAATAAATAATTAATATTTGCATGATATTTAAATGAATTTGGTAATATTTTCTAAAGAAGTAAAGAATTATATTTAATTTATTTTTAATCACCATCAAATGTAACCATAAAATTCTTCATTTTCCTCCTCTTAATTTATTTAATTAAAAATTTAGCTTTCTTACTGAAAATGAATATTGACTTGCTTGTAGTCAGTCTCTTAATTAACTTGAATATCTTAAAAATTTGATTTATCATAATTATCAGGCTCATCATTAATATAGGAATCAACTGGACTGTTATTAAATTTGTCAGTAAGCTTTGAATTTTCATCAATAAATGATTGCTTTATGTTTTATTACTCAGTGACAATTGACAAGCTAATGAAAAATTCATATAATTTTTAATTATTTTAAACACATTTTGTTTGTAATAGACAGTGCACAAAAGAAAGCAAAAAAGGATAACTTTATATTACATTTTATTTCTTCACAAGCACTGAAAATATAAAGTGGATAACAGTAAACAGTAAAAACACCAAAAAGAAAATTAATTCTAGACCTATTTTTCTTTCTATTTGTATAAGCTCCTCTTTTATATTCATACCACACGTTTTATTGATTGTTATCTTTATATCATCAAAGTGGATTAATGGAACTAAAAGTTAAAATTCTGTCTCCCCTTCCTACAAACAATCCAAATTTAACAATATATTATCTTCTTCTTTTATAGATTGGTCAAAATTTCCTTTTCTACTTATCGATCCACCCCTACTTAAGTTTCCTTCTATCTATTAATATATTATTATTATTATTATTAAATTTCGTTAGATCGTTTTCATATCTAATTAATTAAATAATGTCAAAATTTATAAAAAATATTTTGAGTTTTATTTAAATTTTTAATATCAATTGATAACATCAATTTATAACAATATTTTGCTTAGAAAAAAAATATCATCTGAAAAATTCAACAAAAATTGAAAATAATATCTTATTTATTTAATATTATTTTTATTGTTAGTTATTTTTCTGATTAATTAGAATCGACTTTCAATTGCTGTTCAAAGAGATCAAATCAAAAAAACAAATTCTTTTAATGAAATAATTGGATTTTTATATTACTTTTATATTGATTTCCTATTCATTGAAGAAAATCTAAGGTCTTTAAATAATTTCTTCATTAATTTACATAACCATATTCTTTAGCACAGTCAAATCACTTTTTTATTCACTTTCATTTTCTTATTATAACTCTTCATTCTATGAATCTTACTAATCTTCTCCTTACAAATATCTGTACATATGACCATTTAAAAAAATATATTACATTAAACATAAAAATATCTGTTTTATAATCATTTTTTCTAATATGTAATTCAATTTTATGAAATTAATTTTAATAAATCATTTTTTTGATATATTATATAAAAGTAAATTGAGACATCTATGAACATATATACTACCAAATAAAAAAATACTTTTGGCTGCGCTTTGATGTTATATCAAAAATATACAATTTTGTTGGAAGAAAATATAGTGAATATTTATGCTGAAGAAAGAAAGAAATAATTATTTACACTATAAATTTAGGTTTACCAACAGATTTTTCTAGTTAAATTGGATCAGTGGATATACTAACACCGTTTTACACCAAAGATATTTTTTATCCTTCATCGTTTATTTACAAGTCAATATTTAGCCCATTTCGAGGGATTTTAGTTTCTGTGCATATTTTCTTCCAATAAATCTACCATTTGTTCAAAGAATCCACTTTATCTTATAGCTATAATTAATAATTAATCAAATATTTATTGGAGGGACATTCATATTTTATCTAAACAGTATATAAACAGCTACTTCTACTTGAATATTTCATTTCTTATAACTAAATTGCTGATTTATCTTAATCTTCGTTTGATATAAAATTCAATTAATATGATTCTTTAAACTTTTCCATGTCGCATAAATCACTTTCGATGTAAAAATATTCTAAATCTTAGGCATAATTTGTTAAATGAGGATCAATACTAAATTTTCGATACTTTTCAGTGTTTACAATGTCTGAAGAGCTGTGTGATGAACTTTCCTTTATTTGAATAAATGCATTTATAAAACTGCTTAGACAACAAAGCAGTACTAGTTTTTTATATATTATTTTACTCCTATTTACTTTTCCTATCATTTTATATTATTTAATTGAAAAATTTTTCAGTAAAGTCCTATTACTAATTATCTTAAAACGTATACAATTTATATACTAATTAAATTTTATAGCAAATAATTATAAAACGTATGTATATTATATGCTTATCAACGAACTCCTTAAATATTAATACAGCTGTATGAAAAAAGTTCATCTCATTTTAATAAAAATGTCAAATTTAAATGTCTTCTTTTTGTCTTCAAATTTATTTTCTATTCAATATATAAAACTTATTTCACCATAAAACTTTATTGCTTATAATTAATTTTACTTTAACATACTTAAAATAATCCAGAATGATAAAGAAAGGGAATAATAACTATAAAAAAAATAGAAATAAAATCCATTGATTTTTAAAAATTAAAACAAAATTATTATTGTAGATTTTCATGATTTCATAAACACCCTCAATTTTTTATTGATTTATATTAATATTTATTTTTATAAATTAAAATTTTTTAAATGAATAAATTACTAACTTACAAATATGGAATATGATATATAGAAATTATTTAAATATAGTATTCCAAAATTATTTATATATAATTATATGGGTAAAATTTATAAATTTCTTTAAACTCTTAACAAAATTTGTATATATTTGCAAATAGATTTAAAATCATTTCTTAAATGTTGTCATAACAGCAAAACCAGTGGGAGAAGAATTTCTTTTGGAATGGTCTATGTAATCACTCAAATCTTCATAGTTTAGTGGTGTGAAATATGAGGGCTTGAAATTAAAAGTACTATTTTAACTTGGCTAGATTTGCACTTCTTTAATATCTAAATTATTTTTGTTATTGCTTTATCTAATAAGAGAGCTGTTTGATATATTTAGTTATTAACTTTTTGCCTTTTCATTTCCTCTTAAGTTAATGCTGCTAGTTAAGTTTGTTTACACAGTAGGTATTTTTGAGAGATTTAAGGATTCCTTTATATCAATTTTAGTTAAAGATGTTGTATTGCTATCTTTTGTGAGTGTTTAGTATTATTTGTTTTAATTTTTATTTGAGTAGTCGTTGTTGGTTGGAGAGCAGTCATCCAATTAAATTGGTGTTTATAAAAATTATTATACCATGTTTGACTGTGTTTATTTATATTAGCTCTTTGATCTTTATGTTATAAGGTTGTTTTATTTTCTTTCAAGAGAATGATCTCTTGACCTTTCTTTTTCTTAGATTAGTTATAGTTTTTCATTTGTTTTAGTTATTGAATTTTCCTGCTGATTGGCTGCTAATTGGATTTGGCGAGTTAGCGTCGATTTAGAAGGGGTAATTAAATTAAAGCTTCTTTCCAAATTACTTTTTTCGTTAAGTTTATAATTACCTGATATCTTGTTAATTATGTTGGACTTTTCATTTATAAAATTATAACTTTATGTGTTTGAAGCACTGGCCAATAGATCTGATTTTCTATTTTCAGTGTCTCTTTAATTATTTGATTTTCTATTTGTAAATTCATGTGAGATTATTGTATGATTATTTCCGTTTGATAAGTCAGCACTGATATTACTTTAATGAGGTTTATTAATGCTCTTTGAAACATTCTTATTTTTTGTTTCAGTTTTAAAAGTGGGGGATAAAGGTTAGTACTTGGTTTATTTATTTTAGTAATCTAAGTAGTATTTTTGAGAAGGAGATTTTGCTATATTGTTTTGATCACAGTGAGAATCATCTATTTAATTTTGACTGATTCCAATTTCTGTTTTAGAAATCGTTGTCTGAATTGAATTTATTGACTGGAAATTGCCTAAAAAATAACTAGAACTATTTTTGTTAGATTGAGCGTTAGATTGTGTTTGATTGTTTTATTTTGAGTCTTAGACCTTAGCCTTTAAGATTTAATTGATTGAGTTAGAATTTGTATTTATTTTTTACAAAGGAGTAGAAATTTATGTCTTGCAGTTATTTGTTGCGTTTGTTGTTGTTGTAGTTACAGAATTATTATCACTTACAGCATGCTTATTGCTTTAATCACCTTTCTAATTGTTATTGGAATCTATATTATTATTATCTTACACATTGTTTCTAGATGTTAGGCTGCCTCTTTGAGGATTTTGTAAATTATTGATTATAATATTTTAGTTTATAGAATGTATTTTTTTTACTTCTTAATATCTTGTTGAAGGTGAAACAGCTTTAGCACTCGTAAAACCACTACCTCTGATCGCTTTATTTCTTGTTTCAAGAGCTTATTTAAATAAAGCAATATTTTCTTTTGACTTCGAATTTATTCCTATTTCTTATGATTCCTAAAACAACTTTTTAGAACATTCCGAAACGTAATTCAACTATTATTGGCTTCTTGAAGTATAAAGAGTTGGAGATATATTTTTATTTGGTAATTTGCTTACTGCATTAGAATTAAATTAGTTTCTCTTACTACTTTAAGCCTTTTTTTAAGTTTGTTAATTTGAATTAAAGCAATTGTCATTTTAATTATCACTAATCAATTTGCTAGCGATATCTTCAGATGGATACTTGGAAAAATTAGCTTTTTAATTTATTTGCTTGAGATTTTTGTTTTTATTGACACTCCCACTAACACCACTAGGTTTTGTGCAATTAGTCTAACTTGTGTCTTGCTAGACTTAAGAGCTGCTTTGCTATGACAAAGATAAAACACTGAAAACTTTCTGTGGTTTCTAGGAGGTTATTTAGCTTGAAGCAGGCTTTGAATTATTTTATTCACTTTTAATTGCTAAATCTAACTTGTGATTTGTTAAATCGTTACTTCTATGAATTGAAGAACTTAGAGAGTTATTATCTGTTTCTGGGCATATTCCACTGCTGCTTCTCTAATCCTTTCTGTATTGTTCACTTTCCATTGCTAAATTTAAGTGCTTTAAGGAATCTGAAGTTGGGGTGGCATTGCTAAAATAATTATTATAATTAGAATTTGAAAATCCACTGCTTTGATTTGAAAGCTTTTTGTTACTAATGCCTTTTGACTAATTCTTTTTTCCTTTGATTTCTTGTTCCTCCCTCAAAATACTTTATTCAAGAATCTCAAACTCAGAAACTCTTAAATCGTTTTTCTCAGTTGGCTAATTTTTTTACATGCCTTATTTATTATCAATATCCTTACTATTATAACTAATTTATTTTCCATGTTAGTTAGAATCTTTAGTGGTCTGATTGTTACTCTCTGTCTTGCTTTACTTTTTGACTTCTTCAAACTCAAAAAATTGAGATTCCTAAAAATCAGAAAATTTCTTGGAATGATTGCTGGAAAGCACATTTATATTTTTTTTATCAAATTTTTAATCTATCTTATTAAACTCAATTTTTGTTTACAGCTTTTTATCGTAGCCATCAAGAGAAAAATCATTCTTATTATTACTCAAAATAGCTAGGTTTTTTGAATTAGGAGAGCTTATTTAAGATTATTGCTTTTAACCCTAAAAAATGTATTGATCATTATAGCTAAGTCTTTGCTGAATATGCTTATTGCCTCTAGCACTGTTCTTTCCTGCAATAAAATCATAATTGTCATCGTTAAAATTTGGTATCTATTATATTCCTAAGATTTCTTATTAACCTTTATTCAATTTATCTTATTTGGAATTAATTAACTTCCTACTTGAACTGCTACCATTTCTTTCTTTTTTTTCTTATTCAAGCTGAAGCTTGATTATCTTTACATTTTATTTAGAATTGCTTACACCCTACTTTTCGGCCTTTTTTTTTTAAGCAGAAGAAGTAGAAAGATTGCTTTTACTCCTGTTTTTGATATTATTAAAGCCAGATTAAATTTCTTCTTCTTATTTTTGTTACGCTATTAATGAGAATCTTTACTATTTAGATTGTTCATATGTTTAATTTTTTTTGAAAGAAATGAATTTGCCATTTTCTTATTAAGTAGGAGATTAACTTCTTGATTACGACCTATTGTTATTACTCTACTAATTTAAAATTGTATTGATGTTGCTTGTTCTATTCAGGTCTATTTTCCTTAATTGCGTGGTCTACTATCTATAATTTGCTGGTTAAATATTGTATTTATCCTAACCTAACTCTTCAGTGTATTATTTTCTACTATTTTGATCACTTAAAATCTAATTTTATTTATCAATATTTCCATATTCTCCTATCTTGCTTTATTTGCTGTTGCTATTACCTTCAAACTAGTAGCTATCTATTTTAATATATTTGAGTTGTTAATAATATAATTTAGAATAAAATATAAGCATTGTATTGATAAAATAACCTACTTTTATGGCTTGAGCTGCTTAAAAGTGTTTTCATACAATTTATAATGGTTGAAGAATCTAAAGAATAACTTGTTGAATATTCAAGTGAGTGAATGAATGAATAATAAACTTCAAGTGACTTTTTAAAATTATTATAAAAAGTTAACTGTATTTATTAATAGAAGTTTGTGAATCTATCTATCTATATTTTATGAATGAATGTAAATATCTCCTTATAATAATAACTAATCAATCAATTCTCTAAAGTAAGTAATTTAATTAATTAATTTTTAGTTTTAATTAAATTATTGATGAAATTCATTTAAAACTATAATTCCATTTGTCCAATCTTTCGTCATGCACACAGAGAAAAACCTTCATAAAACTTTCTTTATACTTTAAAAAATACAATAAAGTTCATTTCTTCTTCTTTATATTCTTCAATAACAATCCTTCCAACATATTTCACTTTTTTTAGTTTTTACGGTTAAAATTTACTTCAAATTGATTTTTTTTAATTTTTAATCAATTGTTTTGCAAACTAAATTTTAATCCTATCCTTATAATTTAAATAAAACTTTCTTTTTTATCAGATAGTAAATTATTGAACCTGTTTCACTTACTTAAAAAATGTATTAATATTTATTTAGATTTTTATTCTTTAATTACATGTTGATAATATTTTCATTATTAAAGATATTTTATCTGTATTATATTCCATCAATAATAAGTAGCAACCAATCTTTGAATAGCTATGTGTTGAAATATTTATTTTTTATTAATCAAAATATATAACTTTATTAGTTTTATTTAAAAAAAATATTTTAAATAAGAGCAACAAATTATTATTTTTGTTATATTTATAAACATTTTAAGAAATATAAAAAATAATTAATAATTAATACCTAATATCTACAATTTAGCCTTTAATTTATTTCTTTAACTGTAATCAGTTCATAGATTAATGAATCAATAAATCTGATTTTTTATTTAAATCATTATTTTAATAATTGTTATAAATTTTATAACTTATTTCAACAAAAAAATTAATTTAATAAGAAATGTTTTTTAAATTGTGGGTTTTCACTTAATTTTTAATTTACAAAACGAATTGATTTTGTTATTGAGTCATAACATAAAATATGTTCATTATTATTTAAGTTTGAAAAAACAATAACTTAAAAAAATTGAAAATGATATTAATAGAAATCTATTTTTTGAACTTGCTTTTTTATATAATTAAATTAATTCGTAAAAATCTTTAATATAAAGTGAGCATTTTAATATAAAATAATGGCATTTAAGTTATAAGTTTGTATTAAACTTTAAATTTGAAGAGCATTTAAAATAATATATACAAAATATAATAATGTTATTATAATATAATTTTTTTAAATATAAAATATTTAACTAAATTTAAATTTTATTTGAAATAATTTTTATTTCACTTCAAATAATTCATTTTTTATTTTTAGCTTTCTTATTATCTCTGAGTTAGCTTTATGAGCTATAATCTTCGTTAATTTAGGAATTTTTTTTTCTTATAGTAATGCTATTTGTAAATTCTTAGAGAGGCTGCTAATTTTAAAATTCTTATATTCTATTTTAATATTAAATAGAGGATATTCCATACTTACTTTTTCTTTATTGATTTTACAAATCACTTAGGTCTATATCATCAAGAGAAGGCTGATTAATTACAAAATTATTATATCTGTCTATATTATTATAGCTGTTTATATCGTGATATGCTGCAAACTATTTTTCTGATTGTTCATCTTAATAGACTTATCGGACATCATTGCATTCTTCATTAGTTTAGTAATATTTATCTTATTCTTAGTCTGAAAGGTATTCTTTGTCCTTTTATTTTCTGTAAAATTATTTAAATTCTGATGATTTCAAAATAATAATTACTCAGAAGAATGAGAAAGCTAATCCTTTACACCACTCTCCAGCAGGTGAATTTATGAAAATTTAGTTATTTTATCATTCAGAATTTGATTGCTCTTTAAAGCTGTTTGAAGACGTTACTCTAATTCATCATATTCACTTTGGTAACATTGAGCCTTGCATTTCCAATATTCAATTTCTTAGATCTTTTCTTTAAGTAAATACTTAATACTTTCGATTTCTTCTTCATATTCTTTATTAAATAAATAAAATATTAGAATTTCTTTTTTAAAATATTTTTGTTTGTTTACATTGAATTTAATTCTGCAATTCTTCTTAACAACTTTCGTTGTTGTTGTTGTTGTTGAAAGATTTTATTTATTTATTTTCTTTAGTCTTTTTGTCTTAGTTTGATTTATACTTTTAACATTTAGCAACTAGTTTTTCATTTTCCTTTTAAACATTTTGAATTTCTTGAGCTTGCTCTGAAACTATCTTTTTCAAATTATCTATTTCTAATTTCTATTTTTTACATTCTCCGTTCAGCTGCATATTTTCTTCGCCAAGTTCTTTATTTTCTTGTAACAAACTTTCATTCATCTCTATAAGCTTTTCAACTTTTTATCTTATTTCTCCATTCGTTTCAGTTCTTTATTATTCCTATTAAAAAAAATATTTCAAATAAAATAATTAGATTTTTTAATTTGTATTAAATACATTTGGGATAGCTTTTATAATAGTTGTTAGTCTCTCAATCTCCAAAAGAAGAGTATTTATTTGTGTTTAGTCTCTTTAAGAGATTTATAATTGCTACTAAAGTAATATATCTCTAGATTAAAGATTCTGCTAATACTCAAGTTCTTTTTATTTTATGTCTTCTAATAAAATATCGTATTTCTCTGACAGAATCAGAAACTCTTTATTTTTATTTTTTAATTAGTTATTCATTCTTTCAATTTCTTCACTCAGCTGAATCATTACTTTATGAGATGTTTTTGCTGATTAATCATAGAGTTGCTAATGTTGTTGCACTTATTATTGAAACTATGATTAGCTCGATTATTACATGAGCTATTAAGAATTTTTTTGTATTTAACTTTGATTCATTTATTCATTTTCCTTAACAGTAAATTCTTATTTAACACTAGATAAATTGCTACAATTAATTTCCTGATTTTAATTTGTCGTATTTATTTAGGTTTGTGCATTTAAGCTATTTTTCAATTAATTCTAATAGTCTTAGCTCATTGTTAGATTATCAGCTCTTTATTGATTCATTTGCTTTTGTTAGATTTATTGTTAGTTATTTTCTTAATTAACAACATCATTATTAGAAATTTTAACAAAATTGTTATTTGGTTGCTATGGTTTATCCTATAATTAGTCTTATAAGCTTGCATTAACTTAAGATTTATTTTGTTAAAAAAACTAATCCAACTCGCTTTTCTAAAAAAACTGAGCAGTGCTATTGTTTTAAGGAACATTTTTATAATTGTTTGCTAGCATAGCAGAAGAAAGTTGATTTTATAAATTGAGTGAAGAATTAGCAGTGCTATTTGATCTGCTTTAGCAAACAGAAGAATTACTTGCCTTAAGCTACTAACTACTTTCAACATATTATATATTTTGGTTATTAAAGCTAAGCTACATAGAAGAAGACTAATCTAATTAGTTATTGATCCATATTTAATTATTCATTAAATTTTAATTTATAGGAGAAGGCATATTAAGGAGGTGCTTATTTGTGCTATTTTATAGTAGAGAATTTTGATTTATAATGTTAGAATTTTTTCTGCAAAGAACAGCTGGCCTTTTTGGCGGTGTTATAGATCTAAGCTATTATGAGCTTTGCTGATTGTTTTAGGTATTCAAACATTTACTGCTAGTAACATTAGAATTATCTAATTAATTAACTTTGTTATAGTTGTTCATATTTATGAGAAGGAAATCTGTCTATTTTATAAACAAGAGAGAAGGATATGTTATGAATAATACTATGAAAAATTGCTAGATATCTGTTAGCCTATTACTACTAATACTGTTATTCTTACACTCTACTATTGAAAAGGTATTTATTATCTTTTCGATTTAATTTATTATTTAAGACTAAAAATTCAAAGTCTACTTCTGTATTTTTTTGTGAATAAATATTTAATTATTTTGAAGTAAATCCCAAGCAAAAATGAATGAAGATTTAATCAGATTTATATTTTATTATCAAAATTTATTATTTTTTTTAACGATAACATTGACTGTTTATTTGTTCTTCTCTCTATATATTGCATTAATTCAAATATAAATTGTATTAGTGGATAATATAAATTCTTCATCTAAAACAAACAAGTATACAAGCATAAATCACTTTAATTAATATTACTCATTTATTTAAATATATTTACAATAAATAATAAATAAATGTATGGTTTTTGATTTATTAATACAAATTTTATATTTAAGAATGAATACAATAAATTTTCTAAAATAAAATATGAATAATACTATTAAATTCTTTTTCTAATCTAAAAACAAATTTTCAAATTATATTCAAGGAATTTGTATTAACTCTCATACAAAAGTTAAGAAATATACATATCTATTAAATTATAGTAAACATCTTCAGACCTTTGATCATATAGCTTTAAAGCATTACTATATAAAAATATGGCTTAAGAATGAATATTTTTTTTTGTGAAACTAAAATTATTAATTTGACATGTTTTTAACTTTATTTATTACCAAAATTTATATTTTATATAAAAACTGCATTTTATTATTAATTGAGTTTTTATTAAAATAGAAATATATTTTGAAAATTTTTTGGATTAGATTATTAAAATTTAAGAAATTTATGCTTATTTTTTCTCTTAACAAAATAGCAAATATTTATGTTTTCACTTTAAATTTTTAAATCTATATTTTAAAAACATAACTCAATAAATTTAATAGCTGAAATTGATTTTTAAATCAACTTTTAAAAAATTAAAACTCAGTCTATAAAAATGAACAATTTTTATAAAACTTTAAAATAAATAATCTACCTTTAAAGTAAGAATATTTTATTTAACAGTATTTAATTGGGTTTGTTTCAATAATTAAATTTTTATTTTTTTAGTTTTTGTTTGAATTTAAAATTGATTAATATAAAATATAAAGTAATTTAACTCTGAAATTTATAGTAAATATGAATAAAAAAGTAAAACAAACAGTAAATATTAATTATTGGCTTGAAGTAATGTTTTTACTTTGCCTATAATTAAAATATAAAATATATTATAATTGTTATAAGTATCATATATTTTAGGACTCTATTAATTAAAAATAAATTTATATAACTCTATCTTTATGTTAGTATTCATTCACTCAGCTCAGAAAAGGACAACAACTTTTTCAAAAGCAGATCCAAGTTTATTCTTGGTCAAGTCATCTCTTAGGCTGACTTACTGGTCTTTTTCAACTCCAACCTTGATCAAAGAGAGATCCAAATGTTATAATTAATGCATTTGTCTGAAAGAGTTAATTATTTCTGTGGCTCCTTCTAATTTAATCTTATCGTTGAAATTAAAGTTGACTACAACATCATTCAATCTTTAGATTTTGACAAGTCTCTTAACTATCTTAGAAGCAGCTCTGCTTTCAAGGGGGTTTTAGTATAATTGTAAGTTGACCTATCTCAATAAAGTCAAGTCCTTTAAGCTTTAAGAAAGTTCAATTGCGCTTGAATTCTCCAAATCTTAAAATTATTTCAAAAATAAATAAATATTCAAATTTTAAAAAGTATTTTTAGTTAGTATTATTCATTTTTTATTTTTAAAAGTATTATTTTTTACCTGTGTAGCCGAGATCTAAGACTAAGTGGGTTAAGTTAGTGAGCTATCTTATGGCACGGACAAGTGATTTTTATGAGTCTAAAGTGAGGCTGTTTTTAGAAAGAGAGAATCCTCCAAAGCTGACATTTAAGTGGGTCAAGCTTGTTGCAAAGTGGGAAAGGGATTAAGAAAGAGAGGAAACGTCAGTAATCTTATTGTATTTAGCATCAAAAGTAAATTTCTTCAAGTTGGTAAGAACACCAAAATGAGCGACTAAGTTCTAAACTGAAGCTGAGGATAAATCATTCATACCGATTTCAAAGTGCAAGCTTTCTAAGTTAGTTAAATGAGAGATTTAAGCACCTAATTAGGTAGAGAATTCATCTCCAAGCTTGTTTCCATATAAGTTAATGTGGAGATGATTTAATCCAGTCAATACAGATAAAGCTTAAGTAATTTCATGGACACTTTCAGTTTGGGTCTAATATTGGATAAAATTAAATAAATTGATTCAGTTTAATAAATAATTTACATGATTATTTTCTAAAATTATAGTTAAATGTCTGAGGTTAGTAAGAGTGGCGAGATCAGAGCCAATCTTTTTAGCTTCTTATTGAGTAAGAGGCTTTTTAGAGAAGTTAAGAACAAGTTCAGTGTCTTCCTTGATCATTTAGTTAGTAATTAAGGAGACTTCTTGAGCAGCTTATATGTTTAAGACAATACCTTGAGTATGCTCATATAAATTAGTAAAGCATCCACTTTAACTCTTAACCTTTTCAATCAATTCCTTCAATCCATTTGTCCAAATGTCCAAAATCTAGTCCTTAGTATTGAAAGTAGGTTGGTTCTCAGATAGTTTTTCAATCTTTTCTCTGTAATAATCCTCGGTTCTCTTACCTTTTTGTTTTTAATAAATACAATTTTTAAATTTATTAAAGATGAGAACTGATTTAAATAAGGAATTAATTTAATAATTTTACCAATTGTGCGGATTTCAACTGAAGCGCTATTCCATGCTTCCTTCTAGTGAACGATTTGAGCAAGATAGCTTTCTACTTAGTTAATGTCTTCTTCAGCTGAGACCTTATCTCTGATTTCAGTGAATTTAGGAATGTTAGCTTCTTGTTCGTTGTCAATCTTAATTTCCTATTCAAATCTATTATAAAAGTTTCTGAAAATTGACTTTTAGCTCTCAAGAACTCCCTTCAATTCAGTCACCTTTTTAAATTCATTAATAATATTAATAAATTGCCAATTTTTTGAATTTAAAAATTTTTTTTATTTTTAATGTAATTTTCAATAAAATTAATTTTTTACCATTTCATTGCATTTTTCTTGATATTGGTTCTACAATTCAGTGGAAAGAGCAGACTAAGTTATAATGATAAAAAATCACATTACTTTTGCATTTAATTTTTTAAACTTACGATATGGCTCTTTTCTTATTCAATGTGGCTTTCAAATTGACTGATTTTAGCCTTCTTAGCTTCAGCGATTTGGAGAGCTTCAGCAGAAGCAGGAACGCTTTATTTTAATATAGAATTATGTTAAAAAAAAAATTAAATTTAAAGTAGCATTATTAAGTGAAAATGAATATTTTGTATGGCGAATCTATGCTGATGGCTTTAAAAATAATTGTAGAGTAAAATAAGCTTTGTTCTTACTTAATACCAGAAGAAGTAGCAATATTCTAAACGAATTCTTCGTAGGTGATCAAGTTAGTGTTGTCCTTATTTTGACCTAAAGCAATACATTTAGCACAAAAGAAGCTCTTTGAATCAGGATTGAATGAAGGGCAGACAAGGATGATGGGTGACTTGAATATTAAATTAATAAAAAATTAATTTTGATTTAATGCAAGAAATCAAATTATTATTTTAAGTAAAATATTTTTTAATTTAATTGCAGAAGAGTTTGATTTTTTCTAGATTCCTACTTTGTATGATTAAGTAGAATGATAATAAATGAGGTGTTGAATGACTAAAATGGCATAAAAATTTGAGAATGTGCAAAATAAAAACATCCCTTTGAGTTTTAAAATGTACTAAAAATGGTTGCAATTACCTTGTGATCTGCACAACGAAGTTGAGGAAAATCAGGGTGATTCTATTCCATTTTTTTGTGTTGTTGTTATTGTAGTTTTTGATCGTAAACTATTTGAGTTTTAAGAGATTGTTATATTATAATTCTAAAAGAGTTTGATCTTTGCTTGCTTGCTTGTTTGTTTGTTTCTCTTTTCTTATTCTTCTTTTTTGATTTAATTAGGATTTGATTCTATCAAAATTGCATGTCATATCTTTTTAATACAAAATCCTTTTGATTTCAAAATTATCCAATCAAAACTTAGATTTTCTTCAAAAATCTTTTCCCGCTTGCATCTACTTATTTGTTTTTAATAAGTAATTGTATTCGAAACCTCAACTGTGCCTATTTTTTTTCCCCAAAAAATAAATCTAAATAAATGATATTTTAAACAAAATCCTTAATCAAATACCTTTGTTGAAAATTTAAATATCTCTCCTATTTCTCTCTGATTTTAAATTTATTAGAAAATTCTATTGCAATATTTAATTAATCATTTATATTTTGCTTTTGTGAATGTGAATTAATAAATTATAATTAATGATTTTTTTCTTTTGTATTTTAAAGTATTTCCATTAAGCATTACTTTCTTTATGAATTTGAGTCTGTAATAAATAAAAAAATACACAATTCAAAATTTAAAAATTTTAATAGCTTATTTTATTTGTAATTTCTATTAAAAAATAATATAGAATATAATAAATTTCATTTAATAATCCATATTTATTCATTATTTCAATGCCTTTAAATAATTTAAGTTTTCTTTTAACTTAATACTAAGATATAAATAACCATTGTTTCTTATAAGTAATTTAGATTCACTTATTAAACCTAGCATTTTATAAATAATTATGATTTAAATGGGACTTTCTTAATTTCTTATTTTATATTACATTTTAATATTCTGAAAAGTTTTTATAAAAAGATAAATAAATAAATAATCTTATACATATATCTTAAGAAATTCTAACTAGGAAATCATTAATAATAACAAAATTAATAATAATTATTATTAATACATCTTTGAAAATAATAAATTTTAAGAAAATTTACCTATCTTAGATTTTATTTTATTTTACATTATTTAATTTATTTTAAGTGTTCATTTTATTAATATTTTTTCAGTTTATTAATTTACAATTTTTATTTTTATTTTTTCTTTTTATTAACTTTTAAAAAAATTTACATAAACTAATTATTATTAGAATTGAATTTTTTCCTCATTAGTATAAAGTTAGTTCATAAACATAATAAAATAAAATTATTAAAAATTTGTTAAAAAGTTGTTTTAAAAATGTGAATAATAAATACATCCCTCGAAGTAAAAAATGATTAGAGAGCGAAAAATTTGGCATTATAGGTATCGATTTCGAACTTTTTGCTCCTAAAATGATCCAGCCAGTTTTAAATTCTTTTTAAAATATTTATTTTAATAATTAGATATCCAAATTTATTATACATATTTTATTAGTTTTTTAAAAATTTATTTTAATTAATTTAAAAATGTAAAATCTATTTATTAAAAATTTATTTATATAAATTTAAATGAGCTTATTGGAGCACCCAACCCATTTATCTAAATAACATTATCTTGCAAGAAAAATTAATTGTATTGAGAGTATTTAGAGATGTTATAATATATTAAATATATTTTAATAAATTATAATATTCACCTCATTTTTGCACTAAAACAGAAAAATATAAAATATTAAAATTATTTTATCAAAATTTAACTACATTTGTTAATCAACATATTACTACCCATCTTTAATTTTTGATATTTTTATAAGAATAAGTTTTAACAGAAATATTAAGATTTAATAATGAATGTTACACTAATTTGTTTGTGATTTCTAATACTAAAGGCAGATTATGAATTTTTAATTGATAATTATTTAAATTTACTTGTTCTTTTTTCCAAATTTATTTGATATAAAAGTTAATTGATTTATAAATTTTTACAATTAAAATCTCCATAAATTGATTATCAGTATTTTTGAAAAATAAAAAGAATGATATAAAAGTAAATAAATTTTAGCAATCTAGAAAAAGTAAATATTTATTTTACTATTCATTTTAATTAAATTATTTTTATTAATATAATAAGTTTTTAAACTCTTAACTTGAATCACATTAGTACATCCTTATTTAAAATTAGAGGTACATTTAATTTATTAATATTGTATTATTAATACTTTTTTATATTTATTTTTCATCTGATTTACAAGATTATTTTTCAAATTAAAAAAATCATCTAATTTTATTACTTTTATTAAAAAAATTATTTTTGAATTGTTTTAACCTAATTTTCATTCAATTTTTATTTAAATTATTAATTATTTATTTTTTTATTTTTTATATTTTTTCTTCACTTTTACTACCAAATTAACTCTTTATTTTTACTTAGTCTAAAGTAATTACAGTTTATTTGTTATAGATTGTGATATTTTTGAATATAAAAATGAATTTAAAACAATATAACTAACTCTTTTTATTTATTTATTAGCTTTTTATTTGATTTATTTTTTTATTTTGATTTTATTTTTTATTTATTTTTTTGTTTGCTTATTTAACAAATGTTTTCATTTTTAACTTTTGCTTTGAAAAATTAATTAATTTTTTATTATTTCATATTTTTTCTTTATTTATTCCTTCTAACAAACTAATAAACTCTATATATTTTTCTACAATATTTAAAAAGTGAAAATTAACTTGGCGATGAAGGCGCTTTAAGTTTAGGTTCTGGTTTAGGAAAGTGCACTAATGTCTCAATTTTGAAACTTCTTCTTGAGTAAAATTATTTTAGTTCTGGATTGTCATTTTTTAATATAAAAATGAATTTTTTTCTTTTTTTTTCTATTCTGTTAGCATTTTTATTTCTTTGTTTATATTTTTGATAATTTAACTCATTTTTTAATTTTCAGCTTTTGGTTTTATTTTTAATTAGTTAATTCATTTTTATTATTTCATATTATTTCTTCATTTTTTCCTTCTAACTAGCTAATTAAAAATATATAATTTCTTCAATATTTAAAAAGAAAAAATTAAATTAGTGATAGAATAGAATAGAAATACTCGCACATATATATGCACTCAGAATAAATCTTAATTTATGTGATTGTATAATAAGTTTTATGTATTAATTTTTTTTTTATATATATATATTTTATTTTATATATTATATAATAGATAAGGGGAATTATTGCCGGTCAACCCATATTAATAACCATAAAACCAAAAATTTAACGTAATTATTTTGGATTGTGATATTTTTGTGTATAAAAATGATTTTAAAACAATATTACTAACTCTAATAATTAATTTATTAGCTTTTTATTTGATTTATTTTACTTTCTTTTTTTTATTCTGCTTGTGTTGTTTATATCTTTGTTTGTTTATTTATTGATTTAACTTATTTTTTCATTTTCAACTTTTATTTTTATTATTAATTTATTTATTATTTAATATTTTTCTTCATTTTTTCCTTCTAACTAACTAATTTATAATTTTATCTTCAATAAAATTTAAAAAGTTAGAATCAAATTGGTGCAATTGGTGCATCAGGCTTAGGTTCTGGTTTAGGAAAGAGCACTGCTCTCTCAAAAGCAATAATCTCACTTAAGTAAAAACAGTTTATTTGTTTTGAATTGTGATATTTTTGAATATAAAAATGAATTTAAAACAAAATAACTAACTCATTTAACTTTAATTTATTAACTTTTTATTTGATTTATTTTTCTTTTCTTTTTTTTTTACTTTTGTTTGTATCTATTTATATCTTTATATGTTAATTTAACTCATTTTTTCATTTCCAACTTTGGCTTATATTAATTTCTTATAAATTTATTTTTTTCTTAATTATTTCCTTCAACTAACTAATTAACCATGTATTTTTTCTTTAATATTTAAAAAGTGAAAATTAAATTGGTGATGATGATGCATCTGGTTTATGTTCTGGTTTAGGAAAGTGTACTAAACTCTCAAATTTGGAACTTCGTCTAGAGTAAAAACAGTTTATTTGTTTTGGATTATGATATTTTTGAATATAAAAATGAATTTAAAGCAATATAATAAAACTAACTCTTTGAATTTATTTATTAAATTTTTATTAGATTTATTTTTCTTTTTTTATTCTGCTTGTGTTTTATTTTTATTTATTTTTTTGTTTGTTTGTTTGTTTTTTAATATAACTCATTTTTTCATTTTTCAACTTTTGCTTTTATTATAATTAATTTCTTATTAATTCGACTTATTTCTTCATTTTTTCATACTTACAGACTAATTAACTATCTATTTTTTCTTCAATATTTAAAAAGCACTAATAAAATTAGTGCAATCGGTGCATCATACTTAGGTTCTGGTATAGCAAAGTGCACTAATATCTCAAATTTGAAACTTAATGTTATGTAAAAATAGTTTATTTGTTTTGGATTGTGATATTTTTCAATATAAAAATGAATTTAAAATAATATAAGTTTCTCTTTTAATTTACTTATTAGTTTTTATTTTATTTTCGATTATGATAAAATTTTATTTATTTATTGATTTAAAAATTATATTGATTAAAAATTTTATTCTATTTATTTTTTTTTAATTATTTACACTAATTTTAATTTAAAGTTCAAATGATTTCAACAAATCTCAATTGAAAGTAAAGTGTCTCAAATCAAAAGGATTAGTTACCTTAGAAATAAATTGGTGAAATAGGAAATATAAATATATTTGAATACTTTAATATGTTTTTTTTTAATTATTTTTTGTAATTGGATAAATTAACCTAAAATATGAATAGATTTATTTTTATATTTATTAAAATTATATTTTTGTAAGCTAATAAATAACTTACTAAACAAAACAAAATTTAAAAGTTAAATTTATTTAAATTAAATAACTAATCTAAAATCAGCCCAAAACTTTTACCAAAAACTATCAAAGTTTTATTAGTTGCTATATTATTTAAGCCTAAGTAAGACCTTCGCTTAGATTGCAAACAGGGAACATGTTTGCAAGGGGATTTTTGTTCAAAATGTGAATATTCACAAGTGAAATTTTTTGCAAAATCTGAGTATGTCTACAAACAAATTAATGCTTAATGCTAATATTCACACAAAAATTTTTTGATAATATTTGTATATTTCAAATTAAAAATGAGTAAATTTATTAAGAAAAGATGCTAAAAACAAACATTTCAAGTATCTTATATTTAGAGTTTAAAAAATAAAAATTTAAGAAGGTATAAAAATGAAATAAGAATATTTTATAAAATAAAAAAATAGTTAAGTTATTGATGGCGCTCTTTCATAATATTTGATCAAATTTAATAGAACCCTCTTGGTTTTCATCATTAAAAAAGTATTATATATAGATAGTATTGAATAATATACACTTATATTAAATAAAAAATTAAATTTTTCCTATAAAAATTTAAAAGAAGAAAATAAATTTAAGCAATTTTTTTTTGAAAATCAAAATATTAATTTTAGTTCTAATTCCATTCAAAAATGGAAACAAAATAAATAAAAAAAATTTAATTTTTCTTGCAATTTTAACCTTTATGCTCACCCAGAACACCCTATTATCCAATAAAAAATAGTATTAATCAATCTATAAGGATAAGAGCTGAAATTTCAGCTCAATAAAAAAAGAAACGTTTATGGAGATAAGAAAATTGCAACCAAATGTAGTATGCCTGCAGGAAATAAGACAGTTCCAGTTCAGAAATTCACTTGCTTTCAACTTTATTTTCAAAAACAGAGCTGATGAGAATTAAGGTGGAGGAATCTGAATTGGATTTACTAGAGACTCAACTATAGAGTTATTGACCAGTTAATACCAGAATAAATCCTAGAGTAGTAGTGTGAACTGCAACTAATAGAAGTTTTTCATTAAAGGTTTAAATTTTTAAAACTTAATGTTTATATTTCTGGTAAAATCTCAAGAACAAGCAATTTTAAAAATAATTTAAATAATCTTAAAAGTCTTTTTATAGTATTTACTGATTAGGGTTACTTTATAAATAAAGTAATAATTTTGATTGAAAGTTTTATTTATAAAAGTTGAATAAAACAATATTTTTACTTTTTAATATTGTATTTGATAGAAAATAATTATCATTTTTTATTTTGAGTAGATTGTTTGCATAAATAGCTAAATTTAATACAACATAAATTATATTCTTTTTTGATATAATAAATTTGAATAGAGCTTAAAAAACAAATAAATATCAATTAAAATAAAACACAATTAATTAAAAACCACTAAATAATTGAGAAAATGATTGATATGTTAGGCGTAGCTTTGCTACTAATGTCAGCAATACTTGTTATTTAGTCTGCAGTTGGAAGTTATTTTGCCCATAAAAAGATTCGTATGTTACATGAATCAGGTGTTGCTATTCTACTTGGAATGATTCTATCAGCAATCTGCAAATTTTGTTTTGACTACTCTTTAAAACTTAATAAATAAGTGTTTTTATACGGATTCCTACCAATTATTGTTTTTGCTGAAGGATTTTCTTTAAAAAAGAGATATTTTTTTAAGAATATGATGCCAATCATCTTATACGGGTTATTAGGGACAATTATCACAATGGCAACTACAGCTATTCTTATTCAAATAGTTACTGAGTAGGAATTGGTTTACATTTAAATACCAAGTAGTAAGAATAATGATTAGAATTAAGATTAGGATCCAGATTAAGATGATTATAATAGCTTATCTTATCCAATTTAGTTTGCCCCTAAAGAAATTCTGCTTTTTGCATCAGCCTTTAGTTCCAAAGATAGCTTTATGGCTAGTACTATGGTAGATCATCATAGTTTCCCTAGGATTTTCCACATAATATTTGGCGAAGGTATTGTAAATGACGCCACAGCTCTACTTTTGTTTGATAGCTTTGAATAATTAGTAGATGAAGAAAAAACAATACAATGGAATATACTTCCAAATATTCTTTTGAATTTCATAAAAAGTCTTGTCATTAGTCTTTCTGTAGGTAATCAATCATTTTTATTTTTCTTATTATTTGTCATTTACATTTATAATGATTTTGATACTTGCTCTATAAAGCCATTTAATAATAATTAAAATTGAAAAAAGGCTATAAATTTTGAGTAATCAACTTAACTTGGAATAATCTTAAAAATATCTAAAAATTTAAATTACATCACTTAATTTGCTGATAATTTGATCAAAAATATTAATTAAAGTTTGATCAGCAAGTGAAAAGATATCAACACTAAATGCAACAAAAACTATAAAAAATATTAATAAATACAATTTATTTTTTTTTGGTTACATAAATTTGAAACAGAATAAGAGTTTTATCAAAATTTCCACTTGATTTATTTATTTTTTTGATGGCTTAAAGAAAAACTTAAAATTAAAATAATACATTTATACTGAAAGTTTGACCACATGTGTTGAAAAGATAACAACTCAAAATGATACTTTTTATTTTTTTTTGTAGGTTTCAATGTTTGATAAACAAAATAGCAAAACAAAAACAAAAAAGCAATCTTACTGATGAAATGTATATCAATCAATACAAAAGCAAAGTTTAAAATCTAACTTATACAAAAATTTAGATTTATTTTATTCATTATTTGATATTTTTATTATTCATTTCAAAGTATATTTTGAGTTATTTAAAGAAATATGAAAAAGACATTTTTATTGGTTTCACTTTATAATTTTAACAAAATATATTTTAATTACAGTTTCAAATTTTGCTATGAGTTTTATTTTAAAAAATAATTAATTTATTATATTTTTTAAATTGAAATTAACTTTTTATTTTAAAAGGAATTAGCTTTGGCGTTTTATGCAGTCTGATTTTGAAGTACTTGACGTTTATTTAGAAAACAGTAATACATGAAGCTCTAATAATATTTTTTTGCTCTTTTTGCAGTTACTCATTAATAGAATCTATGCATTTATCTGGTGTGGTTTCTCTATTGTTTTGTGGTATTGTTTGTGGACACTTTGCTTTTTATAATTTATCTGAGAAAGGAATGATTTGCTGTAATTATACTTTTCATATTATATCTAGTGGAGCAGAAAATTGCTTATTTGCTTACATTGGCTTTACGACATTTAATACATATGATTATGCTTGGAGCTTTTCTTTTATAGGATTTGTTTTAGTTTTTCTTTTAACTTCCCGTATTTTAAGTGTATTTATGACAAGTTTAATAACTGATCTAATTTTGAGATGCTTTGGTAAAAGATACGATGTGAGCTTTAGAGATCAGATTGTGCTTGCCCTCACAGGCATGAGCAGAGGAGTATTAGGATATATCCTGGTTCAAAGATTAGATACATACAATACTTAAGATGATTTTTATTTGGTTTTGCAATCTACAATTGTAGCTATCATTGTTTTAACTACTTTTTTGTTTGGACTTATAACACCCAAAATAGTTGACTGCTGCCTTGTCACACCTGATCCATTTAGGAATTCAAATTCACTTTTTATGAATAATTAACCAATAAAAACATAAGAAAATCGGTAGGATAGTAAAGCTTAGCATGATGAAGAATCAGATTGTGAGAAGGGATAAAATAATGTTTAGTAAAAAGAGATTGAAATAAATTAATAATCATAGAAAGATATTTTTAAAAAACAAATGAAAGAATACTTGTTGACTAAGAAACCAATTGACCAAAGTGCAGTTAACAAAAGTTATTCTTTAAAATTTCGTTAATTTTATATTTTAAAAATTAAACCATTTTTGATCAGAGACTTCTTTGAGAGATATCCCATTTTATAGTAATGCAAAATTTATTTTAAGAATGATAAATTTGATATTCGTCGTCCTGAAGCATAAGCTTTAGATTAAATTTTATTGCACAAGTCTATAGAATAAAGAGTTGCTACTTTTTAGTCAAATAGCATTAATGAAAGTCCGAAAAGCTCAATAGTTATGAATATCGAATAAAGTCAAGAAGAAAATGAAATAAATTAAATAGAATCTATCATTATTGAATCATTCAAGGAGTAACAAAGTTTAAAAGAAAAATAAAATTGATAAAAAATATTAGTTTTAAATTATGTAAAAAATATTTATTTTAGTAATTCAAATATTTACATTTTTACCTATTAATTTTAGTATCAAATTATTTCAAAAATATAATTTTTTATTTATAAATAATGCAATTTTTCCTTGATATATAAACTTGTTTTTCCAAAAATGTTGGTAAGAAAAAACATTTGATTATATATTTTAATAAATATGTTTTTTTTATACATTCTTTATTATTTTAACAAATTGAGGTGAAGTTATTTTAAATTGAATATCAATTTATATGATCTTTAAAACTCTCAATAAATTAATTATAGGATATTATTATTTGTATTTTTATTAATATTTAATAAATTTTACTCTAATTAATTATTTGTTCTCTTTTAAAAAATATTTTTCACTCAATATGGATGTAAATCTCAAAATTATTTTTTTTAAATCTAGGGATTAATAAAAGTAATTAAAGTAAAACTAATTAATGTTACACTCTATTTTTTACAAAAAGTTTTTACAATAATTGATTTACAATTATTTGCAGAAGAAAGATAGTTCATTCATAATAAGTTAAAAAATTTAATAATTTGAGAATTAAGTAAGATTTAAATGATAAATGAATTTTACTTTAATTTGTGAAATAATACATAAATTAAACATTAATTTTTGTTATAAAATTTTAATATTAAATTTTTTTAAGAGCGGAATCTATATTCACATAACTTCAATAATGAATTAAACTAATTTTTTAGATTTCAAAGCCTTTCTTTAATAGCCAGCAATGCCTTAATTTAACTAATAATGACTATAAAAATTTATTTAATATTAAATTTTACTAATTTAATTTACTTCAGATACAAATTAAGAATATTAATATCTTTGCATTATAGTGTTGAGTCAATTAATGAGGTCATACCTTCATAATTAATTTTATTAGACCTAATAAAAATAAAAATTATAAATTCTATTCCTTATTTTTTTTTAATTTATCATAGTTTGCCTCTGCAATAAAATTTAACAAACTATTACAATATTTATAAAAATTAAATTAAATGCTTTAATACTCTATCCAAATTTCTAAGACTTTAAGCTTTTTGAATTACATAAGCCCCTTTCCTAAACTTTTTGCACCTTCTTCTTCTATTAAATTTTTTCTTTATTACAAAAAGTTATATTATTCAATTAATAAATAAAAGAAAAATTAAAATTTCTACTCTAAAAAAAGAGATAAATCGTAAAGATGAGGTAATTTTTATAAAGCAAAAGTCAACTCATGAATTCCTAGTGAACTTATTGTATTCTCTCTAAAAATTAGGATAAAATATTATTGAAATTGAATGAATGATAATTTTACGATAAATATAATAGCAGTTTTTGTAAACTAATGCATTAAGATAGTCCTTTACTTAAATCAGATAATACTTCATCATTTATTGAAGATTCCCTATATTTGAATATATTTGTTTGTTTAATGATACATTTTTATAAATAATATTTAAAGTATGATGCTTACGATAAATACAGATTAAATTGTTATATACCAGTTAAAAAAGCTATATAATCTCCAAAATCTTATAATTTTGCAATCTCTATTGAACTATATAAAATATATATTTATTATTTAAAAGAAAGGAATTGCATGCTTTAATTAAACTAACTTAATTATAAAATTAACAAAAATTAAATCTATTAAAATAATTTAAATTATTTATTTACCTTATATCAAGCTCTAATTTTACTAAACTCTAACATTTTTTCAAAGAACAAAATAGTTTTAAATAGCTTTCTGTAGTTAATTTATTGTCTCTTTTATGTAATATTAAATATTTTAATCAATCAAATTTTTTAAATTTTTCAAAAAGTACTCTACAAATAATTCCAGAGCTTTTAAATAATTTAAGCTTTCTAAACTTAGAGATAGGCAAAAGAGGCCTTCATCAGAAATTGAATTAAAGCTAATAATTTATAATAACTACTTAAAATTGTAATTCATAAAGCTAATTTAAACATAAAATAAACTTAAATAAATTTGAAAGTGTATACGTTAGAAAGAGATTTAAATATTTTAATAAACTTAATATTTTAAGTGTTTCAGAAAGTTAGCATAATCCTCTTGATTCTATCTAATTTTGTCTTAATTAAAAAAGTTAATTTAATTTATAAAAATTATATAATAGATGGATGCTATTTAATTAAGACCTCCCTAAACTAAAATAGAGTAGGTTTTTATTATTAAGATCTATAACTCAATAAAAATTTTGGAAATTCATAGCCTTAATTAAAAAATATCTACAGTAAATTTTTGAAATAATTCATGTTAAAAAATCAGCAAATTATTTTTAAATATTGTACTAATAATAATTATTTTTATAAAGAAAAATATAAAGTAAAATTAGAAAATTAATTATTATTATTATTACCTCAAATTTAGATTTAATTATTCTAAATTTTTAAATAAAGCTAGTTTATTGCTTAGCTCTATTGCTCCTACTACTCCAATTTTACAAAAACTTTAACAATATTGTTTTATATGTTTGAAACAGGTATATAAATAATTTAATTTACGAAAAGCAAAGATCTAATTAAACCATCTATGTCAAAACTGTATCTCTAAATTGCAAGCAATCATAAACTTTATCTCCAAGATTATTGCAACTTTAAAGGATTATAATACAAAATACTAAATAAATAAATAAAAATAAATAAATAAATAAATAATATTTACTCTAGTTTTAGCTGCAGAGATGTTAAAAAAGTTAATTAGCTTAAAGATTCGCCTATATTGTAAATTTCAGAATCACAAATATTATTATCGCTTTATTTATACATTCAAATAAATGTTTAAAATAATTATCCTTTGAATGATTAATTGGTTTTTAATATTAAAAAACATTCTCAACTAATGAAAAAATTACACTAAATTTAATTTGAGGATCGTGATTTAATTAGTAAAACTTAATTAATTCAGTAAGTTTATTACAGTTTGAATTTTTAAATTCTTGTCTGAGCTATTTTTAAAAATATATTTTAGATTGATGATTGTGCTTGATATTTGTTTTCTAAAATCATAACTAAAAAACTTAAATATATTGAAATTAAAAATTCTAAAGATAATTTAAATCATAGAAATTACCTCAGATTAATTTAAAATTCTGTAATATTTCTACATTTAATTAATCCACTAATTAAGTCATTCGTTCTTTGCTCAGTAATTCTAGAATGTCTTTTATTTATTATTATTTGTTTTATTTAAGCTAAATTATGAATCTTGAAATAAATTTTTTCTACTATAGATTTAGAATTATTCGTTTCAGATTTGTACACAAAGAAAGTGCAGTACTTATTTATTGAGATTCTGTATCTTCAAAATTTTTAAATCTTTAAGTTTATTTTTAACAAAAGATTAATAATATTTATATGAATGCAAATTCTTATCATAAAATAATAAAAGGATTTCTTTAAAAATTAATTAAATTACTCAAAATTTAATGTTAGGCATTCATGATTGCTTAAATTTGAAGACAAAAACTTTAATTTATAAAAGTTTATTTAAATATAATTAAATAATAAGCTATTACTTTCTTTATTTCATTAAAAATCATTTTTAATAAACCCTATTCTAATTTTTATATCTAAATCAATTTATTAAATTTGTTATTTAATGAATATTTAAACTCAAACTCAACTCAGCTTAAAATAAATAAATATAAATAAATAAGAATAAAAGTTATTGAAAATTGTTTATGTTTAGGTTAGTTATTAGTTAAAAGAATCAAAATTTAAGTTCTTCATAAATAATTTCATGATTTTTAGATTAAAGGATTATCCATTTTTTAAAAATTAATTAATTGCTATTTTAAATTATTTATGAGCTGTTGATATAAGAATTAATTTGATAATTCAATAATAGATTTTAAAATATTTTAAAAAGTAAAAATTATATTCTTTAATCTAAAATTATATTATTTTCTAAAAAAAGATACCTATAATATAAGATAGGTATTATCAAAAAAAATTATTTTCCATCCATCTTAAATGAGAAGTATTTTATTTTTTTAATTTAAAAATCAATTTTATTATTTTTAACAAAATTAAACTAAAAAATAGTTGTATTTTTAAAAATATGATAAAATTTTTAAGTAAACTCAATCAATTAGAATAAAAAACTAAGAGAAAAAAAGTTATTTTTAAAAGGTTTTAGGTTCTTATTAAAAATTCGCAAATTATTTAAGGTTATATACATTATTGATAGATTCAATAAAAGAAATAGGATCAGATTTTTATTAGCAAATAATTTCTCTTTAGGACATAAAATATCCTTGCTTATATTTAATATGTAATATAATAAAATGAGTCAAATTTAAGATTATTAAATTTATTCTTTTACTATTCAAAAAAGCAAAGTTCATTATTGTAATTTCTAAATTTTTGAAGGTAATAAATATTGATTGATAAATGTCATTCAATAAAAAATAAATAGGAAATAACAATTTTATTAGCAAGTATTTTCACTTTAAGACATAAATTTAATAATATACTTGCTTACATTTAATATGTAATATAATAAATGCGTCAATTTTAAGATTATTAAATTTATTCTTTTACTATTCAAAAAACTATAAAAATACAAATCAAATGAAATTAAGGCTAATTACTTATTGGATTTTATCGAATATAATTTAGGTCATAAGGAACATTACAATTAGTTTTTTAATTAAATATTAGATAGAATAATAAGGGATTTGGATTTTATTAAATGGAGAAAGTATAAACCAATTCAATTTCATCTAAGGATTATGAATCATCTTTGATTGTTCACAATAATTAGGAGAATTTAGAAAATGCTGAAGGAATTAATAAACGTTAAAACATTTAAAGTGGATATGAATAATCACTTGCTCTTTCAGATGAAACAATGAATTAACAAAGAAGAGAAAATAGCAACGATTAAGTTGTAGCTTAAGAATAATAACATGAATAAGCTAATTTTAAATGGCTTTTCTAATCTTGCTTCGAAATGGCATTGAGTTTTGTTATTGATTGGATGCCATATACAGCAACATTATATTTTATTTCATCAAATAGCTCTGAAAATATAGTTAATGGTTTTGGTTTAGGTTTAGTTTGGTCAAATTGTATTGGTCAAGGATTACTTTATGGATTAGGCAGTGGTTTAGAAACAATGGCTTCTCATGCGCACGGCGCTCACAAATATAAGTAAGTTGGATAGTTATTCAACAAAGCTGTTTTGCTTTCCTTTATTGTCTTTGTAGTTATCTTGTTTGCCATGATTTTTTCAGAAAGTATTTTAGGATTGTGGAATTCAAATAAAGATGTATGTAGTATTGCAGCAGAGTATTGCCAATTAATCATTCCTGGCTTGTTCATTGTCATTTTTTACTACGTTATTAAAGCCACGCTTAATGCAGTTAATGAATATAGAATACAAGTCTATGTATCTGCAATTAATCTAGCTACTCATTTAATCTATTGCTATATCTTTATCAAGGTTTTAGATTTAAAAATTAAAGGAGCAGCAATCGTTTTTTGCTTATGGGAGATATAAACAGTCGTAATGCAAGTTTTAGTTGTGATTTACAAGAAAAAAGTTAGGAGGTGCTTTGTTAAGCCAACTCTCGAAGTTTTTAATGATTTTTTGGGATATTTAAAAGTCGTTATTCCTATTGGTGCAATTGTTGGTTTGGAATGGATTATTTAAGAAGTTACATCTATTATTGCTTCCAATTTATCTGAGGCTTAATATTCTGCTCATATTATTATTGCTTAAATTAGCATGTTTTGTTATTAATTCTTGGTTGGATATTCTACAGCATCTTGTACTTTTATAGGAAATGAAATGGGTAAAAAGAATGTGGCAAACGCTAAAAAATATACCATTTACACAGTTTACATCATTTTTGGACATTTAGCTGTTGTTATTATTCCTCTCGCTCTGCTGAAAAAGTAGATAGCAGAATTTTTTACTGATTCAAGCAGTACAATCGATGCAATTGAATCAGTTTATTACTGGTTTATCGCAGTTTTTCTGATACAATCATTCACTTCTCTTATGGGAGCTTATATGAGAGCTATAGCATAAGAAAAATTCTGTAGTTTTGTTTATCTAACTTCTTCAGGTGTTATTGGTATTTCGTCAAGCTACAGCTTGGCATATCCTGCAGATCTCAAGCTAGATGGAATTTGGATAGGACAAGTAATAGCCACAGGTGTCTTTTTGCTGGCTATGATAATATAGGCTTTTAGAGTAGATATTAATAAAATGGCAATAATTATTTCTAAAAGATTAGAAGAAGAAAATGCAGAATTATAAAAAGAACTTCTTGAAAATAGAGAAGAAGAGGAAGATGATAGTGAAAACGAAAGTCATAAATAAACAGAAAATACCTAAGAAAGAAATAATTCTTGATAATAATCAATTTTAAAAATAAAAAAGAACATATGACAAATAGATAAATAAATTACAAATTTCAATATCTAAAATTTATACTAACTTTATTATCAAATTAATAGTTTGAGTATTATTTAAATACATTTTAAATTAATTCTATGTGATTTTTTAAATAATATATTTGGGTTAATTATTTAAATATCCTCTATTTAATTATATAAAAAAAAGAAATAAATAAATAAATAATTAATATCTAAAAGTATAAAATAAATGAATTATTCATTCTTTTTCATTTTTCTGAGCAAGATTACAAATATTTTTATTAAAAAAATTACTATTGGCTTTAAAAATAAATTTTGAAAAAGAGATAATCATAATTGTACATGCTATTAAGAATTTTCATAAAAAATTAAAAAAATTACTACTCATTATTTACTCTGTATTTTACTTATTTATTATTGCAAAACTCAGATATTTATTTTTTACATTTGAGAGATGTGAAAATAAAAAGCTCTAATTATTAGATTAAATAATTTTTAAATTCAAAAAAAATTGAAAAAGAAATAAATAGATTAAATTTTATTTTGAAAATTAATTTTATCATATAAGTAAAAAATATAATAAATCTATATTTGATATTTTAAAATAAAAGAGAGAGAATAAATTACGAATAAATGTATCAAAAAATTATAAATCAATCATTCTAATCATTTTCTATTTAGATTTTTATTATTTTTAATTTCATTTTAAATTTATTTAATAATTTTATTTAAAAATACTAATTCATTTATTAAGATGCTTTGAGCTAATTTAGATTCTTAATTTAGCTAAAATAAGCTCATCCTTACTTAATATTTTTTCATTTTCAAGTATGGCTGTTTTAATTAATTGAGATAATATTTGAAACTGATGATTTATAATTTTCCATAATTATTAACTATCATCCTTTAAAAAGACTGAAAATGTCTTTTTGTCATATACAGTATCCAATTTAATTCCTAAAAACTAAACAGTATTATTTGAGATAAATTAATATTTTAATTCAAAAAGAATTAATAATAGAATATAGGTTGGGGTCAAAAAATATGAGGCTAAAATCCCATATAATTAATTACCATGAAAACCACCAAAAATTTTTTTGAAAAAATATTGAATATTGTATTTGAACACTTTTTATATTATATGTTTTTTATATATTATATTCAATTTATGAATTTTATTGAATAATGCCTTTACATACTTTTTGATAAATACTTTAATTTATTTTTTTCATTTTAAATTAAGCATAATCCTGGTATTAAAATATCAGAAATTTATCTGTAACAAAACATTTATATTTTTAAAGATTAAGATAGCTTTTGCAAGGATGCAAGGTTAGGAAAAATATGATTTAAAAAAAATTGAGTTTTAAAAAATTAAATTTATTAAATATTTTGGTTTTAATAATCTAAGAAATTATTTTTTAATTAAAGAATATGAAATAAAAAATTCATATAATTATAAAAGAGTAAAGCTAAATATAAATATAAACAGATATAGTTAAAATATTTTAACTTTACACTTTATTTGAAATCATTAATTTTTTATCAACAAGTATAAATTATTTTTTAAATTGTGTTTTGGATATCAATAATTCTAAAAATGTAATTTTTTCAATGTTAAAAACTTTATTTTATTTATATTTGTTTTTACAGCTCTTAGACTTCTTTTATTATTTGATAACCTAATTATAAATTATAATAATATTTTTAAATTTTATTGATTTAAAATATTTACATTTAAATTAAAAAATAAATGAAAAAATTTTTTATTTTTCATAAACTTAAATTTTTATCATTTTATTTTATAAAATTTGACTTAGTATAACATTTAAAAAATATCTTACTTCATAAATAGCTCGAAATTTATCAGATTTAAGCATTAAATTAAAGCAGAACTTAAAGATATAGCTTATTCATCTTCAAAGTGATTATATGGTAGAATATTTCTTTTATTATCAAAAAATAAATAAAATTACTTAAATTAAATATTTTTCAAATTGTATAAACATTGGTATAAATATATTTTCTCTATTCTAACATATGAAATAATTAAATAATAAATAAATAGGGTATAAAACTATTTGTTGATAAAAAGAGATCAAATTTTTTATATTTATTTATAAACATTTTACCTTAAATCAAGAATGAGAAATGTTAAGTTTTAGCATTATTATAAGCCATAGCATAGATTTTGCAAACCTACTAGTCCGAATTTGTTATCCCTTTAAAAAATTGAAAAAATAAGTAACTTTTTTATGAATTTATAAAGTGGCGATTGATTTATAGTAATTTATGTTTAAATAATTTTTTCAAGAGTTTAATTTAAATATATAATTATAGCATTAACAAACTATTAATTATTACCTTAAATAGAGTTTCAAAGTTGATAGATTTTCAAAATTAAAAGATTAAGCTAAAGAGGATAAACCTTCATTTCCAATTTAATTAAATCTATTTAAATAAAATAATTGATACTCTAAATCAATTAAAGTAGAAAGAAAATTTAATCTAAAAAATTAATCAAACTAAATTACTCAAGATCAAGATTAAGTTATTTTAGATTTCTCAAATTTTTCAATGCAGATGCTAAAATTCTCGTCTTTTCGTTGCTTAGTTTACATGAACTATAAAAGAAAAATGTTTTTCATGGGTAATAAAAATAAAATTAAAGAAGTTGTGAACAAAATGTTTGATATTTAAAACAATAAATATTTGATTGAATAGAATAAAAAAATAAATAATGAATAGAAATAAAGATACTTTAATTATAGTTTTAGGCTTTAGAGATTAGTTAACTTTTCTAAGGCAGAACTTAAAAAGGTTGCATCGTTTTCATTAAATTGATAATTGTTAGGAGATTAAAATTATCTTATTATTTGAAATATATTTTAGATATAATAAAAATAAAAGAATGTAAATGTCTAACGCTAAATCAAGATTTAAAGTTTAGAGGTTAACTAAATTTGCGATTAATTAACTTAAAAGCTATACAGTTTGTAATTCGAATATATTACGACTATTTATTTTAATAGAAAAGTATTTAAAATTTTTCATATAAATGAATAAAATAAATATTTCATAAATTAAAATTTAAGACAAAATAAATGATTTTTATTTTACCTGTACAAAAGTGTAAATTATTTAATTTCTCTACATTTAGTTAAACTTTAAGTAAAGTTTGAAAGACCTTCTTATTTGATGCAGTTATGTCTAATAAAATATAAATTGTAAAAAGTAAGTAATTTATGTATATATGTATGTATATGGGAGAGGGTGCAATAAGTGGAAAACATATATTTTATTTTTTTAAATACCATCATATTCCTCTTTAAAAAATAAGAAATATAATTCGTCCCACCTATTACTCCCCCCTGAAAAGATAAAAAAAGAAAAACAAATAAATATTATTGAAAAGATTCAAAGTAATTAAAAAATTTTTGAAAATAAAATTAAAAATTATAGCGATATTGATTTTAAGACATTATTTTTACCTTAACCATAAAACTAAAGTTTAGAGATCTTTGTATGTTGATAAAACCTTTCCTAAACTAGATAGATCTTCGTTTCCAATACTATTTGAGCTTTTAAAATGAATAATATTTAGCATTCATTTTTTAGGAGCAAAAATTTACTTAAGATCAATATGCAAGGCTTTATCGGTTGGCTCAAAGTATTTTAAAAACTTTTTGATAAGATAGATTTACAAACTATTTTAATACATTCAGTTTTAAAGTTACATATTTTAAATTTGTATATTTTTATTGTTGTTTTTGTTTCTTCTTTTGTTGTGATTTCATCTTATTTTTAATTTTAAATTTAAAGTAATTATTATTATCCAATTTTCATTTTTTCTTTCAAGATTTATTTTATAAATTATTTCTCAATTTTTTTCTGATCAATTATTTTTTATGATAAGGGTATACATACTATTAATTTCTTTTGGTAAAAAAGTCTGTTTTCTATATCTTTCAAATTAAATAATTTTCTTACCAGCATTTTTGAATATTTTGTTAATAATTTATCTATTTTATTTAAGATTTATTATGAATATTTCCTTTATTCTTTCACACTTTATTTAAATTTGTTCTCATATTTTTCTGATCAATTTATTATGAAAAAGTTAAACTGTAAAAAAATTAAAAAATTTACATTATAATCAGCATGAATTTTAGATAAATCTGTTAATAATTATTTCATTTTTTAACTATTTTTGAGTAATTATATAAAATTAAGTTTTCCAAGTTTTCAAGATTAGTTTTTAAATATTAAAATACACCAAAGTAATCAATAATTTAAACAAAAAATGAATTTATTTTATAGCCTTAAGAATTTTTACAAAAAATTAAATTACCTTTAAATTATTCTTCCAAATTAAAAAAATATAAATCTAATTTGTGTATGTTATAAATATTAGTAATAAAACTTAAGAACAAATTTTTATTGAAATCATTTTTTAGAAATTTTTCTTCAAAAAAAAAAAAATTTAAAACTACTTTGAGTATTTTTATAAATATTAAATTCATGATTTTATTAAATTTCATTAAATTATGTAAAATAAAAGTTGACTTGTTCATTTTAATTAACCATTTAAATATAAATATATATTTTATCTTATTCTATGTTAAACTTTAAGATTAAAAATATTTTAAAAGTCAGATTTTTATATGATTTACTAAATTAATTAGAAAGTAAATTTATAGTACTAATAAATAATTGAAAAAGGATGATGTTAAAAAAATAATTTAATTTTAATATAAGAATACTTTCAAATTTGTTAGAAATTATTATTAAATGGTAAAAAGTTTGTAATTACAAAATATTCATGTTGGTATTAATATTTGTAGAGATATCTATCTATCTATTTATTTATCTATCAATCAATATATTAATTTATTATTGTATTAATTGATGAAGGAATTTATCTGAATGATTATAATTAATTGAATTAGGTGACAATTTAATCCTTTTATCAAACTGTATTATTAATTCTTATTATATTTGTTAAATTAAAGTAAATAAGGTTTATTATTAACTATAATTTTGATAGGAGAAGAGATAAGGAAGAAGTATAAAAATAAAAAGCAACAGACACCTAATAAAGTAGGTGAAAATATCGGTTTTACTATCATTTATTCATGGAGCAAATAGGTGCTATTTTAAAAGAAAGAGTAGAAGAGCTCCAAAAACTATAACAAAATGTATCACTTAGCCAAAAAGATCCTTTATCAATGAAGGATTGCTTAAGAGAGCTGTTAAAAGCGAAAAAGTAAGAAAAGATTAGGGCTGCAAAAGAGCAAAATGTACTTGAAATAATATTTAGTTCTAGATCTTTGAATAAATAGCAACGCATGTAAAACAATTAGAAATTAAAAATAACTTTTTTGAAAATTTTTGTTTTTAATTCATCAAGAGTATTTGAAAAAGTTTCTTATGATGTAATGAAATGCATTTATCCTAATTTGCAAATCAGGACAGTTTTTAGTGGAAAGCTTCCTTAAATTTTAGAATTATTCACACAGTTTTTTGTTGCGATTGACATGAAATAAAAGGCAAATGAAATCTTCAAGATATTTTCTAATAACTTGTGTAACAAAGTAATTTATTGTTTTCATAAAATTAGTTTATATTGTATAATGAAAGTGTTGATAATATTCCAAATAGTTTTTAAACAAAGTAAGCTAGTGGTCTAAAAAGCATATTTTGATATTATTATCAATAAATTGTTTAAATTAAATTAGATATTGCAAGTAACCGAAAAATAATAATTTAATTTAATAAATTTTATAAAACATTTTTAATCATTTTCTACTCGATGTTAGAAGTATTTATGAGTTAATTTCTTTATTAATTAATTCTTTTTTCATAATAACTTTAGTTCTCATTTATCTGCTTGCTGCTTAATATTTTGATTGATACTGTAAAAAAAAAATTATCTAATTTCATTAAAGTAGAGGCAGAAGAAGTAACGAAATAACTTGGGAAAATTCAAATAAGTCCAAAAAAAGAATCGAACCTTCTGAACCCTAATTTAGTTGCTCCTCAATTACCTTATTAGAATACACAAAGATAGATATAAAAACAATCAAATAGAATTACTAATGAGAATTAAACAGATGGAAAAAGCTCAACAATTTTGATTAATTTAAACGAAAATACAATTCCAAATAAAAATTCCAACATCATTCTAATACAAAATTCAAATTAAATTTTAGAGTAAGATGATAAAGTCAAGTAAACGATTAAAAGCGACTGCAATAGTAAAGGTGCTGTTAACAACTAAACTAATTCTTTTTATAATTTTATATTTGATAACATTGATAAAAATTCAGTTTGTGAACCTATTGTGCCCTCCTCACCAACAAAAATCAAAGATCTCTTGAAAAAAGAAGAAAATTTCAGATAATTTTTAGGAGACAACCTCAATAAAGTCGAATGCTAATCAAATTTAAATAGCCAGAGAAACAATCTTATTTAACTATAAAAACCATTACCAGCTAGCAGTGCAGCAATTGTTCATCCTTTATCACCAAATAAGAAATACACTTAGATGATGTTGTAAAGGCCACAAAATCATTTTAATAAGCAAAGAGGAGTTTCTTAAAATCCAAATTCTTACTAGCAAAACTCATAAAGCTTCTAAGGCTAAGGAAACACTTATTCCACTTCTTCCACATCAACCAGTGTGCCTAAACGCCATACAAGCTTAAAGCAACCTCCAAATCAAGGATAAATTTAACAATTAGAAAGTTTTGTATAGTAAATATAGTAGCCAGAAATTAACGAAAGTAGTTCTCAAAATAATAACAACTTAAGCAGTTAACAAAACATTAATAATTTAAATTTTCCTTAAAGCAATAACAATTTAAGCTTTAATTAAAATAACAACACTTCTTAAAACAATAATAACATATCCAATACAAATAAATGCATTATCAAGTAAGTTCCTGATCGCTTGTAGAAAGATTAATTGAAAATTAACTGGAATGATATTTACAACTTGCTTAATTAATAAGGAGGAAGCTATCAATTTAACGTAAAATATTAGAACTCGTAATATAATTAAACTATTCGTGATTTTTTCGGAATGTTTTTTAACAGATTCATGGAGATTTACAAAACTTCTTGTACTGTAATCTATGAATTAGATGTTTATTATCCTTATTAAATGAAGACTTAATTAAAGAAATCAAACACAAACCCTAAAGACTGGGCAAGCATGAACATAAATAATATTTTGATGTGCATGCTTATTAAAAATTCACATGTGAAATAGTCAATCACTTAGTACAATGAGTAATTTACTTAGTACAAAAAAAAGAGGAAAAACAATTCAAGAAATAGTTAATAAAATAACTATAATCATATTAATAGCCTAATTAACAAGAATGCGAATAACAGTACCTTAGCTTTTCTAAACAACAAAATATAAATATCAAATATTTATCCAAAAACTTAAAACTAAAATTCATAATAAGATTAATCTTATATTGAACCGAACTATGCTAAGCCGTTAAAACGATACTCATTTCTTAAATAATAAGCTAATACTTAGAGACCTATTGATAACGCTACTCAAAATTGCAACCAAAAAGCAATATCTTGTAACACTATGCAAAATCTAAAACAAACAACATAGACAATGGCTACTTAGCAATCATAATTAAATGAAGATATAGATATACCTTTTTATTATCAAAATAATATCACTAAATTACCCTCACTTAACACTTAAAATCAAGTATTTAATTTAATTTCTTCTAATCTTATTATTTTTAATTTAGACAAAAATTAATTTAATATTCTATTTTTTTATTAATTAATTAGAGTGGTGATTAGCAAAAGTAATAATAGAAACAACAAACATAAAATTAAGGGAGTGATAAAGATAGAAGCAGTTCTTTAAATAAGACTTTTCAAGATAAGAATTAATAAAACTATGCTTTTGAGGATGCAGCAATACTAAAATAGCAAAATAATACTTACTTAATTGGTAGTTCTTAGATAAGAACAAGACAAAAAAATCACTAGAGATCGATTTCAGAGTTTAGAAAGAAGCTAAATATTCTTAATAACAGCGATATCAACAGAAATAACGAAAACTAGCCATATTCTAACAATACTGCAGATATAAATTATAAAATCATTAAAATAAATTAATAGAAAAATATTTAATATCAGCCTGAATCTTTTGTTAATGCTTTGAACTCATACAGCAACTAAGATATTCTACTTCAAAAGAAAGATTTTACTCCTAGCAAAATAAATAGAAGATTTAATTTATCCTCTTTACCTGATAAACCAGAAAGCTAGTGCAGTAATGAAACAAGCTAAAAAGACTTTAAAGATTAAACAGATTACATACAAAAAATTAAAGAACTCTAAAAAAATATCTAAATATGCAGTATTAATTTGGGAAGTGAGCAAAGGAAACTGAATGAGGCTGGTTATTTGCTAAATCTTCCAAGTTACAGATAAAAGAACAATAAAAGTGAGATGAATACACCAATAAAATCTAGAATTAGCTAAACAAATAGACCAAGAGAGTATTCATGTAATAGTAATTACAATAACAGTAATAACTAAAACAACAACTCAAATTTGAACTTAAGTAATAATAATTGCTTCAACATTTAAATCTTAAACAACAATGAAAATAATTCTAGCTAATCATAACTTAATAAATCTGCTGTAAGCTTCTCAAATAAAAAGTTTACTTCTTAAAATATAATAAATAACTCCTATGCTAGATAGCTTAGTAGATTGATTCATAAATCTTATGATTATCCTGTAAATATAATTGAAGACTAAAAAATGAGACATCAACAGCTAACTGAGTCTATTCTATAAGAGTCTTATCCTCTCCTCCATATAAATAATAGCAAGAAAATACTTTAATCAAGTGAGTTCTCTTAGTCGCAAATTATCTAAAACTCTCATTTGTATCCAAGCGTCTCAAAGTTAGCTTCAAAAATCTAAGAGCAGTGACTGATTTCAATAATTCCACTTCAAAAATCGAAGAAATAAAAAAATAATAATAATCAACAACAATCAAAATAAATTAATAAATAATTAAATAAAATATTCAACATTAAATAAAACTTTTTAAAATGAATAAATAACAAAGAAAAATGTGACTTAAAAATAAATAATAAAAAATATTTTGATTCGAATAAGAAAAAAATAAAAAATTTTAACAAAATGAATATTAAAAATAAATATTAACATTCAATGTAAATTATTTAACTTTATAAACTATGTATTTTGACTTTTATTAAATAATATTTTAGAAGAATATATCATAAATTTTCACTTTAATTTTATAATTCATGATGCCTGTGATTATGACTACTACTATTTCCGTTTTATTTTAGTTTTAAGTGACTTTAGCTATTTTTGTAGCATCCGAAAAGACATATTATTAAAAAAACTAATGCAATTATAAATGCAAAAATCGTTCCGTCTTTATGATTATTTTTGTTTTTATTTTTAGTTATTAATTATTAATTTTCTTTATCAAAAGTATATATGCCTTTTTCGTCCTTCAAAAAATCTACAAGTATATTTGCTAAACGATAGCCTGCTTTAACAATTTACTTCTAGCATAATTCTTAGTTTTTTCTGTGATTTTCATCAGTAATTTTATTTATTTTTTAGTTTCCTGTTAAATCTATCTAGGAGTAAATCTATTCTATAGAAATCATATAGCTCTCTTTCACCCATTAATCAAATTGTATGTCTTTTATTTATTTTTTAAATTTAGTTATAAATTAGAATATATACTTTTTAAGGGTGAATTTATTTTAAATTTTTTTAAACAAATTTATAAAAAATTTATGTTTTTAAGGCTTTAAAAATGGAAAATTGTCATCTAAATTTAATAAAATTTATCACCCTGCCATTCTTGCTATATTTTATTCTGAAAGAACTTATTTCAATTTATAACTATGTAAAAATAAACATAATTAAATATTTTAATATTTTTTTTGTTTGTAATTACCTTCATCATTTATTTTAAGCTCCTCCCTTGGATACAACTTTATAAGTCTTGCAATTTCTTCTTCAAAATAATCAATAAAGGATTCATTAAATGGTCTATGTATTCTATCTTCAAAAGTATAATAAAATGCTCCAGAATCAAAATAGAAATGCAAATTATTTTTTCTATTATCACTTAATTAAACCATTTATTTATTACCTCCTAAATCTCCATTTTAAAACTAATAGCTATAGAAACTAACTGTGTGAAGAGGCTGATGTATATCGCCTACTAAATGCACTAAATGCTTGAGAAATATGTGCTTCATCACAGTTATCTTTCCATTTAGATTTTTATTTTTAAGTGTTTCTTTGATTTGATTGAAAGCAACTTAAGCATTTGAGTTAGAATCTTTTTATTTATTAACATCTATTGGATAATTGCTAGGATTATAAATTTAATCTATATAGTGCCAGGTATCCCAATACTTGACGCTAGATTTATACCAATACTTAATATCATCTGACCAAATACTATGCTCTTCAAATTAAACCTAACCTTTTTGATGAGGTTCTTCAAATTGATCAAAGTATTTTTCTGCTATTTATATAATTTCTGGATCTTTTTCAATTAGCGTTTCTTTAGCTATCCCAAGAATCAGCATATGTGGCAAATCATGAAACCCGTAGGTAGTTGTAAGAAGTGCTAAAGTTAATACTAAGTTTAAATTATGATAAAAATTCTACTTCATTTTTATAAGAATTTATCTGCTTTAAAATTTTAAATTTATATGTTAAAAATAACTCTCTTCTGATAATAAATTTAAAAAATATCTTCATAAAAAAGATTAATTTTTGATGAATTTAAATCTAAGTGTTTCAAAATATACCTGCTTTTTACTTAAAAATAAAAAAATATAACGAAATAAAATCTATTTTCAATATTCTAAAAAAATGATTTTTCAAAAGCAAAAAATACTTAAGCAAAAGGAATTTGAAAAGTAAAATTTATTTATTTTAAAATGAAAATTAACTTAAATATTTTTTCTAAAATAATTGAAATAGGTTGTTCATTATCAATATTATTTGTGCATATGAATAGAAATATTTTTATAATAATTTTTAAAAAATAATAAATATAATTCATTTAAAAGCTCTTGTTGATTATTACCTAAAAAATTGTTTATTTATAGGATATTTATACGATATAATAATGTTAAGTTTTTTATATTAAAAGTTAAGCTTTTTAACTTTTAGGCAATATTGCTTTACCATTTAGATATATAATATTTTACATCAGATTTTGTTATTGTATTTATTTTAGAGATACTTTCATTAATGATTAATTCAGAACAAAATCAAATCTTATTTCCAAATACTTAGTTTTATTTAACTTAATTATTTTTTCGAAAGCCATTTCTTTTATTTTTAATAATATCAAAGTATTTAATTAGTGGTAAAACTAAAGCAAAAACAATTAAATATAAATTTGGAATGGCTAATTTGATATTTACTTTTAATAATATGTAAACATAATTCGGTGATTTTGATTAAAGTTAAAAGCTATTATAAATAATTAAAATGAGACTGAAGGATTTAAGTTTAAGAAAGACTTAAAATAATAATTTTAGCAGTTTTTATTTTCTCATGAATTTTATTTTAACATATTTTTATAATTTTTTATATTTTTAAAAATTATTATCAAATGAGATTGATCGAATAAAATAGTCTTTTAACTTTTGATGGATAAAACTGCTTTTTTTGCTGAAATTGCTCTAAATTTACAATTTTATTAAAAATTATCTGTTATGTTTAAAGTATAATTAAAATTTTATGGATACAGTAAACGCTATTACTATTCTTGGTGATTGATAAAAGTATTACACATTTATTTAAAACTATAAGATGAGAATCAAGAAGAATATTTAAAGAAAAAACAAACAGCTTAAGATCTTTATTAATCTTAATTATTATTTTTATGCTAAGTATGTGAAATAATTATTTTTGGTATAAAATTTGATAACCCTGACAGGTAAATGTTTAGAAAAAAACATATTTAAGTAAGGAAAACAAATTATTTGAGAAATTGATTATAATTTTCTATTTTCTCGTTTATATTGATTTTTTATATGAATTTTAATAAAAGAATTAGTTTTCATAGGTTTATATTTATGATTCTTTCTTATAAGGATATGAAGATGGTTTACTTAATTTCTATTCGAAAAAAATAAAGCGATATTAAGGTTGTCTTTACTATTAGTTCGTACTCTAAAATCTCATAAATATTTTTTGAGAATTTTAAAATAAATAAATTGAAAATATGTTCATATCTCTAACAAAACAATTTAAAATGTGTTAGTAATCTAAGACAAATAATTAAAAAGTATTCATAGTAACAAATAATGACTTCAATATTCATGAAAAAAAGAGGAATAATAAAAGCATATTTTAAGATTAATTTAAATCCATCAAAATGTTATTGGATGCAAATGATTGTTTTTGATTGTTAGTTTTAGATTTTTGAAATCCTATTAAAGCTCTATTCCTGCAATAAGGGAGTATCGAACAAACAAACAAAAAAGCATCAAAAATTATTATTTATTTTGTTAAAGATTTAGCTGAAAGTATTTAATTTTCTATCTTAATTTGTTAATTTGAGAGCAGACAAGTAGGTGGGCAAAGTGTTTCTTATTTATTTATTATTTTTTTTTTGATTACTTTAATAAAAGTATTAACTATTAAAAGCAGAATACGAATAGAAGAAAATTTAATATACTAAAAAAAATTAAAAATTAGTAAAAAAATAAGAAGAAATAAAACAAGATTTGAAACAAATGAATTCCAAATCAATTTTATTGCTTTGCATGTTGGTCTTACCAATTCTTTGCAATAGCTTCTTGAGTCATGAAAGAAGACACCATCACACCAACTACCACGGTGCCAGTAAAAATTTCAAAAAAATTGCTTACGTCAATGGTATTTCCAACTGGTATGGACCAGGCATTTTGGATTCCTTCGGTATTAATAGTCCCTGCTACGATATCATTATTTTATGCTTCTGGATGCCAAGTTACGTTTCTGATGCTCTTGGCATATGGTAAAATATTCACTCCAACATTGGTTCTAATGATTTCGGTAGCACAAACGCTGAAGTTCAAAAGTATATTTTGGATTAATTCCACAAGAACGGCAAATAACTCTTTATTAGTGCCTTCGGTGCAACTGGAAATCCCTCTGGCGATCCCGTTTAAGTTGCTGAATAATTAGCTGAATTTATTAATTAAAATCCTTACATTGATGGTGTTGATATTGATTACGAAGATAACGATGCTGTCATGAAAGGACCTGGTGCTGATTATATTATCGCCTTCCAAAAGGCTTTGAGTGAAAAAGTCCACAATAAGAATATCATCTTCACTCATGCTCCCTAAGCTCCTTATTTCTCTCGTACTGTTTACAAGGATAAGGGTTATTACTAAGTTGAAAAGGAAATCGGTCACCTCATTGCATGGTACAACGTTTAATTCTACAATTAAGTTGAAGACACTTATGACACCTACGAAACTCTTTTCATTGAATCTCCTGAACCCTTCGTTGAAACTGCCTACAAGCAAATTATTGATCTCGCTGGTGTTCCTCTTCATAAGCTTGTTCTTGGTAAGCCAGCTACCCCCGCTGACGCCAGCAATACTGGTTACATTAATCCCACTTCCCTTGGTAAAATTTGCACTGAAGCTAGAGAAAAGCTTGGATATGAACTTCCAGGTTTCTTCATTTGGTAATACAAAAATGATGCCAAGTGTGAATTTGCTGACGCTTTCTTGAAAAGTTACTTCCCTGCTGTTTATTGAAGTATTTTTACTTAAATTGAATAGCTATCAATAATTATAAATTATTGAGCTCATTAAAATATATTTATCAACGATAAAAAATTAGCAAAAAACTCTTAAACTCTCTCTTAAAATTCAACTATTTTAAAAATGACCAAACATTATATAATTATTATTGCTGCAGCTACATTTCTACTTTTATACACTAAAAAGCTTTTTAACTTTGTGGGAAAATTAATTTCAAAAGATTAGGTAAGCTAAAAGGACATGAACTAAAATAAGAAAATCTGATAATTTAAGTGAAAAATTCTAAGAAAAATTAATTAATCACTAAATTTGTGGAAAAAGAGGAGCTTATTGAAGCATTATTCTATTTTTAAGGTTCTAATTAAGTTAAAACAGCTTTAATTTTGCAATTAATAATTTCTGCTGGATGAATATATTTGGTATTTTTCTTTGAAATAGTATGAAGTATTATTGATCGTTGTTATTATCTTTATAAAAAAACAAATAAACAAATTAATAAAATTTACAATAAAAAACCTCCTCCTATAAAAAATATAAACACAATAAAATTATATATTCTCATTTTTCATTGATAATCAAGTAAATTTGCTAACTTTATCATTTGTTTCTGTAATAAATTTTCTACTAAAGCTACTTTAAAAAAAAATATTTTTTGTAAAAAATAAGAAAATACATTAACTTTATTAAAAAAGAACAAGCATGAAAGCAATCAACCAAACAAAAAAATAAATAACTTTAGTCTTTTATTTAAATCCTTTAAAAGCCAAATTTTAATTGATTTCCGAAAGAAAACAAAAAATAAAATTAGTATTTGAAAAATTAGATTTCTTTTTTAAACACAATTTTTTTACTTGAATCAATTTAATTTATCTAAATTTTTCTTACTCACTTAAATATTTATTTTTTAGCTATCAAAATTAAATAACATTTTAATAATTGAAAAATTAGAAAGGTCATTTTTAAAATAAATTTAATATTTAATAGAAATCAACTCAACTCAAAGAATTTATTTTTAAATGTGTGAATCGAATTATTTCTGATCAAAAAATTTTTTCATAATTTAACAAGGAGGGCTAAAAGTAGCATAGAAAAATCAATTATGTAATATTAATTCATATCTTTAGGATAGATTATTTTATTTTATTTATATACTCAATCAATAAATTTGTCTCATACTCAAGCTAAATCTTCGACTTATTTATTGATATCTTAATAATTTTTTGATATAGAAGAATTTTAGCACCGATAAAAGATAATTATTATATTTTTTTCTATATAATTTTATTTAAAGATGTATAATTTTTTAAACTTTTTTAAGTTGAATTAATTTCAAAAAAATTAATAAATCCTATTGATAAATAGAAATACTTCTTTATAAATTACAAAAGACAAATCTTGATATTATTTAAATATTTATTTGATATCATTCGCTATTAAATGGCTTATTGACTATTAATGATTAACTATTTTATTTCTCAAAATAAATAAATTGACGAATTATAAATTTAAAGTGTCTAAGTATCTATCTAGAAATAGATAAATAAAATTGTATTTTTCTCATAAAAAATTTCCTTTACTCTCAATTTCCTTGAATTATTCATATCTAATAAAGAGTAAATAGTGAATTAGTCTCTTTAAAAATAAAATTATTTAACAATAATTTTCTTATTTCTAAGATAATATTTTTACTTTAGATAGATAAGTTTTGGAGTTATAGCTAATTTATATTTTTTATTTTATAATTTTATAAAACTACCCAAACTGATTTTTAAAATTAAAAATAAATTATTTTACTTATTAACTAAATTAAATTCAATCCAATTTATATTTTGATTTGCGATTACTGTAATTATTTTTAGATAATTCCTTCTCAAAAATTAAACCATTTCCTAATGAAGCCCCTTCAACCAAAATTTCAGGTATTGTTTAAAAATGGTAAAAATAGGTGCTATTTAAGTTAAATAAAAAGCAGTACCATTTGAAGATATTAAGATTAGGTGTCGCTTTGAATGAATAGGTGAAAGTGTTGTTTAAATATATTTTGAACAAATTTTGTTACAGTATGTAATAGAATTAATAATTTTTCATAAAATTAGGATAATTTATATTTCTGGTATTAGAGATAAATTAACTCAATGATATAAAACAAATATAAGTTATTCTATAAATAATAATAGAAAAAATTAAGATTCTATTTAATAAATAAAATAATATATATTTATTAGATTACAATTAAATTGACATTATGATAAATTAAGTCATACAAAATACATTAATTAATTATTCTTTTTATCATCTTAAAATGAAATCTTCTTTTTTTCAATTAATAATTTAAATTCTAAAGAATTAGTTTATGTTATTTTTATTAATAATCCTAATTTATTAAAGGAATTTGTGTAATTTAAGTTAAGTTAAATTATTTAATATTATATAATATTTTTAGTAGTTATATAAAAACTTTTCTTTCAGAAATTAAAAACTTCTTAATGGCAATCAAATCTAATTCCTTCTTTCGACCATTTCATAGAATTAATCTCTACTGTATCAATTAGCTATTAAGGACCACATGTGAGCACTCCAACTAGCTTATGGCCACTCTATTTTGCTGCTTAAAAGGCCACTTCAAAATATTTGTTAAAGTCTGGTCTTCCTTTATCCAGTTCAACCATTTTTTCTTAGCAATTTTATACTTCACTCTGTAATTGATCTATTTTTTTATCGCCCTTATCTGAATAGTGATAGAATGTTTTTAAGATATTTCTATCATCTTGGTTTAATAAATTTTTTAATTCCCCTGGCTTGATCACACTTTAAACAATAGCAGAGTCTCTGCCTGTCCAAATAAAATGAAGATTACTGATAGGTCTTCCTTAATCCATTTAATGAAGGATTTCTTTAGCTGTGCTAATAATAGGTGTAACACCTATTCCACCACTTATACATAGAAAATTTTTGTATTTGTCTCCTTCAATGCTGATTGAATGATATCCATAAGGGCCATCAACATATCCTTTAACTACAGTAGGCTTTCCTTAGTCTCCAGCTATCCTATAAAGTTCGCTTGTCCAATCTCCAAGACTTTTAACATAAATAACTATATTTTCTTCATAGGAAGCACTAAAAACTGAGAAAGGATGCCATTAGAAATAACTTATCTTGGGAATCATTAAAAAGAAATATTAGCCACCTTTATAATTTGAATTTTCTTTTTTCATAGTAATTTTTGTAATATTTGATCCCACTTTTTCTAGATTCATGTGTTGTGACATATTTTTATGTTTACAAACTGTATAAAGTCTTCAATTAATAAAAAATAATTATAAATAATAAATTAAGTAAATAGTTTGATAAACAAAATGACAAAAATCTTTATATTAGTTACCTATAGCCTAAATCTAGAACAAAATATCCAAGTCCAAATAATGTAAAAGTAACGCTATGAGCTACACATCCAACTGTTAGAGCTATAATGAGGAGCCAATGCATTTTCATGAAAAACTCCCATAAATATCTCCTAATTGGTTTGATTGAAAATGCGAGTAATCCAATAAGAGGAAATTCTACTAAATATCCACTAAATAGTGAATCTGAATTAAACCAATGATTAAAGGACATTCCAAGCGTTATCCAAGCAAGGAATTAATGCCAGAGAACAGCTCTCTCTAAACTCAGCCCAAATAGGTAGCTCAATAAACCGTTTCTGCATCCAAAAATTACTGTTGCAGCTGTGATTTAAATTTATAAAATAATCAAATTAATTTTTTTAAAATAATTGGTTATCTCTATATATTATTCTAACATTTAAGGTATTAAATGCAAGTAAAATTTAATTATTTTGATGATATTCACATTTAAGCAAATTTCAATTATAATTAAAATTAATCAATAATTAATTATCAAAGTAAAAAATTAATTACCCATTACAATAGAAGCCATATCTCCTGAAGAAGCAGTATCTGTCATGTCAACACAAACAATTGCTAATAATGCAGATATTAGAGAGAAAATCACGACATCTCCAACTTACAATGCAAAGCAAGAAAAAGAAATTATTCTCCTGTTGAAAAGGGTTTACCAGAATTAAATAAATTTATGTTGCCATGATGTTTTCCATAGAGGCTGATTTAATGGCACTTTTTTTGCAGGATTTAGAATACTCTATTAACTATCATCTTTATTAGAAGTCTAATCTTTATTTTGCTGTTACTTAAATTAGCTAAGATGTGTCTTTTTTTTGGATTACTAATCGAAATTTTGAGAGTTTTTATCAATATTTGAGGTATTATCTAATGTTTGTAACTCATCTAATTACATCTATGGACAATCTTCTCTTTTTTGTACAGGTGAATCAAAATTTCTCATTCTTGATTCTTATGAATGAGAATCTGGATAAATTTTCGAAGGAATACTCAAAATAATTATTTTAAATATATTTTAAGAGGAACAGCTTATAATGTATTTTTTACAGTAATTATGCCTTTTTTTATTTATTATTAATTGTTTTTATAATTAATATTTGCATGAATTAGCTAAAGTGATCTCGCTTTTAATATTTGAAATAGTATAGATAAATTATTTTCAATAAAGTAACAAACGAAGACTTTTTTAATTACAAAGAATAAAATAAATTGAACAAAATTCAAGCAACAAATAAAAATTTGTGGTTGCAAATAAACAAACATTTTAAACATAATTTAAATAAATAGCCTTAAAAATAAACAAATTTTACTATAGCAATCAAACAATTTATCTTCTAAATCATGGCTAATATATTCTTAAATTTATTTATTTGGGTATATTGCTTGAAAGTAAAAAACATAAATTGATTATTTTTATTAAATTATTTATTTAAAAAAATAATTCTTTTTGCTCTATGCTACTATAAGATAAGAATCTAACTAACTATTTCTCTACTTCGTATATGTTTATCTTAACGAATTTGAATTTTTAAGCATCCTAAAAAACCATTAAAGCTAAATTTATAAAGTATTTTATAAATAATAAAAGATAAAACAAATTATGAAATACTTTAGATTTTTTATTAATTATGTTTTTAAAACTAATTATTTTTATATGATTGTGTTATAAGTGATATGAATAAAGATTGAATTTTGTATCATATAATCATAAGGATACTATTAAATTAAGAACAATCCTTAAAATTAAAATGAGTTTTATGAAAGTAATCTAAACATTTACATACTATGATTATTTTATTTAAGTAAATATGTTTTTGCTGTATTAAAGTAGTTAGTTAGTTGGTTGTTTAATTATTTGAATTGATTTTGTCTACTATTGAGATAATTTTAAGAAGTTATTAATCAATTAAATTTCGTGCTTACAATAAAATTTTTTATCAAATTATAAAGTTTCTTTGCTTAAAAAAATATACAAAATTAAATAATAAATTTTTTGTTATTTTATTGAAATTAAATCATTATGATAGAATTTTTCTAGAACTTGGATTATATTTAATTACTATGATTTCATTTAATTTCAGGCTCTTTTTAAAATAATAAATAGATTTTATCAATAATTTTTTAAATTTAAACGTTTTGTTAGTAAACAACAGTGCTAAAGACTTATTATGTAAAAGTTTTCTTAAAATATGCGATTATTCAAAAAATATGACTATAAATCTTATATTATTTTTTCTAAACTTATTAAATATTTTGATGCTTATGTGAACTACCAAAATAAGCAAATACAAACATATTAAGATACTTATAAAAAAAATATAGGAATTATTTGAAAATTAATAAAAATAGTACTAACTATTCTGAATGTAAGGAGCAGTTTGTTATATAAATTTTCCTTCTTAATAGTCATAAAACAAATTATTTAATACATAACTTTTTTAAAGAGAAAAGATGAAAAATCAACAAGAGACTCTTACTTTAGCTAATCACTTTTTATCAAATTTATGTATGTGTGTTTTATTTAACTAAGTTTACAGCTACTGCTGAAGAAATTAGTAATACTTTGAATTTATTGAGATTATCATTCAAATTTTGAGAAAAATAGATTTCTTAAATAAAGAATGTCTAGTTTTAATCAATTGAAATGGCAAAATTGAAAAAAATAAAATTTCTCATTAAGTGTTGAGCATTATTTGTATGAAAAAGAAAATTAATTTATATTAGATTTGATTGACATTATGTCTTTCTTAATGTCTAATCATAATTCAAACACTTCTTGATGTATGTCAAATCTAATCCCATCTTTTGAGTATTTTGATGCATGATTTTCAACTTCAAAAATTAATGATTAAGGACCGCAAACCAAAACTGCAACAAGATTTGTTTAACTTTATTTAGCAATTTTATGCATGTTTTCAAAATATGCAGAAAAATCAGGTCTACCCAAGATGTACTTGATATTTCCTTAGTTTTATTTTTATTTAATCACATTTGATACTTTACTGTTCGTGAAATGCAAGTAGCTTCTTAATGTGATTTTATTATCTTCGACTTCAAGCTACTTGAGTTATGTTTCATCTAAAATGTTTTCAATTACAGATTTATCCCTTCCTACCCAGATAAAATGAATATTTTAAACTAATCTTCCTTCACGCACTTAAAAATTCAATTATTTAACAAGACTAAAAATTGGAGTTATTCCAATACCTCCACTAATGCATAAAAAATGTTAATACTTATCTCTATCTAAACTAATGGAGTGTGATCCATAAGGGCCATCAATATAACCTCTAACATTAACAGGCTTACCCTATTTTCCAGCTAATTAGAAAAGGGCTTCAGTCCAATCTCCAGACTATTTTACATAAAATACAAGCTATTCTTCATGGGGAGCACTAAATGCTGAAAAAGGATGCCACTAAAAGTAGCTCATCTTTGGAATCATAATAAAAAAATACTAACCTCCTTTAAAAGTAATATTTTAACGATGCATAGATATCTTTACAACACTATCTCCAACTCTCTCTATTTCAATACTTGCAGATAAATAGCTATATTTCTTTATTGTATAAATTCTATTTCATAAAATTTATATAATTAAAATTTGTATGTTAAAAAATTAAAATCATTCATTTATATTTGATAAGAAAAATCAGGTTTACCTGCATATAACATCAAGAGCAAAGTATCCTATAGCTAAAATTCCAGCCCCAACTTCATGAATGATGCAACTAACAAGCATACAACAAATTAGCAACCAATGTAGCTTCATAAAAAACTCCCAAAATTTCCTTCTTATTGGCTCTATCGAAAAGATCACAAAAGTAGTTAATACTCCACCAATCATATAACCACTCACTATTCCTCTAGCATGGTACCAATGGTTAGCAGAGAGCCCTAAAGTGACCCAAGCCATAAATTTATGCCAGAAAATAGCTCGTTCAAAACTTAATCCAAAAATATAGCTTATTAATCCATTTCTGCACCCAAAAACAATAGTTACTCCTTTATTAAATATCAAAAATAATTAATCAATAGCTTTAAAAAAGTAATTTTATTTTTTAATTCTACTAAGAGTTGATTAAAACAAAAAATTCAAAATATCAAAATCCTGAAAATTAATAAAATGAATTCTTAAATTAAATATTTTTATATTTATATTTATGATTCTATTTCTTGTTGATTAAATATTTTTAATTACCTAACATAAATTGAGTTTATTCACCTGAGTTTTTTTCTTTCCTACAAAAAAGACATGACAAAACCAAATATCCTACTATTGAGATAAAAAATAAAATATCTCCTACTTATATTGTAAATTTATAGAAATTTAATATCCTTCTATTGAAAATCGACTGCCAAATCTCTATGAATCTTATTAAATAGTTTTTATGCCAATATTCAAAACTTAATTTTAAATCTTCAATATATATATTCCCTGCATTCCTCTTAACAGCATTGCATTTATCATGCTAACTCTCCTATTTTTGATTATCTCTAAAATTTAAATGGCTTTTTAGCTCAATAGTTAAAGAATCATCACTCATTTTTATCTTCGAATATTTACAATTACTAAACTTAATTTAATTTTGGATATATTTAAATTAATTATAAGAAAGTCTTTATTTCCTTTTCAAAAACAAACTTTAATTTTTCTATCTGAAAAACTAAATTCCTTTTACATTATTTTTAAACAAATTACTTGTTTTTTATCCACAATTAAAAAAACAGAGAGTAATCAATTTTAAAATCGCAAATTGGCTTTATTTTTATTACTTTTTTAATCATTTAAATTTACATAATTGTATTTCTCAAAAAATTCCATTTTAATTTTTTTGTACACCAAAATTCATTTACATAAAAATCTCTCGAAGCTGTAGTTGCAAATTGATAAAAAATAAGCTCTGGCTTTCTCTGTTCTCTTAATTTTGTATAAAATGCCATTTTTTTATGAAAAGCATTGAAAAATGAACTTATTTCTTTCGTATTAAATATATAGCTTAATTAATCAGCAATAAAACAAAATTAAAGAAATAAAATATATAGTTTTACAATTTATTTAAATAATTTAGGGTTTTATAATATAAATACAACTTTTCAAAAATTAAACACCTCTTGATGTACATCGAACCTTATTCCATCTGTTGAATATTTCATTGCCTATATTTCGACTAAATCAATTAATTCTTAAGGACCACAAACAAGTACAGCTACTAAGGAATGCCCAGATTTTGAACAAGACTTATATGCATTATCAAAATATTTATCAAAATTAGGTCTTCCTTTTGTAAGTTCTACTATTTATTATTTATTCTTTTAAGCTTGCTTTTCAATATCAGTAATTCTTTTATCTCCTTCAGCTGAATAATGATAAAAAGTCTGCAATATATTTGCTTCATCTTGATGTAATAGAGACTTTAAGTCTCCAGGCTCAAAAACTCCTTCAACTAATGCGGAATCTCTGCCAGTCCAAATAAAATGTAAATTCTTCACTGGTCTACCATCATCTATTTCTGCTAATAATTCTTTCGCTGTACTTATGATGGGAGTTACTCCAATTCCTCCGCTTATCATTAAGAAATTTTAATATTTATCTCCTTCAATGCTAATTGAATGAGATCCATATGGGCCATCTATATACGCCCTATAACTGGTAGGTTATCCTGGTTTTCCAGCGATTTCATATAAATCGCCTGTCCAATTTCCAAGGCTTTTTACATAGAATACCATCTCCTCTTCATATGATGCACTAAAAACGGAGAATGGATGCCATTAGAAATAACTAAGATGAGGAATCATGATGAAAAAATACTATCCTCCTTTAAAATAACAATCTTCATTGGTCATACTTAATCTTGTTATATTATTACCTACTCTTTCTAAAGTCATGTATCTAGACATTTCCCGATACTTACAAACATTGTATATTCTAATTCATAAAATGCAATTAATTATATTATTAAAGTAAAAAGTTTAAATCAATTTAAATACCTAAAGCAAATATCTAAGAAGAAATATCCACACGCTACTACCCCTAAAGTAACTCCATGTAAGATACAACCAACAACTAAGGCTATAATTAATATCCAATGCATTCTCATAAAAAACTCCCATAGGTATCTTCTAATAGGTTGTATTGAGAATGCAACTAATCCAAAGATAGGTGCAATTGCTAAATAGCCGCTCATTATTTCTCTTGAATGCATCCAATGATTGATCGAAAGAGCTAAAGTTCCCCAAGCAAACATTTAATGCCACAAAAGTGCTCTTTCTAAGCTTAAGCTAAAAATAAAGCTTAATAAACCGTTTCTACATCCAAATATAATTGTTAGTGCTAATTTAATATAAATTTTTATTTAAATTTATCTCATTCTTTGTTTTAAATTATCAATTCAAAAAAACCGTTGAAAAATAAGTGTAAATTTAAATTACTTAACATCATTTAAGCAACATTGCCTGAAGATTATGTATCAATTTCTTCGAAAAAGCTAAACGCTATGTAGGCTGCTGTTAAAGAAAAAATAATGACATCTCCAACTTGTAAAGCAAAGCATGAAAATGAATATATTCTTCTATTCATAACAGCTTACCATTTTTGAATAATTTTTCGATAGCAAGAAATCTTCCATTCAGGTCTCGCCCTGCGCTTCTAAGGAGAGGGGTTATTTTAGTATTATTATTTTTAATTTGGCTAATTTTATTGCTGAATTTATTTCTATTAATTTTAAGGTTGCTTTTACTCTACTTTTTATATTTGTTGGGAGTTAGATGGCCTCTTTGTAGGATTAGATTGATTTGATTGATATATCATAGAAGGAGTTGGAGACTAAGAAGCAGATAAAGCTGTTTTATCATTATCTGCCTTACACTTTAGCCTATTGTCTGAACTATCTAAGTAATTATTCATTTTTTATTTTTATCTATTTTAGTTTGAAGAGCTTCTCATTATTCTCTTTTTTTATATTTAAAGAAAGAAAGAAAGAACTTAAAATGGTTGTTTTTGTTAGAATTTATTTTTTGTTTTTTATGTATTTTTTAATTAGTTAATTTGCTATTCAAATTATTCGCCTTAAATAAACTTTTTACTTTTAATGTTCTTTGATTAATCTGCAAAATAGATTAAATACGATTTATTTTTTAATATTATCTCCTATGAAAAATTTTCTAACAACATTATCACCTGTTTTTTAATACCTGTGTTAAAATTTAATTTAAATTATTTTTTATGTTTCCAATTTTAATGGCCGATATTTTAAATTTATGTCAGAATTAATAAAATTAAAGCTTTTTTTTCAGCTACATTTTGAATTTAAATTAATCAGATTCTTATGGTTTGTTTAAAATACATTCTTTTGAAAGATATATTAAAAATTATTAAATTTGATGTTGCAAAAAATGTTTTTAATAGAAACTTAACTACAATCTATTGATGACTCAAAAAAAATTTTTATTTCTTATTGAAACTAAAAAATAATTATATTATTATATTTCTAGTTGATTAAATTATTTTTGTAGCAAAATGTAAAAATAAAATAATTTAACAAGAATAAATATTGAAAAAATTATTTTTTAGATTAATTAATAATTTGCAAACACTTGCTTAATTTATTTGTAATAGTGAAACAATATTTAATATAAAATATTAAATATAATATTTAAAATTTTAATTATTCATTAAATAATAATTTTATTTAATTTTTTTTTTTTAAATTTAAAAATAGTATGAAAAATTAAAATTAGCAGAACATTTCTAGAATAAAATTATTAATAATGTTTACACATAAAAATATAGTTTCACGTAAAAATTAATTCTAAATTTATTATATATAAATTTAACAAGTAAATTTTTATTAAATAGATTCTAAATTTCATGTTATGATTAATAGTAAGAATCAAACATAATATATGCAAAATCATTACTTTCAAAGTAAAGCTGTTAAAATAATTTTTGATAATAATAAGAAAAATTATATTAATAAATTTTCAACTTCTAATTCATTAATTAAGATTATATTTTGTTACTAAAATTTAATGAGAAAAGGAGTAAATCAAAAGTGTCAATAAAAAATAATCAGAAAACTCTTAATTTACAACTACAAATTACTCAATTTTTAACAAAAAAAATATCATTTTTGATTTAAAAAGGTAGAATGAAGAAATTCAATCAATTTAGGGTTAAAATTGAAAATTTACATAACCTTAGTGAATTATATAGAGAAATAAATTACTTATTAATATAATATATAATATTAATTTTTTTATAGTTTTATATTTATAAATTGATTAATTAATCAAAGCTTATTTTTTTGTTAATCTATTTAGTATTTATTAATGGTTTCTTGTTGTTATTTTTATTATATTAGTATTAAAATTATAGCTTCTTCATCACAAATAGTCAGAAAATAGTAAGAAGTTTTGATTCTACATTTATCAAAAATCGAAAACTTCTTAATGGCAATCAAATCTGATGCCATCCTTTGACCACTTCATAGAGTTTATCTCAGCAGCATCAATTAATTGTTAAGGTCCACATGTAAGCACACCTACTAAATGATCACCTTTAGCTTTTGCTGAATTAAAGGCAGCTTCAAAATATTTATCAAAATCTGGTCTGCCTTTGGCTAACTCAACTAATTAATGTTATTCTATTTAAGCTTATTTTTCTAGGTCATCAATTTTTTTATCTCCTTTATCAGAATAATGATAGAAATTTTAAAGGATAGTAGCATCATCTTGGTCTAAAAGAGATCTTAAATCATCAGGTTTTAATACGCTCTAAACTATAGCTGAATCTCTACCAGTCCATATAAAGTACAAACTATTTATTGGTCTACCTTATTCAATTTAATGTAAAAGTTCTTTAGCAGTACTAATAATTGGAGTAACTCCAATACCACCGCTAATACAAAGAAAATT